ACTAAATTTGAAGTCTATTGACGCAGAAATATGAATGCTACAAAATAAGAACCTTCAAAAATAAATAAGAAAGTAAATTCAATAGTGTTGTAAGGCTTCCTTATTCACTCATTTTGAGATATTTACATAAAACAACAATGTGTTGGTTTAGATAGTTTTTCTGAAACATCAATTAAGAAAAAAAACTAATTTTCAAGGTTGAAGAAAAGAATTCTTAGAAGAAGATATTTCGGAAACTTTACCTGTTTCGACGATATTTTTCTCTTCAAATATATGAAGCAATAAACTTACATTTCTAGCTACCCTAGAAATATATAAAGAAGATAACGCAACACTACTCAAATATTGCTTTTCATTCTTCTCTTTTACATTTTGGCAATTCTATAGATTGTTGCTTAGCGAGAGCTCTTTTAAGACGTTACAAATTCATATGCTCGTTCTCTCCCTCTTTTAATAATATTATTTAGTCGGTCTCTGAATTTCAACGTGAAGACAACGCTTCATATCTTTTTTCTACACATAAAAGTCGATTTAGAATGTTCAAAAGATTTGTTTCACATAGAAAATGTGTTTTAGAAAATTTCTACGATGCTCGCTTCGGAGTAGTGAAGAAGTTTGTAGAGATATAAATTGATGATTTGATTGCTTAATGACCCAATTTTTTTTTCCTCAAAAACTAAACACAAAATATTTTATTAAAGATACACGACGGAAAGCTCTTCTGTGAAAACAAGTTATTTCCATAATGTTGGGCTACATCCATTAAAATATATGACTGTTGGTCAAGCTTTGAAGAAGATTGCGACACAATACCCGGAACAAACTGCTTTGATATCTTGTATTGATAACAAGCAATACACTTTCGCAGAAATATTGGATAAGGTAGACTAACTACAAGCATTAAGCAATGAAAAATAATTTAAACCATAAATCAATTTTTCATGATCATGATCAATACAAAACCAAAACGAGAATAGGCGGATCGATTAGCAAGTGGCTTGTTGAACTTGGGATTATCATCTGGTGATCGAGTGGCAATCTGGGCGCCTAATTATGACTTCTGGTATATCAGTAAGCTAGCGATTGCTCGAGCTGGTTTAATCTGCGTAATTTACTTTTTAAATTGTTTACAAGTAACATAAGAAATTAATCGATCGAAGTACAATTTTCAGGTTGCATTGAACCCCGCTTATCAACCTTCCGAATTGGATTATTCACTTAAAAAAGTTGATGTAAGAGCAATTGTGATGCCTGAAACATTCAAAACGCAAAAGTATTACGAGATGGTTTCGAACTTTAGGAAGACATCAAGTTCTTTAAAATACGTTGTAATGGTTTCGGAGAAGAATTTGCCGTATGTAAATTTACGATTTAATTTAAATATTCCTAATTCAACAAATAAAATTTCAGTGGCGCAGTCCGTTTTGATGATTTAATTAAATCATCTTCTGAAAGTGACAAAGCAGAGATTGAAGAACTTCAAGCAACAATTTCACCAGATGATGGTTGCAATATTCAATTCACATCTGGGACGACAGGATATCCAAAAGCAGCTGTTGTCAGTCATTTCAGTTTTGTGAATTGTGGAAGTCAAACTGGCATTCGTAATGAATTAGACCAACGTCATCGAACTATTTGCTTAAACTTGCCATTCTTTCACATCGCTGGAATTGTGTCGTTAATGCATTCTGTTATGTGTGGATCAACACTTGTATTGCCATTACCTCATTTCAGCGCTGAAGCTTCAATCAATTCAATTTTAACTAAGAATTGTGATGTGATTTATGGAACTCCGAATATGTATGTTGAAATGGTTGCGAAGAAGAAGGAACTCAATGTCGAAATCCCTGAAATAGCATTCTCAGTTACTGGTGCAGCTATCTGCACTCCAAAGCTTGTAAGAGATGCCAGGAAATACCTCAACATCAGAAAGTTTCGATCAGCTTATGGAATGACAGAAACGACTGCATCAGGTTTTCAAGTGTTGCCTGATGAACATGACAATTTCGTTGAAGAGTTTGTGGGATTTGCTTCGGATCATATTGAACTGAAAGTTATCGATCGGAAAGGACAAATTGTTCCATTTGGACAACCTGGAGAGCTTTGCATACGAGGCTATTGTAATATGATTGAATATTGGGGAGATGAAGAGAAGACAAAAGAAGTTATGGGCCGAGACAATTGGTGAGTGAAAATTTTTTTAATTCCTTTTTCTCTAAAACAAATTTGACACAAAACTATTATTTAGGTTGAAAACTGGCGATCAATTCATCTTATATGAAAACGGATACGGGCAAATCATCGGACGATTGAAGGAAATGATCATCAGAGGTGGTGAAAATTTGTTTCCAAGAGAAATTGAAGACTTTTTAAACACCCACCCCAACGTTCTTGAATCGCATGTTGTAAGTTGTTTTGTGAATCATAATTAGAGGAAATTAATTTAAACTCTTTTGAAGGTTGGAATTCCCGACGAGAAAATGGGTGAAGAAGTTGGCGCATTTATCAGATTAAAGGATCCATCCAAACAACTCACACAACACGACGTGAAAGAATTTTGCAAAGGGAAAATCGCTCATTTCAAAGTTCCACGTTTTGTTTATGTTGTTACAAAGTATCCAAGAACAGTATCAGGGAAAGTACAAAAAAATAAATTCTTGGAATATTTTGCAGACGAAATAAAAAAGAATGAATGATATTTTAAACTTTTAAACCATAATTTGTTTCAATCATTAATCAGATTTTAATTTTGTGATGCAATTCAATTCTCTCTTCATTATTTTGTAAGCCGTCAAACTCATTTGATTAACTCGTTTTGGCCAAACAACAAAATCAATCCATTGCAATGCTTGTTGAATGTTCTTAAACTTGTAATCGTCATCGGAAAATCCTTCGAACAATGCGATCAACGAATATTGACAAGAACCATCGGGGTGATAAATCTGAAGTGGACTTCCATTCATCAAACTCTATAAAGAAAATAAATTAAAACAATTAATCTTTGAACGTCACACGTGATTATTAATTTCAATTTAACTTCATGGTAATTAATAATCGATGAATTGTTAATTTTCACACTCGAATCGACTTGTTGATGCTTCACTAAACTGCTGTCAATGACCCATTTTTTAAGCTTAGAACTACAGTCAAGCCAATTACCTGTCCAACCAGATAACAAATAAGACTGAGTTGCTGTGAAAGTGTCAGTAAACAAGCAAATTGGAAAGATGTGATCAGAATAATCGACTTTCTTCTGAAGTTTGATCAATGACAAGTCGTACTTTGTACTGAAACTTTCAATTAAAAATGCATTTGATTTGTCATCACTTGAATTGAAAGTTAAAGCTCCTAAGTGTACGATCACAGTGAAATCGTTATTTTCAGATGATGTTGGAAAGCAAGATGCTGAAGTTAACACAAATTGATCAGATATCAGAGACCCAACACATTTCGTATCAGTTCTTTCATGTTTTGTTCTGTTGTTTGGTCGCAAATGAATCAAAGCAATGTGTGGAAGTTCTTTCTCTGTTGCGATTCCAATGTTTCTCTTGCTGTGAGGGCAGACAATTGCTGGCCATTGACGAAGTTCTTCACATTCTAAAAAAATGAAATTAAGTTTGTTAGGAAGTTTTAATTCTTGAAATAATTTTCATACTTTTTTTAATGTGAGTTTTGACAAATTCACTTTCAAACGTTGTATCAATAATTGATTGTTGTTCTGAACAGAAAATTGAAATAGTAAGTTGAAGTGTCACTAACAATAGAGTTGAGAATGTTACTCGATTCATGATGTTGTTTAAATGATTACAATATGCTCGTTCAATTTCATTTCTCTTTCTTTCTTATCTAATTGTCAAGCTTCCGGTTGACAAAATATGCGGGAAATGAAATATTCAATTCAAGATAATTAACAACTATGCAAATGCTTTTCAATGTTTATTAATTTTATTTTCAAATGTTTTGAGAAATTTAAATTTTTGAACCTTTCCCGAGACTGTTCTTGGAAATTCGTCAACAATAATCACAAAGCGTGGAACTTTAAAGTGCGCCAATTTTCCTGAGCAAAATTCTTTGATATCATTTTGAGTCACATGTGTCGAATTATCCTTAACTCTGATAAATGCTGCAACTTCTTCGCCCAGTCTCTCATCAGGAATGCCAATCTTACACCAATGAAAATTAATTAAAATATAACTGATCATTGATTTAACACTCACCACATGCGTTTCAATTATATCAGGATGAGAATTAAGAAAATCTTCAATTTCACGTGGATATAAATTTTCACCACCTCTGATGATCATCTCCTTCAATCTTCCAACAATTTTTCCATAACCATTCTCATAGAGAATGAATTGATCGCCAGTTTTCAACCTGATTAAAATATTTATTTCTATTTTTCTTTCATTCATTGAATTATTCCACTTGCCACTTATCATCCCCCATAATTTCTTTTGTCTTCAACTGGTCATCCCAATATCGAAGCATTGTGCTGTAGCCTCTAACATAAAGTTCGCCTGGTTCACCAAATCGAACAGCATTTCCCTCACTATCAACAACTTTTGTTTCGAGATGATCCATAACATGACCAACAAATGTTTGAACATTTTTATTATCGTCATTAGGTAAAGACATGAAAACACCGGCAGTTGTCTCAGATAATCCATAAATTGAGACAATCTTCTTAGCTTTTAACACCTTTTCGATATCTTGAACTAATTTTGGAGTGCAAATTGCTCCACCTGTTGTTGCGATTGCTACATCAGGAAGATCTAAATTCAGTTCACGTTGTGCTGTCACCAAATCAACAAACACTAAAAGTTTGACAATCAATAATTGTGAAATTTAAATCGAATGCAAATGAAAAGTTTTACTTGTAGGAGTTCCATAAATGACATCACATTTCTCTTTTTTTATAGCCATTAATGATTGTTTAGGATCAAAGTGAGGTGCTGGAAGCACGAGGGTCGAACCATGATTTAAAGCATTCATCATGGCAATAACTAAACCATATGCATGGAAGAATGGATTATTCAAACATATTCTTCGGTAGTTCTGATGCATAGCTTGTCGTATGCCAAGATCATAACCATTGTTGATCATGCTGAGATGACTTATAGCTGCTGCTTTCGGCTGACCAGTGGTACCTGATGAAAATTGTATGTTACAAGCTGAATCTGGTGAAATTTTCGATTGAATCTTTTCCACTTCAATGACATCATTTTCAGATGATGATGAAAGTATTTCATTAAAAGAAATTACGCCACTTTTAAGAAAATAAATATGAAATGTGCTTCTTTATCCTTTATAAAAATGTTAACTTACGGAAGTTTCTTGTCTGAGTGAATGATCACATGTCGCACAGAATTTTCCTTATTCTCAATGACACCTCCCTTTGAATGTTTCAGATTAGGAAGTAAAGTTGAAAGCATTTCGTAATGTTTTTGTTTTCTGAATGATTCAGCAGCAATTATCACTTTCACGTTAACTTTTTTCAAACAATAATCAAGTTCTGGAATCTGATAAGCTGGATTTAATGAAACCTGAAAATTGAAAAATTAATAATTCATTGAAGACTTTGATAGATGCAATTTACGCATATCAAACCAGCTCGAGCGATAGCAAGTGAACTGATGTACCAAAATTCATAATTTGATGCCCAAATTGCGACGCAATCACCACGACTCAATCCTAGATTCAACAATCCACTTGCGAGGCGATCTACCTAAAGGAATTTTATGAAATTTCTCTAAACAAAAATAAATTTAAGAATTACTTTATCCAATGTCTCGGAAAATGTTATTTTTGAATTCTCACTACATGACACTAAAGCTTCACGGTTGCAGTATTTAATTGAAGCCTCCTTTAGTATTTGACCAATATTCTGATACTTTATTGGCCTATTAGAGATTTTATGAAAATAACTTGCTTTATTTTCAGATGTGTCAGCAAATGTCGAGTGACTTAAATAGCTTCAAAAAGGAAAATTATAAGTAGATAGTCATAAAATATTTATAATTATTAATTACTTAGCACCGATACGAGGGATTAAATAACAGCATCGACTTTGCGTAAAATTTCTTAAAGTTAACATAGCTTGGGATTAAATTTTTGGCATCCAACACTTCCAACACATTTGAGTTTAACAAACCGACTGAAAGTGATTTAAGTCAACTACACAATCAAAAGTTGTTTGTGTGCAAAACTGTAATGCTTATACAAATACAAAAATAAAAGATAATAAATATTTAATAAGTTGATAAGAAAATTATCTAACTAAATAATACATAATTGTTATCAGATAGTAAATAAGCACTAATAAGTGGATAAGCACTTCCTACATATATATTTTGATAATCGTAAGTCAATCAGGATTCAACTTTATCAATTTTTTTTTCATGATCTCCATCAACACTAGAAGTGACTTAAAGTCAATAAAGAAATATTTTGGTTTGCAGTTTTTTGCTAAAATTTTTATGTTCAAAGATAATAAATGCTTTTTAATATGCTGCATCAGAATCAGTGCCTTCTTGAGTGACTTTATGTGTGTGGGCGAATAGCTTTTCCTATCTTGAACATATCTTGACTCAAGACAGATATTCGAGTGGATAACGAACATCGAGAGCTTTTAATTCCAACCTCTGGTAATCCTTAGCGATATATCTTAACAATTTCATCTCAAATTTTATTTACAATTTCTATCAACTGCTTTTCATCAAGAATTTAAGAACAACTTCTAACAAATTCACTGTAAAAAAACTTCGTAATAAAACATTTCATTATTTTTATTTACCTTGAAACTCTTTATTAAATATTTTTTATCGTCGGAAAGAAGAATGAATATATTTATATAAAATAATTTTATACAATATCATTGAAGAATATTTAAAAGGATAAGAGAAGAGAACTCTTAAACCTTTCTGACTCTCTTCAAATCACGATATAAAAATTATTTTAAAATATTTGAAGCAAAAAAAAGGTTTAATTAATTAATTAAGAAAAAGAAAGAAATATTTGTTGGGAATTCATATGAGGATATTAAAGCATTTTCTTTGTTCTTCTGACACGCCTATTAAGAGATGATTCCTCTTAAACATCTGTCGGTTGTCTATTACGTCTATCGCCTTTTTCAAATTCTTTCAATAAAGTCGCAAAAACCAAAACAAATGAAAAAAAAATGAAAATTTAATCGGAAATGTTATCTTAGGTGAAAATGAAAATTTAGTCATCGCCATTTCGAGAATGCGAACGCGAATCGCGGCTTGGACTACGATTTCCCACCGAACGCGACTTTGACCGATCGACTGACTTTGATTTGCTGCGTGAATCGCGCATTCTTGGCGACTTTGAAATGCCACGGGAATCACCATGGCGTGGAGATCGTGAACGCTTTGGACTCCTGTTTGAGCGTTTTGGGGAACGTGAATAGCTGCGTGAACGCGTCCTATATTCACGACTTCTGCTTCTTGGTGAGCGGCTTCGTGATCTGCGAACAATGTCATAAGAAAATTCAAGATTATTTTTCAGAGTTATGAAAGTTTTTTAGTTTGAAAATAAAATTGAAGAAATTTAAAAGTTTTGAATCGCTGAAACTTCATTTGATTTCTCATTTTTTTCTTTTTTTGCTATTTAATCAAAGGAAGTTCCTAGAGATTCAATGTTTAAATAAAAAATAAAGATGACTGCGTTAAGGCTGCGATGTCTTGGAGAGAAGAGAACGAACATTCAATGATCACCTGATGACGCTTTCGTTCTTTCTCGTTGGCTCTTGTTGACTTATATCACGTTTGGTTGCTTTTCAACATTTTTTTTTTCAACAAATATTTTCGTATTCTCATCGTGAAATAAACTTCGCTTTATGTTTAAATGAAAATGTTAAATTGAATTGAAAACTCACTCAGATAGAATCGTGGTGAGGACTTTAGTGTTTGCTAGATGCGAATCGTGAGCTCGAGATGACAATTTTTGGCATTCAAGACCCTAACTTAAAATTTCTTTTGCTTGTTTTTAATTTGAAAAGGTTTTTCATTCTTTTTCTTTTTTTATCGAATCGAAATCGCTTCATGCTTCACTGGAAGAAGGAGCTTCGTTGACTAGTTTTTCAAGTATGTATGTATGTACCAATCGAGAATGGTTGTGAGACAGAGACCAGAAGAACCTTGGAGAGTCGCTTCATGAAATAGAACCCAAGTAACTAACCGCAGGTGATCGATAATCTGTGCGTGCTTTCATGTCACGACGAACGATTCATTGTGGCCCTAGTTGTTTGTAACCCGGTTCACAAGATGAACTCGCTACGATGACGCTTTTAAACTTTCTTAAAATTTTTACTGATCGTTTCGTTTCGGACTTTGCTCTTTTTCTTTTTTTTAAACGAAAGATTCATTAATTTGATTCTTGATTTGTGACTGACAAAGTTAGAGTGTCTTGCGCTCCGAACAAAAAGAGATGAAGAAAAATAAATCAAAAGTGATAAACAGAAAATTACATAAAATTAACATAAAAAAAAAAGAAAGAAAGAAATTAAAACCACGTAGGAAGACGTCATCGGATGGCGGCAAGATGAATGTGCGAGGTAAAAACAAACAGATGCGGTTTCGTCTTGATAAAAAGGCTTTAGGAATCAGGCGATGTTACTGATATGATCATTCAACTGAGCAAAGGATGGCACAGCTTTAAATAACTTGATGGAAGCTGGCGCTGAGTTTCAACAATTTCGTACAATTTCTTGTTACTTGCCGCGTGATTCTCGAGTTGACACAACAACCTAATATAGTTCTTTTTTCCTCACCCTTGGGGGGCTTTCCCTGAAAGAAAAAAGGACTCAGAAATTACCTGCGACGTCCTCGACGACGACAATCACGTGCAAAGTGACCACGGTTGCCGCATTCATAGCAGCGGTCTTCACGTCCTCGTGAACGTCTTCTTGAACGACCTCCATGTCCTCTTGCTGACTTCCCTGTAGACAATTCTACTCTTGCTCGTCGTCCACAGATTGTTCTCCCATCAAGACCTCTAACAGAATCTTCGGCGTCACTAAATAAATAGAAAAATAAAAATGAAATAATTTAATTATTTTTTTCAAAAAGCTATACTTACCGAGCATCCTCAAATTCGACGAAAGCAAATCCAGGTGGATTACGAGCTACCCAAACACTTCTTAATGGTCCATAGTATCCGAAAGCATCTTCAATCTCTTGCTTACTGGCATTTGATCCTAAATCGCCGACGTAGACTTTAGCGTCATGTGGAAAGCGCGACATTTTGTTTGACTTTGACTGTAAAATGGTAGTAAACAGATTGTTTTTACATCAAAATCTGTGAATCAAAGGATAAAATTTTTATTGATTTTTTCCGAAGCCAAGCGCATTTTTTTAGCTTTTTTTCAATGAAAAAATTCTTTGTGACTTTTCCACTTGAATTGATTGAATTAGAAGTTATTTTCAGTTTCTTATCAATGCATTGGCTTTCAGTTGAAAAATTCACGTTTTTTAAGGAGCTTAATGTTGATTGCTTACCATTATTTTATGGAATAAAAATAATTCGTCTGTTCCCCTAACTTTACTGAAGGAGATTTGATTTAAATGGCTGGGTTGTGGACAAAAGGCCAATTACGCGCTATTTTTATTTTTGAATTTTTAACCGTTAAATTTTTAATGTTATTTTTTTATCTTCAGTAGAGTGATTATTCAGTGGAAAATAAATATTTAATGTTTACTTTAGTTTTTTTTCTTTGTTTGCGCCAGAAATATCTATTTGTTTTCAGTGGGTAAAATACATAGAATTAATGTATGTGTAAAATATTCATCTAAAATATGTATAAGCAAAGAAAACATATGTAAACAAATTTCTCTCTTGCTGAAAACGTAATGAAAACAAACGTAAAAGCCATGTGCTTTTCTTAAAAAGTTCTCTTTTTCTCAATTTTCTCTCTTGTATTTTGAATTAGGAAGCTTGAGAATTCGTTTGATTTTTTTCTGCCAGTCTTTGCTCGGATAGTAAACATTGTAGACGTTGATGTTGGTCCGGAAATAATAAAAAAATTCATACATTGGATTGTTGTTCATGTTGATTGCTATTTCCACAGCGAAAAAGATGTATGTACGATAAAAATATATAACAAAATTATACATAGAGATAAAAAAATTAATTCGAAAGAATTTTTGTTCACAACAAGCTGATCATTGAGCAATGAGCAAAGAATGAAAGAAGAAAAAAATTGTGAAGTGCGATTGAAATTATAAATTTAGAAAGAAATTAATAGTTGCAACAGTTCGAATTGCGTCATATCAAGTGTAGAAATGGAATCGTTAGTTGATAATAACGATTCAAATGATTTTGTGCACGACACATCAAAGCTTCTTAAGCTTCTAGAGTCAGTGAACAATGTTACAGATTCAACGACACTCCAGTCAATGATCAATCTCTATCTAAAAGATTTATTAGAGACTCCTTACGTGTTGATGGTGCCGCTGTTACCGGCAAGCGAAGAAGGATTAATTCAAGTTGTCAACGATCAAGTTTTAGAAAAAGATTTCAGATTTTCTGTAAGTATTGAACTTTAAATGTCAACAATTATTATAAAGCCTTGCAAAAAAGAACAAACAAAAAAGACTCGCTACAAGTCTAATGGAAAGCTAACAAAAAAACGCTAACGATACGACGATAAATAAAGTAGAAAAAAAACAACAAAAATCTGAAAAAAAAGCTGATAATGAGCATCGAATCGCAATTTATTTCTTCCAACTTGTAACAAGAAGATTAAAATTTAATTAATTGTTATGCGTCGCTATATAAAATCGATTAGTATTTCATAAAAGGAATGCGAAGCTGCACGCGCTAAAAAATTTCATCACAACCGCTCAAATGTATTCATGTTCCAACAGATTCTTTTCCTTCCATAAATCATAACTTTTTGTCTTGTCTTGAAATAAGATATAAAAAAGTTGTCCAATTAACTGGGACTACAACCGAAAATAACTTTTTTTTTACTCCATGAAAAGCCTTATTTATTCAAATAAAATTTGGAATCAAACCAATTAGAATTCCAAACATTAATTAATTTACTGATGCCTTTGGTGTAAGCACGAATACATTTGTAACACGAAATAAACGAATTATTCAAGTGAACAACAGCAGGGAGTTCGTGAATAGAATCAACGTGCAATATGCGATGTCTTCTGACCTAGAAAAAAAGAGAAGAAAATAAAAGTTTTTCTTTTCCAATTAGATATGCAATTTAATCGCCAACGCGCGCGTCAACTGGGCCTTCGTCTTCTATTTATTTTTCTTCAAGAAAATCTCATGAGATTTTCTGAAACAATTTCTTTGTAAGACTGTCACGAAATAAATCTTCAATATTCAGTGTGTTTGATCCCATGAGTAAACATTCACTTTCCTTCTATTTTTCATTCACTTTTTCCTTCTCACAATTTCACATCAATTACGGAAATAAGGAACTGGATGAGTAAGATAATAAATTCTTTGTTTCATAAGTAAATACCTGCAGTACTCTTACTCACAAGACAAGTTGATCATTATCCTTAGAGGAAGTCATTCTGATCACGTTAAATGTATAAGTTTTAAAGCTTCAGCTCTAATCAATCAATTATTTACTGATGCTATTTATTTATTTATATGTATCTAGTTTCTTCTTGATTTTCTTTTTCTTTATTCAATGAGAAATTCAAAAGCTTCCTCATGGAGAAGTTAGCAAAATCATTTCCGTTTAATCGAAGGATTCCTCGTGTTCTTATTCGTTTCATTTCCTTCAAGATTCTGTGAAGCAAATCACTTATAAAGAACTCAACGATCCAAGTTAATTGGAATCTTATTTCGCAAATATGTTGGTTGAACCTTCACCCATTTAATGTCCGCGTAAAATGATTGTCGCGGTCGATGTGGCAATAAATCAAAGCCTTCATGCGTTTCAGTAAGTAATCCCTTTGATGTATTCACATGATATTCATGGGCTTAAACATAAAACAATTTCTCGGGTTTACGGAACGAATGAAATGATATCGGAATATCTAGTCAAAGACGTAATCTGATGTCAACTGTTGATTGGGTAAGATGAGACTTTTTCCTTCGCCTATTTACGATATTGATAGTGGGATTGGATGAATCTTTTCAAAGTTTGACAAAATTTAATTTCCGAATTTTCATCGAAACTATACAATGATGAAAACAAACTTTCTCGTCGTCAACATATACAGACATTCCGCAACCCAAGTCTTCGTTTCCGTCTTCATTAAAAACTTTTCACTTTCTTCATTTTACACCCCAAAATAAGGAAGCTGGCAAGTTGAGGAAAAAGTATAGGAAGAATTTCTGGTGTTAAATTTAATTTTTGGAAAAGTCTCACAGATATATGAAAATTTGAAATTTAATGGTTTGATAAAAGGAATGTTCAGTTGAGCATGAGAAAACTCATTTGAATAATTGTGGTTTCTCATAACAAATGAGCTTTTGAGTGTTTGTCGAAGATACGCAATTATTTATTTAGTTACTAGAATCAAAATCCCTTTTCTCTTTCATGCTTTGTAATAGAATTTTATTCGTACATGAAAGGTCAAAGAAAAATTATTTCCCAGCTCAAAGTATTTTAAACTTCGACATTCATTATCACTAAAATAACACGAGCCAGAATGAACATCAAATAAATAAATCTTAAATGTTTTCATTCAACCACACTTACAATTATCTGAATAATGTTTTTTTTATATTTTATTTTTCGACAAGTGGTTTGTTTTCTTTTTATTTATTTTTGATTTTTAACGAGTTCGAACTAGCACGAAAAGACGTAACAAATTGATTGCTCAAAGGCTGGCTGAAACTCATTATTTACTACAAAAGATATGAGAAAAGAAAAGAACTATGACGAGATTAATGTTGACTGACGAGTATGTTGAAGAAGATGAAGTCAACCAACACGCGTGGGCAATGAATGTTTTGCATGGCGATTAATGTCAACCGTATGTCACCGACAAAGAGTGTTTGTGGATAAAAAGTAGATCATAATTTTTAATATGAAATCGTGCAAATTGCTTTTATTTTCTTAGAGCTTGTCACTTTCATATTCATACGCGTGTTAGTTCGCTTTATAATTATTACGCAATTTTCTTATCACTTCGACATAATGAAAGGCTGTGTAGTAAAATTTTATAAATTACTAAACATCAACACGTCGATCAATCAGTTGTGATGAAATATTTTAAGATATACAAAATCTTAGTTAAATTTAGTTCGTTATGAGATCATTCAAATTATTTGAAACTCTCACTACTTACATTCACGTTAATCGTAACGTGATGAAGACAATTAAAAGAAAAGAATCTGCAAACTCTCGTTGCTTGTTGAAATTTCATGTGCCGTTTACGAAAACAGATTTTAAAAAAAGCTCAAAAGTACATAACGTGAAAAGTTTTTTTTGTGTTCGCGTTAAATTTGTATTTGAAACAAAAATTTGAATTGAAGTGTAAATGAAATGAAACATTCTCGCTGAATAGAAATGATTTCGCAAATTTCAATTAAAAGTCAATTAATTATGAATAGAAATTTCACTTCACTCAAGTGTTCATTTACTAAGACAACGGCGAGTGCTCAATGATTTTTTTTTTCGTGAATTTCAACTCAGTGACTTAGGTCAAAATGGAAGGTTGATCGCGTTCAAGATTTTTTATAACAATGACTCACAAAAATATATTTTTGTGTGACAAATATATAAGAAAAAAAACAAAGCTTAATTAATTTTTTTGTTTGTTTCAAATATTTTTGTAGGTGAACAAGACTGACATCGAAAATGCTTCGCAGACCAACGAGTACCCGTTCAAAGTTACTGACCTGAATAAAAGCTTTTCTGAAGTTATCGAGATGGTAAGTCGTGAAGATTTTCTCAATTTAATTAATAATATGAGTAATGATAGCCTGAATGATGCTTTATGACCGATAAATTCTTTGTTTCTACGCTAAATTGAAATTTCGTCATCATTAGATGTTCAGTCGTGTCTGAATTATCGATAACAAGTAATGATAAATATGACAATTAACGTGTCTCTTTAAGTTGACTTTTTAATAATTTTTTATAGCCTTCCAACTTTACAACTCATAACGAATGAATCATTGACGCGATGATGCCTCTCAATCAAATAGTTTTGAATGTTATTGTCAATATAAATTGAAATGACGTAGAAGAAAGCATTTATTTGAAGTGATTGATGATTTTATTGCTTCTGGCTTGAAGTCGCTATGATTGGAAGCGTAATTAATTTAAATATACGAACGTGATGACGTTTATGATTGGAATTGAAATCGAAAGCTCGTTTGCAACGTAAACGCGATGATTGTTTCTTCGTCAAGCAACATCAGCTGACTTCTTTCATACGATTCATTTCAACTTCGTCATTCTCGAATATTTAAAACTTCTTCCTCGTAAAATAAATTACCGCGAATCTTTTTCTGTGTCTTTGTCGTGCTTGATGAATCTCTCAGCTTAGAAGTCTATTTGGATGATTCATTGCTTAAGCATTTATTTATGTTTTTATTCCTCCATACAATGCATCACAACAAGAAATGATTTCCATGTTTTCTTTCGTGCCAGACGGAAAGTTTGATTCTATTTACATCCCGTCATAAAATTTGTTAGAAGACAACAAACGCAAGGCCCAAAAAGTAAATATGTCTAAGCAGCGTCATAAACCTATATCGCTAAACCTTATTTCATTTGCTTGGGAAGTTAACTGCTGTGACATTAAACTTTAATGAGAACAGCATCCATTAATCCTGAAAGCTTTCTCGCTTAGTTATCAAGGAATATTCACAAAAAATTGTGTATAAAAGAAAGCTGCCTTCATCAGCGATAATGAGAATTTTAATGCGCTGACCTTTATTCATTGACCCTTGTGGGTATGGAAATCTTTTCAATTCAATGATTATTTTATTTCTACAATAATGAGAAACCGCTGGTTGCCCTGTTAACGTCAATGTTTTCGATAAATTTCATGTTTGCTGTTTGGAGAAAAGCTGATAAGAAGTTCAAAGCGACTGAAAACACGACTCATTTTCGGTTTACAAACCAAAATGATTGAGTGTTTCTTATCAAAATAAAACATTTGAGAATTGTTTGATTTTAAGCTTCCCACACCTCCCAATTAGAAAGTCTTATCGTGGTTAACGTAAAAAAAAAGCTTAATGAAAATTATTGAAAGATTACTCATTAAAAGTACGCTTAATTACATTGATGAAGATTTAATTACACGATAACATCTTTTATTGATCGTGAGTTTTAAAAGTTTACTTTTCAGTGAAAATAATAAAAGAAATCATCAGACTAGAAAGCTTTTGATTACATTCCGTTTCAAATCATCAAATGAAAGCACAATAAAAGTTTAAATTAATCTAATTGCATCACAAACAGTTTTTCAATCCGTAATGGCATGTTTAATGTTTGCGCTGCGGACATAACGACATTCAATAAAAAAATTACTGACTAAGTGACAAATGACTTCTACGTTCTACCTGAATGATGGACGATTTGATTTTTATGTTGCACAAATGTTTATTTCCACATGTCGTATTAAACATTTATTTCCGTTCCATTTAATTGTTGTTCGAACAACGTTGTGCAACAAAGAGATAGCGGTTGTGGCAATTTGTTATCGCCTTCATGTGAGGAAAATGAATGGGAAAACTCAGCATGACTTTATGGGTTCATTGGGAGTTTGGTTTCTTTTTTTATTATTGTGTTTTCACATGGAACAATTCTGAACTTGACGGGTCGAAATCTTCAATGGTATTTTCATACAATGAATAGAAATGATTGAGTAACTTACCCCTGACATCATACAATGTAAAGGAACAGATTTTCACAATCTGTTTGAAACAAAACAAACAATTCTCGTTTGATTGCGCAATGTGAGACGAGAACTGTTATCAATTCAATATCAACATCGAGGTTTGAATGGAAAGCTTCCAATCGTAGCTAATTTTGCACGTATTCAATTTTTTTATGTTGAACTGAATTGACTTTGTCATCAGCACGAATAAATATTTATATAAAATGTTTCTTGTTCACTTTACTGTCGTCCCATAACTATTAACATTAGAATTAATCAGATTATTTCGAATGAAACAGTTGAGAGTTTTACTTTCAATAAATTCAAAAAGGAATGAATAAATCTCGAATTAAGTTATTGACTCTTAACTTTTGCTTATGACGATCTGAAAATTGCTAAATCTCAAGACGCAAAAATCTGAAGCTAATTCAGGTGAAACATTTCCTAATTGTCTTGTGAATGATTCTCTAATTTCTCTTTGAAACCGTGAAGCATGTTAAAACGAAATTATTGCGAATCGTGTTAGAAAATTTCATCAAGTGCTATAACTAATGTGGAACGATTCACTCGAGAAGAATCTTCATTTGTTGTTAACGAAGCGTGAAATTCGTTTCTAGTGTTTTTGCAAATTAAAGTGAAATGGAATAAATTCGACGATTTTTTTCATTTTATTGGATTTAAATGCAAAATGTACATCATTGACGAGGTTTGCTTTGGTTTTGAGATGCTTTCAAATATTAATCACATCTTTTACACGATCGTTATCGATTTTCCATCATAAAAAGTCTCGACATTTCGTCTGCAAACTTACTTCCATTGGATAACAGCCAAAAAAAACTCTTTTTCCATCAACCAACGATTATTATCGTTCATAATTTATAGAAGTTGCTACAGCTGTCTATTATTTTCCCATCTGATTTCGGCAGATTGTATTACGAACTCTCACTGTTGTTACATATTTGACTAGAAAATTCATTTTCTTATACACATATCTACTACGACACAATACAAGCCGCAATCAGTTTATTGATTAAAATTTATTACTTCGATGTTATCATTTGACTAACACTTAAATCACGAGAATATAAAAATGCCATTAAGAAAAGCAAAGCAGCTCAACAAATCGTTACGTGAAAGCTTAAACGAACTCAAGACACTTGAAACGCTATCGTGCTATGACACTTTTGAATTATTTTTAGCAAGCAATTGAAGACTAAATTAGCAATTTTAAAAAATTTAAAAATTACCTTGAAATATTCAAGTTGAAGCTTTTTGATGATATCGTAAGAAGTTATCGCGGTGATTGAAGTTTACTTAACATCATTATCCGTGAGATTGGCTTAGGAAAATTTGAGGCATTACGGAAAAACCTTCATTCGCTTATATGGCAGTTATCGTATCGTGCAGTACGTAAGAATAAAAGAAAATAAGTAATCACAGGATTTGTGTCACAACCAAGATCGAATACATCGATGAAAACTTTACTTAGTCACCAAGTGATGAAACCATCTGCAAACAAAATTTCAAGGCTAATAATTTTGTTTTATCAAATGAAATCTTATCGTTCCAACAAAATTGACGTAAATCGACTATAAAGCAGATAAGAAACACCTTCAAGATTAAGGAAACGTGGCATCTGCAATAAACAACATAAACAAATTAAAAGCATGCAAAAACGATATTTAATTAATAATTAGAACAATCAATGACGCCTTCGTGAAAATCTCTTCATCGAATTCATTTAAAATCTTTATTCAGATATAATTCACAAGAATACAAGACAAATGTTTCCGTTACATTTACTGTTTATATTGTTCGTAGAATTTTTATCTAAATGTTTATTTCGCATTAAATACAACAAACGGGCTTCTTTGTCTGATTGTTCAGCTTATTAAAAATAGAATTGAAATTCAGATTGCATCATGCGTGTAATTTAAAACAATGTTGAAGAGATTATATGCTGTGTTGGAAACCGATGAGCCATGTAATTCTACAATGGCTTATGGAGCCTCCGTTACTGGATTTAAAAGCATTAAAAATCGTGCGTAGTTTCTGGGGTTCTTTATGTATAAAATGACAAGGCTTATCATGTCTTTGAGAGTTTATTTTTCTTTTCGTGTAAGAGCTTTTGAATACGAATACAATATGAAAAGCCTTAAATGTATGTACGTCAGCTTTCAAAACCGAAAACGGTTGTCTGATATCTTAAGTGCTTCTCTGTATGAAATTTTGAATAATGCTGTCGAAGGTGTTGTCAAGATTTTGTCATATTTTCTCAGAAAAATGAAAATAAAATAAAATTATTCAGAAGAAATGGAAAGAAAAGCTTCAACTTTTTTTTCTTTGTGTTTCACTGCATTCGCTTCATTCCATTATCCTTTCGTTTGCTAACGAAAAAGTGTCAACATGTCAGAATCCAGGAAACTGTCAATAAGAATCGTCTCAATGGATGTTTCCCTGTTGATTTTAAGACTTTCGCATAATAAGATGAAAACTTATCCCAACTTAAAGCTTTTTAAAAATTGTTTTCTGTTTAAAGTTTCAGTTTTATTTAAACAAAGTTCAAATTGTTGAACAATTTTCATAGCAATTTTAGTAGATAATGAAAAATGTTAAATAATTATTTGCAATTTTGTATTTTAACCTAATTAGTAGAAATGTCTGTAATTTTTTCATTTTAGTAAAAGCTTTCAAAATAGTTTTTCCCCGTCCAATGAATATAGTTCTTGCAACAAAATGTTGAAATATATCTTTTCATTGACATTGTGTTTAACATTAGTGACACAATGCTCATTTGTATACAAAACAAGAACATTCAAGTGCACATCATCATTCAAATCAATTGGACCTAAATTAGAGTGCTTCGCTAAATCATATGACAGGAAAAATACAATAATTAAGTTATCTTTCGATATATCTATAACTAGAAAACTGTACGATGTAAAATTACGCATTTCTTTCAGTTTTAATTTGTATTCTTTTACAATTATTTTCTATCGATGTTAAGGGACATTTTGAAATGAAACATCGGACTTTGACTCCATATTATAACACTGTAATTAATAACACTCTAGAATTCTGTGGATTCTTAAATGGAACAGATGAGAACGCTCTTACGAAGTGGATGATTAGGAATGTTTCAGAAACGAAAGTTGGGAAAAGAATTGTACATCCTTGTCCTTACTTTGGTTCAATCAGAATTGCGAACATGACAGTGGAAAATGTAATGTCTGCACAGTTCCTCAAAGGACAATATAAAATGTTGTTTAGAATGTTCGATGAGAAGGATAATGACATAATTACGACAATTCACGAAACTGAACTTAAATAGACAATTTTTTCAACCAAAATATTTGCAATTATTTTATTCTGGAAAAACATATTTTATCAAAAAAGTTTCTGTTTCTATCTCTCAGAGTGTAGGTCATTCTAAAGATGACAGCGTTTCTGTCGAAAATAGCTATTTAAGGTAATTCAAATAATAGTAGAAATTAGCAAAGTATCTCTCGTTTATTCTCGTATTACTAGTGAGCGTGAAATAATTATTTTACATTTAGTAGCTTAATTGGCAAAAATGATTGTAATTTTTTATTTCAGTAAAAGCTTTCAGAATAGTTTCTCTTGATCCCATGAAGAGGCTTTTTATTTAGTGCTTGACAAACAAATGTTGAAATATAATTTTTCATTGATATTGTGCTTCACATTTGTGACACAATGCTCATTTGAATACAGAACGAGAGCATTCAAATGCACATCATCATTCAAATCAATTGGACCTAAATTAGAGTGCTTCGCTAAATCACATAGCCGAAAAATTACACTAATCAACATATCATTCGATATAACTAGAAAGCTGTATGATATAAAAGTGCGTGCAATTCTTTCAATTTTAATTTGTATTCTATAACAATTATTTTCTGTCGATTTCAAGGTACATTATGAAATGAAACATCGGACTTTGACGCCTTATTATAACACCGTAATTAATACAACTCTAGAATTCTGTAAGTACTTAAATAGAACAGATGAGAACGCTCTTACGAAGTGGATGTTTGCGAGTATCCTTAAAACAGCTGAGAAAAGAATTGTACATCCTTGTCCTTATTTTGGTCCAATCAGAGTTTTTAACATTACATTGGAAAATGTAATGTCTGCACAGTTTCTCAAAGGACAATATAAAATGTCGTTTAAAATGTTTGATGGCACAGATAATGAAATAGTTACGATAATTCACGAAACTGAACTTAAATAGATAATTTATCAACAAAAATATTTGCAATTATTTTATTCTCGAAAAAATATTTTATCAAAATAGTTTCTGTTTCTCTCTCTCAGAGTATGGATTCATCATCATGAAATTGCAGATGGGGAAGCTCCACATGAGGAGCTTCAAATTATGCTGACGCATAATTTTAAGTTACTCCGGCCGATGTGAAGTTTCAAGATATGGTGAACGTTGCTGCGACTGTCCATGGACCTTCCGACTGTCCATGGACCTTCCGACTGTGCATGCTGACTGTCCATGGACCTTCCGACTGTCCATGGACCTTCCGACTGTCCTCTCGACTCTCCCACTCACTCAGAAGAATCCTTTAAAGAATTCTCGGAAATATTGTAGAAAGAATTCTCAGAAAAAATTCTTGATAAGATTCTCAGAAAAGTTAGCAAAAAAAGGTCGGTTTTTCACTTTTCTCGACGTTTCATGCTATTTTGAGCATATTTAAGCAAAAAAAATTTTTAAAAAATTTATGTCAAATACAATACGGCGACCCTCACCAAAGGTGGAGCCTCCGTAATTATAAAAGTATCTCATGTCTATTCTCGTATTATTAGTGAATGTGAAATAATTATTTCAAATTTAGCAGTTAAACCTAATTGGAAGAAACGTAATTGTTAACTGCAATTAGTGATTATTTTATTTTAGTAAAAGCTTTTCAGAACAGTTCCTCCCCGTCCCATGTCTTCATGGCTTTTTGCTTAGTTCTTGCAATAAAGTGTTCAAATATATCTTTTCATTGACATTGTGTTTGACATTTGTGACACAATGCTTATTTGAATACAAAACGACAACATTCAATTGCACATCATCATTCAAATCAATTGGACCCAGAGTAGAGTGCTTCGCTAAATCGTATAGCCGAAAAAATACACAAATTAACATATCTTTCGATATAACCAGAAAACTGTATGATGTAAAAGTACGTTAATCTTTCAATTTTAATTTGTATTATTGTTACAAATATTTTGTGTCGATTTTAAGGGACATTTTGAAATTAAACATCGAACTTTGACTCCATATTATAGGGTCATAATTAATAACACTTTAGATTTTTGTGGATTCTTAAATGGAACAGATAAGAACGTTCTTACAAAGTGGATGATTTCGACTGTTTCTAAAACAGTTGGGAAAAGAATTGTACATCCTTGTCCTTACTTTGGTCCAATCAGAATTGTGAACATGACAGCGGAAAATGAAATGTCTGCACAGTTCATCAAAGGATATTATAAAATGACGTTTATAATGTTTGATGATATAGATAATAACATTATTACGACAATTCACGAAACTGAACTAAAATAGAAAATTTATCAACAAAAGTGTTTGCAATTATTTTATTTTGGAAAAACATATTTTATCAAAACAATTTCTGTTTCTATTGTTGGATGGATATAAAATAGAAAACAAAAATCTATTAGCGACTGATTGTCGCAAGTATTTTAAGTGAACTGATCTTCATTGGCTAATTGATAAGAGATAACATCTGCATTGCTAAAAAGTATAAAAGTATCTCGCGTCTATACTCGTTTTAACGCGAAATAATTATTTTAAATTTAGTATTTAAAACCTAATTGGCCGAAATGTCTCTAATTATTTTATTTTAGTAAATCTTTCAGAATAGTTTCTCTGCGTCCAACGAAGAGGCTTTTTTATTTAGTTCTTGCATTAAAATGTTGAAGCATATCTTTTCATTGATATTGTGTTTGACATTTGTGACACAATGCTCATTTGAATACAGAACGAGAGCATTCACATGCACATCATCATTCAAAACAATTGGACCTAAATTAAAGTGCTTCGCTAAACCATATAACCGAAAAAATACACTAATCAACATATCATTCGATATAACCAGAAAACTGTTTGATGTAAAAGTGCGTGCAATTCTTTCAATTTTAATTTGTATTCTTCTACAATTATTTTCTATCGATTTTAAGGGACATCTCGAAATGAAACATCGAACTTTGACTCCATATTATAACACTGTAATTAATAACACCATAGAANATCTTTCCCTACACGACGCTCTTCCGATCTAAATTAAAGTGCTTCGCTAAACCATATAACCGAAAAAATACACTAATCAACATATCATTCGACTTAACCAGAAAGTTGTATGATGTAAAAGTACGTAATTCTTTCAATTTTAATTTACAAGAATACATTCTTTTCACAATTATTTTCTGTCGATTTTAAGGGACATCTCGAAATGAAACATCGAACTTTGACTCCATATTATAACACTGTAATTAATAACACCATAGAATTCTGTGGATTCTTAAATGAAACAGATAAGAACGCTCTTTCTAAATGGTTGTTTGCAAGTATTTTCAAAACAATTGGGAAAAGAAATTTACATCCTTGTCCTTATTCTGGTCCAATCAGAATTGTTAACATGACAGTGGAAAATGAAATGTCGGCGCAGTTCCTCAAAGGACAATATAAAATATTATTTACAATGTTTGATGAGATAGATGATAACATAATTACGATAATTCACGAAACTGAACTTAAATAAAAAAATTATCAACAAAAATATTTGCAATTATTTTATTCTCGAAAAAATATATTATCAAAATAGTTTCTGTTTGACAAAGTGATTCAATTTTTGCTTAAACTCTTGAATTTAGTTTGATCGACATTCTTCTTAATTTTTGTAACACAATGTGTACAAAATCAGAACCTCCAAGTACACATTACCATTCAAACCAATTAAACCTGACTTCAAGTTCTATGCTAAATCATATGATCGAAAACCTAAAATTGAAGTTTTTGGACGTTAAAATTTGATTTAAGAAAATTATAAATAATATGAATTAATTATTTTAAATTTAGTATTTAAAACCCAATTGGCAGAAATGTCTGATATTTTTTCATTTTAGTAAAAGCTTTCAGAATAGTTTCTTTCCGTTTCATGAAAAGGCGTTTTGTTTAGTTTTTCCAGCAAAATGTTGAAATATATCTTCTCATTGACCTTGGGTTTTACATTAGTGACACAATGCTCATTTGAATACTGAACGAGAGCACTCACATGTACATCATCATTCAAATCAATTGGACCTAAATTAAAGTGCTTCGCTAAATCATATGACAGGAAAAATACATTAATTAACATATCTTTTGAATTAACCAGAAAATTATTTGATACAAAAGTGCGTACAATTCTTTCAATTTTAATTTGTTTTTTTTTACAATTATTTTCTGTCGATTCAAGGCAAATTTTGAAATGAAACATCGGACTGTGACACCATATTATAACACCATGATTAATAACACTATGGATTTCTGTAGATTGTTAGATGGATCTGAGAAAAATATTTTTTCTCAGTGTTGTTAGGGAGTATTTTAGATACAGTTGGGAAAAGAATTGTACATCCTTGTCCTTACTCTGGTCAAATCAGAATTGTTGATATGTCAGTGGAAAATGAAATGTCTGTGCAGTTCCTCAAAGGACAATATAAAATAACATTTAAAATGCTTAATGAGGAGGATGATGACATAATTACGATACATAACTCATGATTCTGAACTTAAATAAATTTAATCAATTTTGATTTGATCGACTCTGCGTATGTTTATCAGTTTAAAGTTTGAAATTTTATTTTTAATTTCTGTCAAAAAAAATAAAATAATTCGGCGTGAATTTATTGTATTGAAAAATTTAATGCAAAAAGTTAACTTTAACGCTGCGTTTTCGAAAAAATATTTTTATTTGCGCTGAATTGTTTTATGCTTCATTACATTCGAATTGTGTAGGATATTGCTTACTCCGAATTGGAATGGAAATCAAAATGATAAATATTGTAAACATTATTAATATTGCTTTCTCTTGCTGGTTTTATTCCACATGAAAGTTCCACGAATTTAAATTTTCATATTTATTTTTCTGCATACTTTCAGTAATTTTTCGATTCATTCCACTACGAAAATTCATGACTCTTAATTCAGATAATTACAAAAGTTTATCTGGATCATGTTCATGTTGATCACAAAAAATTAGAATCAGTTATCGACTAATTAGAGCATCGAACTGAAGTTTTAATTTGAACGCTGAAGCATGAAACAATAAAGTTTAGTTGCTTTCAACTGAAGTGAAAATGGAAAACTTAAATTTCACAAACCTGCTGATGATTCATGATGGTTGAAAATATTTTCCAACGCATTGAAAGGATCAAAATTGTTCACTTGTCAGTTGGCAAACAAACATTTGTGCTCAATTCAATTTTTTTATGTCGAAGAGATGAAAACATTTATAACAACCCATGAAGTTGATATCGAATGTTGTGAATCCTTAATGTATCAAATAAAATTTTGCGAACAATATTACATAATTTGAATAGGAGTTGCCATCGAATTTTTTTTTTTAATAGTGTTTTATGAATGCTTACAAGAGATATGTGACTGGGAGGGAAAGCTTATAAGCCCTTTTCAATATTAAGGACAGCATACAAATTGTGAATAAAAAATGATGTTGCAATGATTTATAGACGTGAACGAAATTTCCGACTTCAATTTCTTCATTGAAATGGCTTTTAAAGCTAAACACCTCGAAAATTGACCCGTAAAAGGAAAAGTTTAAATGAAATCACGAAATGTTTTTAATGCCAATCAATAAAACAAAGAGATGTAGAACACTTTGCTGATTTGGTTTTCCACTCAACCACATTTGCTTTCTTCCTTTACATCACAAAAGGCAACACTCGTTCATGTAATGATATTCAATGGAAGATTCTGAAACAGGAAGAATACATAAAATCAGGGATTCACATCATCATCACCATCATCTTGTATATAAATCGATTTCTTTATATTCAACAGCTATTAAACACCAAATGTCAATATTTATTCTCGTATCAAAATTCAAAAGAAAATCATTGCATTCTCATAAGATTTCGAGAAGGAAAATCTAATAAGCAATTCTCATTGAAATGAAATTCGAACTCAAATATAAATACTTAATGCGGAAGTGTTCTAATTATTCTCTTTAATTTATTTATATCGCTTCTCATTATCCATAACAACGATATTTGCTTATTTAAATCCTATGGAATTTTGTTATTATAGTTTCACTCGGCATTTATCCAAGTAAGTAGATATTCAGCACAATTCTTATAAATAGCAACATACAAGGCTGATTCCTTTCTTAAGTATCATCTTCAAAACGAAACAACAAAATCTTTAAAGATGGGTAATAAATTATAAAAATTCCATGATAAATGTTCTGTCGAAAAACGACAGTTCCATCATATGCAGATTTTCTCAGGGTGAATCGTGTCAAAAAGTTTTTAAGTGACGCACTGTGGCTAAACTTTGTCAAATATATCAATTTTTTTTTCGTTTTTCTTTTTGTGACTGTCGTGTTGACAACCATGATGTCAAATAACGAATAAATAAATAATCGATACATTAAAGCTAACCATTTGTGCGTATTTACGAACAGCAGCAATGGTTTGAAAACTCATTTTATTGAATAAATAGAATGGCGAGAATTTGTTGGTGAAAAGTTTTCTCTCATAATAAGCTGGAACGATGTTTATTTTCTTAACTTGAAAGCATTTAATGCCTTAATGGAAGTAAGGAAAAAGCGCTGGTTTTTTATGAATTCGCTCTGTTGACGACGTTAGGGTCAATGATTGAATTGATGGACCTAAGCAAGGATTTACAGGATAGAAACGTAGAAAAATATGTGAACGGAACATTTAAATAAAACACTTAATTAAGAAACTTATGCTTAAATTTAACATAGTTTCTTAATTAATTGTTGAAATTTTATAAATGCTTGGCTTAGCTGAGAAAAATTAATTCTTAGCTTTAAACATATTGTTGGACCCACCAAATGAATTGTTGGTACTACACTGTTCATAAAATTGGACTGTGTAGAAAAATGCATTTGTGTAGGTTAATATTGAAAAGTGTTGGTGGGTTGAATTTAAATTTGAACGTTATTGATCAAAAAATAATAAAAAAGCAAAAAAATTAATAAATTGACAATAATAAGTTAAACCAATTCTATAAAATGATATTAAAGTACATAATATTCATTTTAAAGTTTATCTTAAATCTTATTTCTATGTTTTGTTTACAAAAATTCAAATGACAGTCAGACAGAAAATAACTTGATCGTTGTTTTTTTTAGGTCCAAATTTTCATTTTTCGAAGTTGAAATGGTACCAACAATTAGTACAAAACTTCGCTTCAAAAAATATTAATTTTATTCCTTATTTCGCGTTGGAACAAAAAAATATTCCATGAATAGACTTATTAGAAGTTATTCAACAACTTCTGTAAAGATTTTTTTAAAATAATTAAAGTTAAAAGATTAAAAAAAGCATCTCAACTGTGGCTAAATTTTGAACATAAAACACTGAAAGTTCTTTTGAAGTTTTCAGTGTAATTAAACTTTTAGCCACCATATTGACAAAGAGAATAATGTTTTTAACATAATTATAAACAACATTGCTGAACAACACAGTGGCCAAAAGCGCTTGCTTTAAGAAATAAAAGAAGGCCCAACAATAAGTTTAGGACATATTTCCAAGCATTGACCCTACTTAACTTCTATATGGAAATAAATATTTCCAAACTTTTAAAAGTTGTACAAAAGCTTAAATCTCTTATGATAATTATATAATCTTTGAAAATTAATTATATACATATAACAAAGATGCTGTTCGAAACAATAAATTCATAGTATGCGGAGTTGAATATCAGTATTATTGATGACACGTTAAAAGCGAACATCATCCATATGGCAGTTGTTTTTCATCTCACTGTTTTCAATGTTATAGGTAAAGTTTCGTTTATTTATCACTCATGTAATAAATTAATATAATTTTTCTTTAAAACTTACACTAAAACATTTGTGAACACTTACCAATAGCTTTCATTGATAGAGAATACTTAAAAAGATAAAAGCTACAATAAAAAGAATTTAAAAACATTTTCCATCTCATTTTCATACAGTTTTGCTCTTCTATCCTCTTATTAGTACCTGTAGACCTTCTGTTTTATAAGACTAAATGTAAAATTATTCTATAAAATTAAGTAATAACTAGAGAGTGCTTCATTTCATCTTTCAACGCCTTAAAACCAAGATCAGTGAAAAAGTTCAATCGTGCTTCTGTTTCAAAATGATAATTTGGTGTATTGGAATAATTCTGTGCTTTTGTAATGCAGGTAAAATATGCCTAGATTATTGTGAGCTATCATAGATCTTAAAAATAAATTAGTTTTCTTTATTGAAATGGTAAGAGTATAGTTTCCCAGGGTGGGTAATAAATTTCGACCAAAAAAAATTAACGTTAACGTTAATTAATGTACGAACACGGAAAGTATACTTTAGCCATTGAAATTTTAAATCAAAACAACAATTTATTATAAATTGAGAAATTTTTGGTTGAATGTATTCTTAATTTTTTTTCTCATTTTTNTTTATTCTCGTATCAAAATTCAAAAGAAAATCATTGCATTCTCATAAGATTTCGAGAAGGAAAATCTAATAAGCAATTCTCATTGAAATGAAATTCGAACTCAAATATAAATACTTAATGCGGAAGTGTTCTAATTATTCTCTTTAATTTATTTATATCGCTTCTCATTATCCATAACAACGATATTTGCTTATTTAAATCCTATGGAATTTTGTTATTATAGTTTCACTCGGCATTTATCCAAGTAAGTAGATATTCAGCACAATTCTTATAAATAGCAACATACAAGGCTGATTCCTTTCTTAAGTATCATCTTCAAAACGAAACAACAAAATCTTTAAAGATGGGTAATAAATTATAAAAATTCCATGATAAATGTTCTGTCGAAAAACGACAGTTCCATCATATGCAGATTTTCTCAGGGTGAATCGTGTCAAAAAGTTTTTAAGTGACGCACTGTGGCTAAACTTTGTCAAATATATCAATTTTTTTCGTTTTTCTTTTTGTGACTGTCGTGTTGACAACCATGATGTCAAATAATGAATAAATAAATAATCGATACATTAAAGCTAACCATTTGTGCGTATTTACGAACAGCAGCAATGGTTTGAAAACTCATTTTATTGAATAAATAGAATGGCGAGAATTTGTTGGTGAAAAGTTTTCTCTCATAATAAGCTGGAACGATGTTTATTTTCTTAACTTGAAAGCATTTAATGCCTTAATGGAAGTAGGAAAAAGCGCTGGTTTTTTATGAATTCGCTCTGTTGACGACGTTACTTTGTTTAAAAAAAGAGTTCTTCAATTCTGTTTCAAGCACAATAATATAAATGTTAGCATTGCATGATAAAAATACTTTTTTATGTTTCCACGTTCGCCATTTGAAGTCGTCAAGTGTTTACAAAGCAAACGCACATGATTTTATGTCTACTTTAAATATGGAGCTACATAAGTATAAGCAATGTTGGAAATTTGATGAAACTCAAAGAAATTCCTTATTTATTATTAAATAAAAAAAACTCGCGAGAAGAGAAGCTTCAAAGACGTTTTTTAAAATGCTAAAGAAAATCGATTTCCGTAAAAATATTTTCAATGAAATTCGATTCAAAGTTTTAAAGAAAAAATTATTCTGTTAGTTTCTCATCAGTTTAAAATTTATTACATTTATTTATCATACTAAATTAACGATAAATTATTCTGAACATGACATGATACTTAAGTATTCAATAATGAAAAGCATCATCGGTTTCAAACAACGACGCAATTCGATATCCATGGAATTTATCGTTTACATATCTCAGATATCAAACAAAATTTTCAAAAGATTATGAGCTTTACTCTGTTTTCTTACTTAAATAAAAATGTGCCTCAAAGCGTAAAATTATAAGAAATAAAATCAACGGTTTGATGTCTTGTGAAAGCACTCAAACCTAAATTTCAATAATAATTCAATTTCTTCATTTCAAAGAAAAAACAAGTAAGAGAAAGTTCACACTCCACCTTTTTATGCTGATGACGCAATAAAAAGCTCATCTTCGTGTTTTTTTAATGGATTTGTAAGAATTTTCAATCATCTTGTTGATCTTCAGAATTTCGATGTAAACCTTCACTAAGCTTCAAACTGATTCAAAATATTGCAATGCATTGATTTCTAATAACAAAATGTTGGAAACAAACGGCTTTGTTCTAATTTTAAAAACATAACTGATTAAATTTGATGAAAAAGAAATTAATAATGAATTTTCCAATTTAGTAATGTCAATAAAATTAATCAATATTTTTATTTCCACTTCAGGTCGTTGGCAACGAACACAATACTCTGATATTTGATATTAAAACTCCCAGTTCTAATCAGTCATCATCACATAATGTTTTATTCGTTTGCATTGCTGGCGATACGGAACAGAAAGCAAAATTTGAATTTCATGTGAAGGAAACATTTCGGTGAGTAATTTGTGTTTGATTTTAATGAAATGAAAATGTGAATGACATTTGTGCTTACGTTTATTCTCTTCCGTAGCTATGTTCTCGGTCACTTGTTGACAGCATTTGAACTTTATGAAGAGAAGCGCGTTCGTTTTCAAACTCAAACACTTCTTCAAGTGGCTCGTCGATTGTTAGGCAAAATTGGTGACTTGGGACAGTTACTAAGAGGTGTAATGGCGGAAGCCCGAGAATTAGCGAAAGCCGAACGTTGTTCGTTGTTTCTTCTCGACAAAGATACTGGAGAATTAGTGTCGAAAGTTTTTGATGGCAATGCAGTGACTCAACGAAAATCATCAAGGGAAATAAGAATTAGTGGACATCAAGGCATCGCAGGCCACGTCGCACAGACAGGGAAACTTCTCAACATACACAACGCATATCAACATCCACTTTTCTACAAAGGAATTGACGAACAAACGGGATTTAAAACAAGAAATATTTTATGCTTTCCAATCTGTGACGAAGAGCGTGTCATTGGTGTCGCACAACTTTGCAATAAAATCGACGGATTTCATTTTGATAAATGTGATGAGGAAACAGCAACAGCATTTTCGGTTTACTGTGGAATTTCAATAATGCATTCAATGGTTCATAAAAGAGTTCAAAAAGCTGAGGCAAGATATAAATTATCACAAGAACTTTTACTTTTTCATATGAAAGTTCCTGACATTGACGTGAGAAATTGTCTTAACAGCACATATTTGCATAGCGCAGAAGAAAAGTTTCCAACTTTTGATACTTTTGAGTTTTGTCCTCGTGATGTTGACGAACATAGTTCAATCTACTTATGTATAAAAATGTTTAAAGATCTTGACTTCATTGCGTTGTTTAAGATTCCCGAAGAGAAGCTTGCACGATTTTTGTTACTTGTTCAAAAAGGCTATCGAAACACGCCTTATCACAACTGGTTTCATGCTTTCTCCGTCGCACATTTTTCTTATGTTTGCATGAAGAATTTAAGATTGATGGAGCGTGGAATCATCACGAAGCTACAGGGACTTTCATTTCTCATATCGTGTCTGTGTCATGATTTGGATCATCGCGGTTTCAACAATTCTTACATGACACAGTCGGGGAGTCAATTGGCACGTCTCTACAGTTCGGAAGGATCAATCAACGAACGACATCATCTGTCTCAAGCTATTTGCATTTTAAATGATCCGGGAAGTAAAATTCTCGATTCCTTGTCAACTGAACAATTTATGGAGTCGATTGATTACCTTCGTGAGTTGATTTTGGCGACAGACCTGGCGAATCATTTTCGAATTTTTAAACAACTGAAAACATTAAATCCGGAGAATATTGTGGATAATCAACGAATGTTGCTGTCCTTGTTGATGACATGTTGTGACCTAAATGATCAAATAAAAATGTGGACAACTGTGCATAGTGTCGCTGAACTTGTCTACACAGAATTCTTTGCTCAAGGCGATCTTGAACGTCAAATGGGACTGAATCCAAACCTTATGATGGATCGAAAGAAAGCTTGCATCCCCGCATTACAAATTGAGTTCCTCGACACGGTCGTTACACCAACGTTTGAAATATTTGTTCAAATCTTTCCTGAGAAATCAGATTTTCTTCAAACGATTTCAATAAATCGCGAGCATTGGGTTGAAGTGAAAGAAAAGGAAACGACTAAAAATGGGAGTTCATGTTAAAAAGCCTTTTATAAGTATGAAAATGAAAAAAGAAAACTGACCAAAGCTGAAGAAAATCTTCTTAGTTTAATTAAATTTTGAAGCAAGACAAAAAATTGCATGCATGTACATAAAAATAAATTAAAGTTTAATTCAATTTTGTTTTCATTCAATGTTTGTTTAAAATTTCATCCGAAATAAATTCAATTAGAGATGGTGAGAAACTTTTGGTGTTTCAACTAATTTGAAACTTTCAAGAGGTGAAATTTCGAAGCAATCTTTAATAACATGAAAGAATTTAAGAAATTTTGATAGAATTTAATCATTTTGTTCATGAATAATTAATTAAAGAGATACTTTTAAGCTTAAACGCTTCGTTATTCCACCTTTTGCTTTCCAAACCAATCTTTTCATATAATCACAAAAATGAAAGTGAATAAGAAATCACAAAGGGAAAATTAGAATAAAATCCCAAAAGTCTAATTTGAAACCACCAGCATTTTCTTTTTTCTTGATGAAAATTTGATTTCCTTTTCTTTGACACTCAACTTATCAAAGGCTTTTGATTCAAACTTTTCTTTTCTTCACCGTCGTATTTTTAAATGTGTTGCGAAATTGTGGTAGAGTAGAAAATGATTAAAATCATAACTTAGATTTAAAAAACATTTATCCTTGTGTTAAATTTATGTTTCTTTAATTACAATTTGCATTTGAAATTTAGTTTGCTGGTCAAACTTAATATAGAGCCTTTTCCCAAAGTTAGCATGAATTTCGCATCTTTTTTACAAATTTCAACTTTCAACAAGTATAGTTTTCGTTGTGGGCGATGGAATTGAAAAAAGTAAACGTAAAACTGTTGTTACACTTATTGACTGTTTATGTAATTTTTTGGAGACCGATCCAATGATGTTTAAGTAACATAAATTGAAAATGAAAACATTGCAATTTTTGTCTTCAATTGGACACGAGGGGCACAACTTAGACATTTTTTTTTGGCTCAACTTGGATTATTGTGGTTCATCGAAAATGGAGCACGTGTGCTTAAGTATAGGTGGAAAAGTTTATTTTTGATCTACTTTGTAGATTTCTTCAAAAAGTAAACAAAGAATCAAATTAAATTCATTTTTAAAATTAAATCATTGATTATCGAATTGAAATCAATTAAAATAGTTGTATTTTAAATTAATTCATGAAGAATATTTCGCTCGCTTCATAACCGGATCTAATTAATGAAATTTTCATATTTAATCACTGAACAATGAAGAGAACTATTCATGTGGGTAATCCCGATCAACATACAACGTTTGTTGTTTGCGTTGGTTTAATTACGCGATAAAAGCTTCTCCATTTGAAAGCTTCAAATACTTCAACATGTTGTAGAAGCCTTTTTCAATTAAATATCCTTAGGGGCCATCAACAAAGCAAACAGAATTTTTTTATTGACAAAGATTTTTAATAATATTTGGAAGTGGTTCGAAGTATTTTATTGATAAACTTAAGTCAACACTGTTCACTTTATTGGTCTAACTTGTCANTTTTATTCTCTACATATTTGAAATATCTTATGATTTACTTTCTAATCTAAATAAATTAATAAATCTGTGCATTTTTATTAATCTAAAGAATTAAATTTTTCCTGATAAACTTAGAATTGTACTTGTAAGATGTAAATGAATAATGACGGCATTATATAAATTTTTATTTCATGAAAAGTGAAAACAAAATGCTTCTTAATAATTTCATATTATTTCGGTTGAAATGTCCATTCATTCTTCAAAACAGCAGAGTAGTGAATATTTCTTTTCCAGATTTATGCCTAAGGGAACGGATGGTAATTTATATTTGACATTTTGATGCTTAGGAAAAAGGGACGGAGAGTGATGAAGCGTTTTCTTATAAAGGCTTACAAACGAAAATATTTGTCTTGGAATAAACATCAGAAGGCGTTTGAAACAATTCACGTTTTCAGAGCGAGTGAATGACCCCCAGTTGCTACTCACTAGCATCTACTCAACAGAAGCGCTACTCATTTTCATTCCAATAAAACGTTTTGTGAGAAGAACCTGAGGTAAGCTTTAAAACATTTTTACCAATCTGAAATACATTTTCTATGAATAGATTACGAATTCACCTCTGAAATGAAATGGAATTAATTGATTATTAATTATCGATGATCAAATATTTAATTGAACTGTCTCATAATTGATGTTTTTATTAGGCAGACTTAACTGTTTGTTTATTAACATATGTTTCGCTTAAATTTTTAGTCACAATATATTTTTGTTCATTTAAAGTAATGTCGAGTGGTAGTTCAGTTTAAAAATTAAAAATAGCAAAGTGATAAGCTGATAATTATCAAAATCATTCCTCGTCATGGAGGAAACATTAAAGACGTGTTATTATTTATTAGTAATGTACGGCTGGTTTATTTTGTTCATCTACTATACTTATCCAATAATAACAAGTGGAACAGAATCAATGCTTCCCTTGAAACAATCTTCAAATAATGCTGGTGACTAAAATGTCTCTTCCCTTTCAACGTTTCAAATTGTTTAATTTATTTTCAGAAACATTTTGAATGTTCAAATCTAACCAATCAATTCAAAATAAATTATGAGAAAACATTTTGGCAAGTGATGACGACTTCAAATGGGACGATTAAAATGTTCAACTCTTATTATGACTCGAGGGAAATATTGGAAAATGTAACGATGGTTCGAATAATTGCGATGATCAATCGAATTGATCCAAGTGTAAAAACTTACTGTCAGTTTTATTATGAAGAAGGAAATAAGCAATTGACGTCTGAAGTTTTTGAATATTTGATGATATGGAAGCAACAATGGATGATGTTTGATGAAAATGGTTACTTGCCATATCTCATTAGTTGTAAAAATCCTATCACGGATATTCCAACCTCAGTTTCACTAGTTGAAAGAAAATGCGATGAACCAACCAACAATCTCAAAGTAATTTTTAATCAACCTGAGAATGAATTGAGAAAACCTTTTGCTGTGTGTGCCAAACATTTGATCTTTGATGAAGACATAACAACGAGACTTATTGAATGGATTGAAATTGTTTCCATTCTTGGAGCTACTAAAATATATTTTTATGTTGTTCGCGTCCATCCGAATATTATGAAAGCTTTAAAATATTATGAATCTAAAGGAATTGTCGAGATAGAATTCATTGTGGATTTAGAACTGTCCAACGATAGAAGCAAAGAAAAATATCACAAAATTCTCAGCCAAATGGTGGCGGTGAATGATTGCTTTCTAAAGCACATGCATGAGTATGAAATAATCTCAATATTTGATACTGATGAATTAATTATGCCAACAATTGATGAAACATGGAAAGATCTTCTTGCTCGCAATTCTTACAATGACGACTTGCCTCCTGCTTTGACTTTCACGAATTTATATTTTTTCATAGGCGACAATTCAGCTGATGAAACTAAATTAGAAATTCCCGAAGATTTCTTCTTTCTTCGACATATCTATCGTGCTCAAAATCATTCCCGAAAAGGACTTGCTATGAAAGCTTTCTTTAATCCACAGAAGGTTCTTGTGATTTGCAATCATTTCCCTTTGGTTTGCATTAAAAAAGGAGTTTCTTCTCGAAAAGACTGCAAGGTTGAGTTCATATCAACGGAGTTTGGACGTCTTCAACATTACAGATCAAAGGTTCACCTTGGTTGCAATAAAGAATACACAAAGGAAGAATGTGAAGACTTCGAAAACAATCAAATTAAGGATTTGACATTATGGAAATATAAGAATGAAATTGTAGAAAACGTTTCAAATGTTAAAAAGATTATTGGGATGAGATCTGTTAAATCAATTAAATCAACTTTCACAATTCATGCATTTGAAGATTTTATTTAAAAGAAATTGAGTGTACATGAAACAAAGAAAATAATAAAAAATTTATTTAAAATGCAACACTTTCCGTTTATTTTGATTGAGGTATTAATTCATTCTTCTTCGGCTCTAGAAGTTCATCGACGATCCCTTCAACAATCTCATTGAGTTTTTCTTGAACGACTTTCCAGTCTCTGAAAAATGTTGAGAAAATTAATTAATGTTTAATGTTTGAATAAATTTCTTACTTTTCATCGGGTTTCGCGCAATATTCCGAGTAATATTTGATCTTAGGCTCAGTTCCAGATGTTCTTAAAGTAATGACAGTGCCATTTGTCAAAGTAAACGTGATCATTTGTGAACTTTTACTTGCTGGAAGTAAACTTTTTCCATTCGGCTCTGACGTATCAACTCCAGTTGTCAAATCTCTTACACTGCCAATCTTAAACTTTCCATTTAAAATGAACGCCGGATATTCGCCAGATTTTCCATTCCAGTTTCGAATTCTCTGAAAAATTCTCTCAATTTTCTCAGGTTCATAACAAAACAAGTAACTGTTGATGGAGAAATGATATCCATAATCAGCATAAAGTTGATCAAGTTTCTGCGTTAAACTTAAATTATGTTTGATCTTTAAATACGAAGCCATTGTCGCTAAATGAGCTGCAGCAGAAACTCCGTCTTTATCGAGAACAGCTGGTGAAAACATAAAGCCAATTGCTTCTTCAAAAGCAAACAAAACTTCCTTTCCACTTCTCAATAATTCCACGCTTCGATTTCCCATCCATTTAAATCCAGTCAAAGTTTCTTCAAAATTAAATCCATCAATCTTTGACATTGAACGAAGCATTTTTGAACTGACGGTGCTGGCAACAATATAACAATTTCTTAAATCAGCTCCAGGATTTCTCTCTTTATGACATTGAACTGACCACCAGCCTAAAAGTGAACCGAGTTCGTTGCCATTAAACACTCGCCAATCATTTGTCAGTGGATTTCTTTCAGCACAAGCAAGACGATCAGCGTCAGGATCGTTTGCAAGAATCAAAGACGAACCAACATCATCAGCAAGTTTCATTGACAAAACGAGAGCAGATTTCCCTTCTTCTGGATTTGGAAATTTAACGGTGGGAAAATCCGGATTGGGATCACGTTGCTCAATGACAGCATGCACAGGATTTAATCTCGAAACTTCAAACGCACGCTCGACAAAAGGAAAACCAACGCCATGCATTGCACTATAAACAATCTGTAATCGCGCTTCTTCATTGTACTTTAAGAAGTTTGATGGAATAAACTTCAGCATGTCATCGAAATACTTCGTGAACATTTCATCGAATGGATCTTTAAGAAGAGGTGAGTTGAGTGCTTCAAGATTCCATGATGATGTTAACGGACTGAAAATAAAATAATTTCATTAATTAAACATTTAATTGTCTTGAGCAGACTCACGTTAAGTTCTTTGAAATACTGTTTTGAATATTTTTATCATGTGGTGGGATAATTTGTGCACTATTCGTCCAATAAACTTTATAGCCATTGTCTTCCTTTGGATTATGTGATGCCGTCACCATAACACCGCAAAGTGCATTAAGTTTCTCAATACAAAATGGGACGAAAGGTGTTGCTGTCATTTTTCGATAGAGATAAACTGGAATGTTTTCATTAATAAATATCGAGGCAGTTAATTCAGCAAATCTGAAATGAAATAAATTTTTAATTTAATTATTCAATGTAAGTTTCAAATTTTCAAACCTTTTGCTGTTGTATCGTCCATCGTAACTCAAAACAATTCCTCGTTTCAAATCATCTGCATGTGGATAACATTCCTTGACATATTTCGACAATCCTTGTCCAGTTTGTATGATAACCAAATCATTCATTGAATCAAATCCAGCTCGCATTGGTCCACGCAAGCCGGCAGTTCCAAAAGCTAACCGATTCAACAATCGTTTTTCAAGTGTTTGCCAATCTTTCATTGATATCAACGATTGAATCTCATTTAATGATTTCTCGTTCTGAAGAGAGAATTGAATTTCGTTATCAATCACATGTTTGATTTGAAATGCTTAATTACGAGCTTAATTAGCAACAGAAAATATTGAACTTCACTTACCATATCCCATTGGAGCCATTGGGCAATCTTCATGTCAAGCTCTCCATTTCCAGAATACTTTTGAATTGTTGTCGATTCCATCACTTAAGCTTCTCGTCTTTCCTTTAAAACTTCCGATTTCTCTTTGAGTAGTGTTAATTAAATAATCGTCTAAAAGAAACAGATAAAAGTCACGATGTTAACACAGCTACGAAACCAAATCAACTGAAATCGTTTTCAATTTTTTTTCTTTCTTATTCTGTTTGTTGCGCGCACAGTTGAAAGTGAATACTTTTTTCTACAATCGGTAACAGGCGAACATCTTTTTGTTGAGAGCGCAATAATGTTGATGAGAAACTCTGCTTCGTTTTTTTATCAATTTGTTTTTGTTTCTTATCAGTGAATGAAACGTTGTTGAAGTTTACATAAGGAACTTTATAATATTTTATTGTGCGGGGAAAGAACGAACGTTATCGAATTAGCTACGTTCTTAGACACACACAAGCGTGGATTTACACATTCGAACTAAGCAATTGATGCAAATGATCAACAAATAACTTTCGTGTTCATTTCACAAAGAGTTTTATTTTAATTTACAAATTTTAATGAAAACTTAATTAACTTTTTTTTAGAATAAAACGTTTAAATCTTCCACAATATCAATAACAAGGCTCAAAGTATTTACGCAGTAATCTAATCGATTATTATTAAAATAACTAAAAATAAATTTTGGCTTGTTTGAAGAACTTTATCAGCAAATATTTAGATTTACATTTGGAAACTTTACTTGTTTTGTTTGCCTTCTTTTCAGTAGTTAAAACCAATTGTTTTTATGGTTAATCAGTTGGAACTAACACAGTTAATTTGTATGACAGTCGGCTTCTTAAAAAGATATTCAACATTCATATTTACAATTTTCATCGAAGGGAAGTCAACTTACTCACTTCTTACATGAAGAACAATGTTGAAAGTTCATTTTTTCGAACCCAACATGAACATTTTCACGATTATGGAAAGCTGGAAAATTGACGACATGCGCAGTTGACATCATTTTATTCAAGTAAATAACATAAACAAAATTTTCAATGATTTTTCATTCACTTATTCAATCTTCCAGTCACAACAAACCAATTCTCTCACTCACATTCTTTTTCTCGTTTTCCATTTTTTTCCTTCTGCCACTGTGCTCTTTGATAACCCGCTGAGTCAGGCAGCAGTTCCTTCATCGAATGGATTAAATTTTCTCCCTTATCCACAAGTTTTCTTCCAACTCTTCGATAAATAACTGTGAATTTTAACAAGCTTTTAACAATGTGCTGTTGTGTGTTAAAACTTATTACAATGGTCGTTTAATTAAAGATTCTTGTTCAAGGTGTTATCCATAAAAGTTGTTTCATTAGGAGGATTTAAGACAGATAATGACGACACGTGATTAATACAAGAAAACAAGGAAAATGGAAAAAAGTTTTCATAAAAAATAAAAAATAGAAAAACATTCACAGACAGTGGAAGTTTCATCAGGAAGAAGGAAAGAAAAGGTTGTGACGTGTTTTATGAAATTTACCGCATTTTCATTGCATCAAAATTGAGTTATTTAATATTGTAAAAAAAGAAAGAAAAAGCCAGCAGCGAATTCCGGAACTGTGAAAAAAATTTCCGCAATCATCACTCAGCAAGCACAATTTTTTTTTATTATTATCTAAATATATTACATTTTCATTTTATTCGCTATGAGCATTCTCGTTCTTTTCTTTTTCCCTACAAAAGTTGTCACAATCACTTCATCTCATTTGGCTTCGAGGAATTTTTATTCAATTTTGTAAAACGAAAAATTTTTGTGTGGGTCATTGGGGGACGGAAAAGTGCGAAGCAAGTAAAATTCATTTCGACATTTTCTATCATTATCGATTAGATTAAAGACTGACTCGCAGTGGATACTCAAGTTGAAAGTTGACATCTTTAAAATTAAACAGACAGAGGAAAAGTCTTTGCTGTTCAGCAAGAACCAACATCATTCATATCAATTTAATTCAGCTACAGGGCCCACATACAGGAGCATAACACAGAAAACTAACAAAGTAAACGTTTAAAGAGTTAACCGTTTGGGTAAGACGAAAAATTTTGCTTTTGATGTGACTTGGATGTTAATGTTTCCGTACATTCAAAGAGAATTATTGTGTGGGTGGAATAATCCAAACATATAAAAGCACACAAAAGCCTAATTTGAGGCACGCATAACAAATGATGGCAAGAATTGCTGAAGATAATGACTTTGATCATTTGAAGAAACTTGTTGACGAGATTGATGGATGGATTTTGGAACTCGATAAATCTGATACGAAGGTTTGGACGCGTCCAATTGACGGCTGTTCATTTCAAATGGTCAAGATACAAACAATTTTTCCTGATATCTCGTCTGAGACTCTCTACGACGTTCTTCACGATCCAGATTATCGAAAAGTTTGGGATACGCATATGCTTGAATCGCTTGAAATTGGTCTTCTTAATGTAAACAACGATGTTGGATATTATGCAAGTAAGTGTGAAAATAACAAATTTAATTAATAAATAATTCATCCAAGTCAGATTTTCACAAAAACCTCACTCATACATAATAAAACGTTCTGTTTAAGTGTCGTGTCCGCCACCACTCAAACCAAGAGATTTTGTCTTACAACGAAGTTGGCTTGATACCGGCCCAAATGGCGAGCAGATGCTTTTAAGTCGTTCCATTCCACACAAAGATTTTCCACCGAAGAAAGGTTATGTAAGGTAAATAAACAAAGGAAAGAAGGAAAAAAGTTAATAAAAGAGAAATATTTGTGAGATTTTAAAAAATTATGTAAATATTTCTTTTTTCCTCAACTCTCAAGGGCAATCACACATATTACTGGGTTTGTGCTTCGCTCGAGATTACCTGAGACAGGTTGTGTACTTAATTATGTAGCCCAATGTGATCCCCAAGGAAAACTTCCGCCATGGTTAGTAAATAAAGTTACGCATACACTTGGTCCAAGAATGGTGAAAGATTTAAGAAAAGCCGCACTTGGATACATCGAGTGGAAGCAAAATCAATCACATTTTCGGAAGCCATGGCGGGATCCTGAAGATATCACAGTACCTAGAATATTAATTACTGATTGTTGGGATCCAGTCGAGCCGGTGACAGAGATGTCAACACCTTCAGCGCCATCAACTCCGACACTTCATTCGAAACCATTGAAAATCTCAAGTAGCAAAAGCAATGGAAGTTCACTTCCATGTTCTGTTACAAACAGTCCAATCGTACAGAAAAAATCGAAGAAAAAGTTCAAATTCAAGTTTGATAAGTAAAGTTTTTAAAGTTTGATACCTTCAAGCTTGTTTTGCTTCTTCTTCCAAAAGTATCATAGTTTGGACAGATTAGAAAGAAACAATTAAAAAATCTTTTAACTATACAAAAACTTTTAATCAGAGTCAAAGTTATGAAGTATCAGAAATGTCAAAAGCATTGCTTGCATTTATCGCCAACTTTTTGTTTTGTTTTGATCTTTCAAAAGCAAATGCAGTGTAAAGTTACAAACCGTGATATTTTCATCATAGAAAACAAAAGTATTAAAGTTGTTAAATCTTAAAACTGAAACTCTTGTTAATTAAATTTAGTAAAGGAAGTTAAATTGTGATGATGTTCTCAAAAAAAGGATAAGATGAAATATGTTGTGAATGTCAATTTTGATGACTCATCAAATTGGTTTAAATATTTAGTAGAGATGAAATTAATCAAGGGATAAATTAAAAGCAATTTACGAGACAGTTGATTAATCTATCGGTCTAATGAAACTGTAATACAATTAATGAATCTGCCACAGACTTCTTCTGCATGATTACAAATAGAAAACAGAAAACTTTCCTTCTAAGATTTCTTTCCCTCTTTCTTCTTTACACAACAAACAGCCAAAAAATCTCTTTCCAACTTCTTGACTGCGTAGAAACTTTTTCTACACTTGAATAACATTTTGATCCCTTTTTATCCTTCTTTTTTCTCCTTAGCGATGATGTAGAAAAAGTTTATAATTAAATTGTCGATTCTTGTAACTCTTCATATCGTTATCATATGAAAAAGATGAAATCCTATTGCCTTAACATAATTCATTCATTCTTACAGATCATTTTCAAAAACAGAAATTAAGAAAAGACGAAACAAACTTTACTGTAGTTATAAAGTAAAAAGTTTTTAATTAAAAAAATTATCATTTTAGCTTTAATGACAGTCGTGACTGACAGAAAGAATTGCAAGCTGAGTAGAGAATCAATCTAGAAAATGTCATGAAGCTAATTGAGACTAAATATTCAAATGATAATAAAATATGTTTATGTTGATACATGATGAGATGTGTAGAAGAAATAAATGATCCAAAAAACAAAAAAAAAAAACTTTCCACAGCAGTTGTGAAAACGAACACAAGAAGAGAAATATTTTGTGAAAATAAAGAATAATAGAAAATTATCTCAGTTCAGAAAACTTTGTAAAGTTCATTCAAATTTATTCATTATTTCATTAATTGAATACTAATCATAAATTACTTTCTACCTTATCAGAAAATCCCACAAAAATTGCCTTGATATACTTCCGCCATTTAATCAGCTGATAACCTTCAGATATGAGCAATTTTCCCTCATCAAAACGACTTCATGTTTCTCCCACGCTTTTTATTATTTATTTCAATTTGATGATCATTTTTAAGAAACTCTCCGAGTATTCTCAGAAGCTGATAACGCTAAACGATCAGGTCAGTATGGATTGATAGCTCTTATGTTTCAGTTGTGAGAGAAGCAATGCAATATAAAGTCTCAATACCGAATGAAAGAGATTTGCATTGCGAAGAAGAGTGCGCGAAAGTAAAATCAAAATGGAAGAAATTAAACGTTTATCAACATTTAGCTTCGGTTATTTTGATACCGACCGTAATAGTTGCATTTTGGCGAGGAACTTGGGATTTACAAGACCACTTTCATCAGTTTTTTCCAGTGATTCCAACACTCATTGCATCCCTCTTAGCTGTGTCTATACTCGAGCTTTTAAGAAATTCGTTCATTGTAAAGCACTTAAGAATTCTTGATGACGATTCAAGCTTTAAAGTTTTTAAGAAAAATGTTCTTCTTAGTCTTTACGACATCATTTACAATTTGGCAAACGTCGTAGCGTGGAGAATTTTATGGGGACATCCCGAGGGTAAGTTGAATAAAAATGGAATTTCCGTCTTCAATTTTATACAATTTAAGAATGAAGCGTTTACATATTGAATTAGGTATGTACATAAGGAATGTAAATATTAACAAGGAAGAAGGATTAGATGTAAATATATACATTTCATGCAAGTTTTGCAAATATTATCTTATCACTGCTTATCTGTTTCACGTTTCACTTTACATTTACAAAATCGTCAAAACAACGACAGACGAAAAATATTTTTGTTGCACGCCAACACGAGAAAGATTAAAGTGTAAAATTTAAACTGAAAACTTGTCAATGTCACGATTTTGAACTGCTTATAAAATCATTTACTAGATTGTGTGTCAACAATGTTCATGGCAAATTTGAAACATGCATTGCACGAGGATAATTTGATGAATTCAATTTTCAATGCTTTTGTGAACTGTTCGAACATTTGAAGTATCGAATAAATTCATCATTTAAATGTATGTTGACATCTGTTTATTCAAATGAGAAAAAGAATTCTCGAGCAGTGTCATAGATTTCATTTTATCTTGTAACGAACACATATTTGTTTCAGTCTAGCTACGATAAAGCTGATCTTGATTCTTATCTGAGATGAGACAGCGTTCAAGAAGATCAGTATCAGAAGAAAACTTTAATTAAACGGTTGTTTAACTTCGAGTTTAATTATGTCACAAAATAAATTGGATGAAGTTGAAGAATTTAAGTTAAAAGAAAATTTTATAAAAAAAAAGTTTCTGAATATTCTTGATAGTTTAATTTCACTTTTCGTCATTTCACCGCTTGTCGTAGGATTTTGGTTTGTAACTTTACAAACTTTTGCATGCTTAAATTTAATCCATGACATTAACAGGCGAGGTCTTTGGAGCAACATAGAAAACTACGATCTTCATTATGGAATTTTTCCGATTTGGCAATCTTTCGTTGTCAGCCTCACAGTTGTCATCTTAATTTATTACTGTCGCCCCACTTTGAACGTCATGATAGAAAATAAAAAGAATTTCAAGAAAATCAACAGAAGAGTGACATATCGCATCTTTCAATACATATTTGCTTTATCTTGTATCATGGTTTGGCGATGTACATGGGAAATTGTTCCAATATTGTATGGTGAGTTGGACAATATTTTGCAGGGCTTGCAATTGTTGCGAATATTGATCAAGAAAACGAATTTTCGATAAAAATTCTCATTCCTTTCACTGTTCTCAAATGTCGCTTAAGTCTGCATGTGTTCAAAGCTTCCTGAAGTGTTAATAATGAAAATTCTCTGAAGAATTCAAATCTACGTCATAATAAATCATTTCAGTGACATTATTAATCACGCTACTGACGATTCGTGGATGGAATAATATCAGCGGACAATTGACAGGAAAGAAAGAAAGCAAAAAGAAAACTGGAAATGATCAATGACAATGACATAAAGTTACAACAACAAGCATCATGAAAATGTAACTTTTGCCATGCGTCTAAATGATAATAGAAGAAGTGTAAATGTGTCATGAAAATCTCCCGTCAAGCATTCGTTGATTAGTTCTTGAGCGAGAAACATATTCGCAACAGTTGCCATCATTCACTTATTGAAACGATAAACTCGAAAAGAGATTAAATATTTTATTCACACTAGGTGTGTGTGTATGTGCATTTAATAATATTAAGTGATAATTGAGTTAGATAACATTTGAAGAGAAGAAGAACTGAATCAGATTTTTCAACCTTTTTAAAAGTAGCGATTCAATTACCATACGCATTTGGAATAATCATGATTGATAAAGCTATCGGAACGATATAAAAAAAGATAATTTCTGATTGATTATTTTATAAACATTTTAAAAATGTCAAGAACAAGTGATGGTCCATTCGATAGTCATATATTGTATCAAAGTTTAAGTGTTTTTGCAGCGAAAAATCCACCATTATGGCAGAAAAGACTTTTGAACGCCAGTGACACTTTTTTGTCACTATTTGTGATTTCACCTTTAGTGATAAGTTATTGGAGAGGCACATGGGAGTTCATGAACCTTTATCCGGAGATTTTTCCCGGCATGAATTGCATGATTGTCGGTGCAATCATGCACTTGTGTTTGGCACTTCTTAGAGAACCATTGAATGGAAAATACAATTCGTACACCCGGTCACAAAAGAAATCATTCATTTCATCGTGTAATTTGTGTATTGTTAAGAAGATTTACACATTTGTGTTCAGTTTGGGATGCATCATGCATTGGTAATCATAAAACTTTCAATTGTCACATCATAATCGTTTAATCATTAATTATTTATAAATAAAACTCATTTAGGCGTGGTGGTTGGTCTGTAATGGAGGATTATCTAGGTAATAGACAAATTCATTCACTTAAATTTGTTAAATCAACAATCTTCATTGATTAAAAATCTCAATATAAAAACAACTTTAATCTCCAACGTGGAACGAAGCTTTAATTAATTACAATGTCGTCAGTCGAGTTCATTGATTTATTCATTAAAGTTTTTATTGACAATGTTATGATGAAAGCATGCATAAAAGTGTAATTAAAAAGAAGTGATTTGTCTCAAACGCTCATTCCGGATAAGTCAAATGTTATGAATGTCTTGAAATAATTTACGTCTCTTTTGTCTAACCGAGCGAGAGAAACTTTCTTCAAAAGAATAAGAATCAACAAAAATGTTAATATTTACACATAAAACATTGAATCAACAAGTGGTTATTGCTCGTTTCTTATCATTTTTTCCCTCCCTTCAATTATTTGTTTCCAAGTGGAAGTTTCCTTTTCCTTAACATAAGAACACCGGACAGTCTCGCATCGTAACATAATAAATAAGATGATGAAATAACGACCTCCACTTAGCGTGAAGGCTTCATTTTGTTTACATTACACATCGTGTGTGTTTACATCAATATTTGCACGACAATTAAATGAAAAAGCTGTCAGACTGTTGATATAACAAAAATTCTTCTCTCGTTTCAGGACCTGAGCTTATTCCAGCAATAATCGTATCCGTTGTTTGTTTCATTCCTTTGATACTTATGCGAGCGGTTAGAAATTTAGTCGCACCTCCAATGGTCATCATTACCGACTCAAAGGAATTTGCATTTAATTTTCCAACCAGGTATCGAATTGATGTAAGTACTTTAACAACTTTAAACTTTTCATGAAAGATATTTTCCGCCTGTCAAATGACAAGACGAATTGTTTATAAAAACATGAAAAAAGGAGATAAATGATGGTGTTATTATGGCGATGGGATTTGTGGTTAATCGTTTGGGCTTCTATCTTTACGAGGACAATAAAAAGTTCTCAACATGAGGGGCCAGTTTTACTTGAGGAAAAAACATAATTTAGGGAAATTAGTTTTGTAATTTACCAAGCGAAACCTTAAACAAATTGGACAAATTTGGAAACCTTCAAACCCGCAGTGGGTTAAATGTTCTCACATGGTTTGCATAAATAGAAGCAATTTTTTTCTTTCAAGTTCGTTGATTTAAAATTCAACCTGAAGCTCAGGAAGTTTCATTAACATGCAAGGTTGGCTTTTAAGAAATCGATGTAAGAACAATTATTTAACATAAAAAAATGGGAAATAAAGTTTCGACAAAAAGGGTAATTTTTGTTTGTAAAGACTTTTTGCGTATTTAAAGCTACCTTCGAGATTCTTTGCAAAAGCTTTTTGTGAAAACCTCAAGAAAATTTGCAATCGTTCAATATTAGCTTAGGCTTTAGTCAATTTCATTTCAAGATATCGAAGTTCTTATTGAAAAATATGACAAATGATGGAATAAATTAGCATTTATTATCAATGATTAGATAAAGTTTGACTGATGGTGCAAACATCGAGATAAATAAAATGTTTGAAATTTATCTTGAGGTTTTCGTTGACTTTTAGATAAAACTTTAAGTTTCTGTCATATAGCAGCTTTCAGTCGTTGTTTAACTAGAACTATCAAGCTCCTTGCAATCATACAATCTCTTTGTTTACCATTTTCCACATAAAGAAAACTTTCTTTTGCACTTTACTTTAGAGAAAAGAATTTTTGAGCGTTGTGAGAGTTTAGTTTGAGGTGCAATGTTGTGCAGTAAGGAATATGCTGTTCGCTTACTGCAAACAATAATTAAATGAAAGCTTTGTGTAGAGTTATTGTGAAGATAAAACAAGCTTTTGACAAATAAGCGAGAGTTTCGTGAAAGTATTTTGTCAATTACCCCTTAAATAGCAATCCACCAACAACACAATCACGCAGTACACTAGCGTTGTGAATCTGAACTGTATATGCCGTATCATTGCTCAAAAATTTATGTCACTATGAAACGCTTCTCTCAGTGTTCGACATGATTTCATGCATTGTAGCCATTTGCTAGAACTTTAATCGAATATTAAGTTACTGTTTAACTTTTTAGGATTATGAGAAGTTCTAAAATTCTACTTGAAGTTATGTGATCAAAAGTTCCTTGAAAAAATATTCCAAAACCAAGAGATTAATGTAGATTTGAAGTGAATAAAAAGAAGATTAGACTTGATTGAACCTTTCGCGAAAAAAAATTGTCAAAAAAAACTAGTGACATAGCAGACAGATGGAAGAGAACGGTGAATAGAATCGAAACACTTGCGTGATCATTACACGTTGATATTCGCACATTCGTTAATTTTCGTGACTTTAATACGCATACGATTGTCGTGAATGAATCCCCGTAATCAGCTGCATCAAATGTATGACGTTGTAAACACTTTTTGACTTATTTGTAGTGAAATCTTTTGAATGAAAAGTGCTATGAGCTTTATCAAAATGCTCAAGTACCTCTCTCAATTGAATGATACAAACAAAACGATGTTGATGTCATCAATACAAACGGATAGTGCTTGATAAGCTGTACATAGAACCGTAACTGTGAGAGAACACTAAAGTGATGATGTAGAACAAAATGCTCAAAAAACATAACAAGATTAGTAGTGAGGGATACAAGTTAAAGTAGAAAATACTTTATCATTTCTTTATTTTGATAACAGTTTAAAACTGAACAAGCTCGCGATCAGAACGAAATAAAAAAATCATTAAACCTCACACAAGCTTTTCTATGCTGTGCAAAGCAATTGAAATTAAAAAATCTGTGCAAATAATGTTAACAAAGAAAAAAGGCAATTAAATAATGAATTGATGCATAAAAAAGGAAATTATTGTGTGATCAATATTAAAGCAAAAAAATGTCAAAGGAATATCGCGAGTAGTGCAACGTAACAGTGGAATTTAATTATTTAAAAAGCCTCGAAATGACTTTTCTAATTCTGTGATAACAAAAGGTTCGATAAAAAAAATCTTAATCACGTCAAGCTTCCAGTGTGTTAAAAAGGATTATGAATTTGTAATATTGAAGTAATCGACACGTGTTTTTAATCATTCTGCTGACATTTCATTTTTGCATCTATTTACTATAAACATGAATTGAAAATGTAACTTCAATGAAATTTACTATAAATAGTAATTGAATTCATGTATTGATTTAATTAAATTATTAACGTTTCAGCTTTAAACATTTACAAATAATCAAACCAAATTTAACTTCCTAACTTCAAATTTTTCATTCAACTACATTGCAAATTGATAAAAATATTTCATGAAAGTTCAAGAAACGATGTAAAGTAGTGAACAAATTGTCAGCAGAAGATTAAATAAATAAATCGAGTCGTTTAATAAAATAAATAAAAAATTGTATCAAACCAAACTTTTTCACATTCGACCATACAGATAGAAATTTTTATTGTATTTGACAAGATTAATGAGAGAGATAGAGGGAGAAAGAAAGAGAGAGAGGGAACGGAACGATCTGTGAAGTAATAAATCCGTGTCAAGACATCCAAAAAGAATCTCTTATCAGTGATAGAACTTATGAAGATTAAGGAAGAAAAGATTTTGTGGTATTGAAATTGCAATTGCATTTGAGTAACATTTTAAATTCGTCGAATAAACATGCGTGGAAGTGATGCATACGCAGATCAAGCTGAGTTGAAGCTTATCAATAGATCAATTTATCATAGATTCGTGTTAGACTTCATAGATTTCTTCTTCTCGTCCTTAATTGCTGCACCATTAGTCGTTTCATACTGGAGAGGGACATGGAATCTCTCAGATGTTTATCTTCTGCCCAACACCCAGATTCGAAGCTCAGTAGCATCATTAATGATAGGAATTGTAGGCCATTTAGTGTTCACTACAGGGCAAGGATTGTTTCGTGATCATTTTAATCCAGATCGTCGTCGTTTGACATTTTATTTGATCTCGAGACTATACACATATGTTTATGGAATTGTTTGTGTGAATTGTTGGCGGGGTGGTTGGCAATTAATCGATCACTACACAGCACGTGACATGAAGTCAATTCTTTTTATTACAATAACTGCTATTATTGCGCTTATGACACTGAAAACACTTCGGAATGTGACAGCAACTCCATTCGTAGTTGTCACGGATCATTCACGAGAATATTTTGATGTCCCAACGATGTATAAAAAATCGGTAAGAATATCAAAAGAAAAGTTCATTTAAACGTTGCTAGAAATTCACGACAACCTTCGGGGATGAAAAGGAAAGGTTTTGTTTTTAATTCGAAATAATTAAATGGCAACTTCCTCTGACCTTACCGTACATTAATAGAATTATGTGTTCTATGCTACAAAGTAATTTATTTCCTTCAACAAATTATCTCATTCACAACGAGTTGAGAAAATTAATTGACATAAATTTGACGGTTTTCTGTACATAATAATTGATAGAGAAATAAGAACGAAAATTTTTACTTAAATTCTGATTACTTTACAGGGAGTACGAGAGCCGGGACTTTATATTTTAGACTGTTTATTTTCTGTACTTGTGATTGGATCACTTGTAGTGTTTGTTTGGCGAGGTATGAGCGATAAAAAAAATGAAATCAATCTTTTAAAATTGTCATTGAAATCAAATTTCAGGCCTTTGGGTGCTTTTAGATCTTAAACTTTTTCCAGAGGATCAGAAAACTTCCGCATGGGCGTCACTGGTGAGTTGTGTAAACATAAATCTTTCATTCCTTATTTAAAGGGTCGTTTGAACTTTTGAAGTTTTCCGACAATCATTTAAAGGAAGCTTTTAAGTTTCTCTCAAAACTTTTCATCGTTTATTGTCTGCATGTCTCACATCATACGATGATAATATGTGCGGAAATTTCTGCTTATCAAGCAACTTTAATTTTTTGTTTCTTTTCGTCAAATGTGATGAAACTTATCATGTCACATGAATACAAAAAAAAATGAAGCGGTTGAATGACAATACACATCAAAGCATTAATCTAATTTATTATTAATTCAAATCTTCTCCCATTTACAACGAAATGAACCGAAACATTGCGAGCGGCTTTATGTTCTTTTGAGATCAAGCAGAATATTTTTGAAGATTCTTTTCAAGCAGCCAATTTTCTGCCCGTTGAGCTCTTTTTCTAATTTATGGCAATTCAATATTAATTCATGTTGTTGTAATTTGAAAGAACTTTTTGTATTGCTTATTAGATTATCGGTTATGCAATTGTTGGATTGACGTTTTCACTACAACCGGTTATGAGATGGGCTTGTGAGAAGCTGGAAGGTTTCTGGAGAATTATTGTTGCTGACGTCTTTCTGTTTGTCAGCTTTGTTGGTACAGTTAATGGTAATGATGACATTTTGTCTTCAAAACTAATCAAATTAATAGGAAATTAAATTTCTTACAGTTTGGAGAGGAATTTGGGTTCTCTTAGATTGTTACTTTCTACCGAGTAAGTTTTCAATGATAAAATTTGAAGAATTTTAATTACAGCTGACTAAATTTCTCAGACAACAAACTTCTTAGTGATTGGTTGACCCACGGAGTCTCATTGATTTTATTAATTTTACTCAACTGCTCGAATTCAGTGCTTGTTCGCGGTGTTTACATTGATGCTGAAGAACCTGCTGGCCAATGTGTCATCTTTCCAGTTTATTACATCAGACTTTTCTTCCAAAAAGAAAGAACCAAAAAACAGAAACGACTCATGGAGAAGCTTGAAAAAGTTGATCAAAACAACACAATTCTTCTCATAGAAAAACCTCAAATGAATCACAAGACGACAAACGATGAGAAAGAAATTCACGAAAGTTTATGTATCTCAACCGAAGATATTTCAAGAAACGAAGAGTGATAAGAACAACGAGATTTTATTAAAGAAAATAATGAACGAAATGTTTTATGCGATATCAAATGAGAAGAAGAAATTGTTGCTTATTTTAAAGAGAATCAAAGAAATCATGTTGCCAATGTTTGATGAGTATAAACAGAAACATAATTAAAGTGTTCTTAACTCATTTGATATGAAAAAAATTAAAAGTGCATTACTTTAAAATGAAATGGAAACAAACAAAAAGAAATCAACTTCATTAAATATAATTAAGCTATAATAGAAATTGTATACTTTTATACAAAGAGAAGAACAAAAAATATTTAAAAAACTAACTTTTAAGACATTATCTACTTCGCATAGTTTTATAGAATAATCTTTTTGTAAATACTTTAGAGAGAGATGAAGTGGAGAAAATATATAAAAGAAAAATTTTGAACGAAACATTAAACTCACATCGCATTCCATTAAATTTTGTGAATGAAGAACAACGACATGATTATTAAAGTAAACGAAGAATAAAATCAAGCATTTTGCCAACATATTTCACTTGTTTTTTTAATGAGATCCCGCAGTGATTTGTTGGATTTTCAAATCGCAATTACAATTTAAACTTCATTTGTCAATTTGTTGTATCCGATGTGGAATTTATTAAAAACCAGATCATCAACTGAGTTAATAAAAGCATCATAATTTATTTGATAAACGTTTGCAATTATTATATTAAAATTTTATTAATGCTTTATGTAATAAAACATGGAAATGATAGGAACGAGTTTAGTTCAGCATGGTCAGTAAAAGACGGAACATGACGACCTGGTGATCCTTTATTTCAATGATTACTGCACGAACGAAGGATCTTAAAAGTTCAAACTTTGCTGCAAGTTCACTTCGTTTCTGGAATTGACTGCAATGCGGTTACCACCAAAATCACCTATGATAGCTTAGAGAAGCTGAGCAATTTCATCGTCATTAAACTTTTTCACTTCATCACTTAAAGTTTCTTTTATTTTATTTTCAACTGAACTAGTCTCATTTGAAATAATTTCTCGAAAAACTTTCTGCCAAACTGGATAATCTACTTCCCCCCTAGGAATTTCCCTTCGTTGTTAAGCGTACAGATTTCCTGAACCTTCTAAAAATAATGTTGGAACTGATGAAATCATCGCACATAAAAAATTTTCCAATACATTTCACTCGCTGTTATTTTTACGCCAATTTATTTGAAATAAATTTCAGAAAATGTGAGCAAATTTATTGAAATTCCAAACCTTTACAAGTTTCTTTAAATTTCAATCTTGTTATGATAATTGCTGTGAAATTAAGTTAATTAACAAAGTAATTGCTTTCTGAGAAGTTAATTTGTTCAGATTAAAGTCATGAAGATGATGATTAGAATGACAAGAGAAATTCTCAATGGAGAATTATTTTGGGGGGATTTAATTTGATTTCGCTTAATCAAGAAATTTTTCTTTTGATTCATTCATAAATTATTCGCAATGATAAGATTTTATGCTTTAATCATTAGCTGACAGGTGTGAGTTATGAAAATCAATTCATTCTCGTGATTGGCGTATCTTAACAATAAAACTCGTCATTTGTTGCTTTTGATAAAATATTAACATTTATTTTGCTTTATGTTGAAAACCTTTGAAATATTTAGAATCTACTTAGGACATTCTCAAAGCTTCTTATCTCAAGGGAATATTTGAAGCACGACAAGTAAAAGTAAACTTGTTATTGATTTTTTAAGAAAAGATATGAACCATGAAGCTTTCACCAAGGCTTATGAGCCTTTACAATATTTGTCTCGAGATGTGAAAGGCTTCAAACGTATCACATGTGAATAATCTGAAAGATCTTTCAACATGTTATTGATATCAAGAAAGCTTAAATTTAAGATTTGAAGTGACATATTTAATTTTATTTCAACAGTAAAATTCTCTTGTACAATTCCTTTTAGTCTTCATCATCAAGGCCGAATAATCCAACTAAGTTAAAATAAAAATCTTTATCAAAGAATGATTTCTGTTGAGCGAAGTTGAGATTTATAAACATGAGAAATAAAATCACGACTAATGACACTTTGACAACCATCTCGATGTTATGTTTGAAACTTGAAAAGTGAGAACTGAACTGATTTTCGATTTTTCCAGCTAATTTATACTCGAAAACACAATGAAAATTACTCGCATCACTTCCGACATTTGTTTTGCCTTTTTCTTATTTATTTTAGTATTTTTAAACTTATTAAACTTGTAACTGAAAAATAACTTTTCTAAGAATGCCTTATTAGTTATTGAATGTTGATGAATAAATAAAATAAATTAAATTATTTATTTATTTGCTCTTCAAAATCTTTAGAAATGGCGTCAATAGATTCACTTATTGCTTTTGTTATTGCATCAATTGGCATCATATCCTCTTTTTCACTTTCTTCCATTAGAGAGGAGCCTAAATTCATAAGGCTTTGAGCGAAATTACCAAAGAATCTTCTTCCACCTTCAACAGCTTTCTGATCGCTTTCCTTATTTACATCGTTCTTAAAAATTTACACATTTGAAACTTTTTCATCACTTTTTTAAAATTATAACAGACTTACAATAAGATTTCCCAAAAATTGTTGGCTGGGTGTATAACTCATTTGAGAACTTCTTGTATTTTGAAAATTAGACGCAAAAATGTACGAACTTTGACTAACAAGACACGTTAAAACGATAACAAGCAAAGCGTCGAATTTCATGATTAATTTTCCTTCTTCTTATTCGCAATAATTGAATCTTCTTAAATAAGTTGAACAATTTAATAAGCTCTCGAAAGCTGTATCTACAATATATCAGCTTAAGCTTTCTTATATTATTACTAGAAGCAATGGCAATTTCAAGGTTGAATGAAAATCTCTTGTAAAATGATTGAAAATACACGCTTGAACGGAAAGGGAACAAGAAAAATTAAATTGGAAATTTTTTGCAAATGCCTTCTTCGAATTATTTTTTTTCCATGTGTTCCAAATGTAAACAAGCATGGATGGAAGGATTTCAATTAAACCCTCAATTATTTATACAGGTAAATTCTGTGCATTTAAGCATTCTTTTAAGATATGTTGAATTTAAATCATTCCGCAAATATAAGCAAAGAAACACTCGCAGCTTTGATATTTCGACGATATCTTTTGTTACCGTCTCGTGAACTTGACATTTTTCTACATCGACTACACATTTTGAATGTTTGATATGAATGCTATCATTAATCTCTATTAGAGCATGCCATAGCTGTTTTACACATTAATGAACAATAAAATGATGAAATAGCTCAAAATCCTTTGTCAAGTCTTCAAATGTAGAAGACACGAAAATTTATTTTTCAATAGGTTCACATGAAAGATTTCTTTGTCTGAGAAGTTTAAACGCGTGTCAACTTCAGATATTAATATTTGATGTGGTTGATTTTCAAGAATTCGTTTTGAAATACTTCTCTGTCGAAATGTTCTTTTAATTTTACATAAATATTTTATTAAAGTCGCTGAACAATATTTGCTTTAATAAATAACAAACAAACTCACTTAAAATCATATAAAACAATTTGAATTATTAAGTCATGTATTTATCCAAGAAAATTGAATTGTGAAAAGAATTTTTATGTAATAAAAATGACGTCAATGATGTCGTAGAAGTTATTCAGCGAAGGATTTTCCGGAAAACTGCACGTGTAAATCTTTTCAAAATATTTTAATATTTTTCTTTCACATTTTTTATTTGTTTTGAAATTGTTTATGTATACGTAGACATAAAAAATTAAAATAAGAAGAAATAATAGAAAATCTAGAAGAAACATTCTCTACATTGTCCTCTATGCACACTTCAATGACACGGAAACATTTTTCTCTGCTAATGTTCACAAAATATTTGTGAATAACGTAAATTGACAAGTTTTTAATTAATTTTCAGGGAACATGAAAGTGTCAACTGAACGTCAAAAATAATTGAAACACGTTCTTTTGTGAACGTACCTTATCTATTCATACAAGCGATGCTTCTCAAATCTCACACTTTCTCATAGCTGAGGAAAGATTCTCAGAAAAGTTTAACAAACCGCGAATGATTTATTTACTTATCGATTTCCACTCTCAAATCAGAGGCTTGGCAAAAGTTTTACGCACGTAAATACGAATTGCGTCTTATACAAGAGTCAACGATTAACTAAAATTATCCTAAGTTTGTTTCGATATAAAAAGATCTCACGACACAACTACACTTTAATTTAGCATCTTTTTAATTCTTGAGTCTTGATCAAGATTCGTTTGTTGATTGTCGCTCGTGTCAGTCCTATCTATGATTAACTCTTGTTGTCGTTAAAAAAACAGATTAAAAACTTTTTATATTGAGAGTCATCGTATCGATGAGCGTCAGTACGATTGGAAAATTCAGACGGAAAATATCAAGAGTAAGAAAGCGAAACATTTAAATTTTTTTTCGTGGGTGAAAGTGAAATACCAAGAAATCAGAAAACATCTCGAGTAATCAATTCAAAGTGCTAACTGTAGTTTGAAAGTAACTGAACGGTGACATAACAAAGATCTCGTTGAGTATTGAAGAACTTTCTAGTAATTTTCACATAAATAGAAGAATAATGGAAATGGATGATGCAAACATATTAGTTCAATGTGATTTTGAAGTGTTTGGTCATGTGCAAGGTATAAGTGTTTCAATTTTAACAACAGAAAAGTTAAAGCAATTTGACTCTGAAACTTTCAGGTTGTGGCTTTACAAAATATTGCCGTGACAATTGTTTGAATGCAGGCATCAGAGGTTGGGTGAAAAACTCAAAACGAGGAACAATTGTTGGCAAAATGCAAGGTCTCAAGCCGGAAATTGATAAAATGTAAGTGTCCTTAGATTTTTTATCAAATATTGACAGTCGCTCAATTTATTGTTGTTGTAAAAGTTGAAAATAGATCAGTAGAAGTAAAAGTGTTTTATTTTTGTTCCACTTGATAAAAATAGTAAAGCAGAATCGAAAGTGGAAACCAGATGAACATTCTCAAGATTTTTAATTAATGATATCAATAAAAATTTGACGAATTCTTTTTTCTTTCTTTTAGGGTTGATTGGCTGAGACATATTGGCAGTCCTGGATCAAAGATAGAGAGAGTAGAATTTGAAAATTGGATTACTATCAGTAGATACGACTATAAAGATTACCAAATCAGATTCTAAACTGTTTAATTATTTTAATTTAATTTAAGAGATTTATTAAATTTACCATGTAATTTATGTGACTAAAGTTCTTGAAATATTTTTCTAAACTTATGTATTATGATGTCTTTACGTATTTCTGAACTAAAATATTTTTTCGGCGTTTTATGTTTACGAGTGCATAAATAAATAAAAAACGAATAAAAACTTACAAATCTCTTGCTTTCCTCTTTAGTGATGAATTGTGATAGAACGTTCACTGCCTGCGTTGGAATGTTATAATGATGTAGTTTCACATATAATGCTTAATTAAGACTTAATCAAATAAATTAAATTACAAATCTAATATCCTGATATTGGAATTATCCAATGTCAGTGCTGGATATTCATTTTCTTGCGAATTTTTATGTTGAGCATAATTGTCAACTGTATGGTCAAACCGAAGTCTTTAGCATAATATGGATGTGCAATTAAACATAAGCTTTAAATTTGTAAATCCTTATGTTTTCTTAATTTATTCTAAATTTTGTGTTGAATTTTTTTTCCAATTGGATGAACATTGCATGCGAATAATCAGCATGCGAAATGAAGCGACGCGTCGATTTTGAATCAGAAAATCCGTTATTACAATTTCTTTGCTTTACTGTGATTCTTAGATATAAAATCAAAAATCATTTAACTTTTTAAATTGAAACGTGTACTAACTAGGGACTAAGAATTTTATCTTTTGGCCAACAGTTTCTTTTCCTTAAACTCTTCTGTTTTTAAGTGTGCTTAATTAATTAAAAAAGCATTTTACGAAAATTAAAAAGGTTGTGTCTATGTTAATAGCATCACATATATCATTCCTGGCAACATTTATTGAAACAAATTTATTTCCCATACATAAGTATGAATTCAAAACCTAGCAGCAAACACATTTTGATATATTTAATAATTTTCTAGCTTTCATTTATGTAAAAAATGATAATAATTAACATATGATTAAGACAAATTAATAAACATAAATAATTAATAAATTATGATTTCATATAAAGTGTCAAATCAGTCAAGATTTCTTTCAGTCTTCTCTGTTAATTTTTCTGTTGCATTTGTAAGCATAAAAAGAATGGAAATGTTTTGTGAACTTCTTCGGCAGATATTTCTTGATATTTTTTCTCTGTTCGGACTTGGAATAAATCGACCAATTGCTTTTCGTTCAATCATTCATTATTTAATATTTTTAGTGAATGTATCAATTGTCATTACAATTTTAATAGTTTACTTTTTGCAAGGCAATATTATAGTATCGTCAGAACCTTTAAGTGTAACAACTGATTTTATTGATTTACTTTTTCCTATTTCTGTTCATCTTTTGGTTTTATTATCATACACGATGAATCAAAAAAGATTCCACAAAATTTGTAATTTGATTGAGAATTTGGATAAATCTTTAAAACAATTTGATTTGGAAAATTTCAAGATAATTGAAAAGAGATCATTGATGAGCTTCACTTTGAAATTTTTCATTGTTCATGGGGTTGGATTGGGCGTCAATACTATTTTTATGCTAATAAGGTGAAATTTGTAAACATTCATTTAAATTCTTATGCAATTATATTTTAAATTTTGAAGTCTTGCACCTGGCAATCCGTTGTGGATGATAGCGATACGAACAAGAGCGATTTCTTTGAACATTCTTCGTCTGATGAGTACTCAGTTCATGTTCTATTGTGACTACTTGACAAGTCGATTTGTTATATTTAACAAGGAATGCGAAAAAATAATCAAAACTTCTGATCAATTCGGAACAGAGATTGAAATATTACAAAAAATTCAGTTATTGAAAGCATTGGATTTGAAAATGATGACGCTTTTGCATTGTTTTCAAAAATATTTCAAGACTATGTTAATGCTGAATATTACAGCAGATGTTGTTGCTATTGTCATTGCTATTTATTGGATTTACGGTGGGCTAACTTATGGTAATCCATTTGAACTACGTAAGTTGGAAGTTTATTTAAATTTTAATACCATCAAATTATTATTTTTTATATCTTTTTCTATCAGAATCTGATCTAGTTCCATGTGCGAAAATGATTGCATTGTATCTTGTGTTTCATTCTGGAAGTTCTCTATTAGCTGAACGAAGGAAAACTGCAACTTACATTTATTTAATTAAAAGCAAATCTTTAAAATTTGCTGTAATTAAACGACACTTTTTACTACAAAAGCTTCACACTGATGGCGAAGTTTTTGAGTTTCATGGAAATGGATTTTTTTATGTGAACTTTCAAACGTTAGTTGGGGTGAAAAGCGTTTAATTTCTTTCATTTTGCTGAGTAATCAAAACTGTTTTTATTCTTCTTCCTCACAAAATAGATAATTGAGACCGGAACAATTTACATGGTGTACCTGTTTCAATTCATGAGTGACACAAATATTTTTATTATGCTTGCCACCAATGTCACTAAAAGTAATGATTAGAAGAACTTAAAATTCTATTTTGTTGATTGCGATGCTTAAATTTATGAAAATTGCACATTTCATGACAATTTTTTTTACTTAAATCTAAACATTTGAATAACTTTCGTCAGTAATATTCATTTAACCAACAATGGTGGCAGAAATAATTCCAAGTCCTTTCATTTTAAGATTCTTAAAAGTTTTTGGACTTGTTCCATTACGTGTTAAGAAGTTTCAAATGTGGCTTTACAGTTTCATGTGTTTGGGAATTTACTTTGTGTGCTTTGGAGTTTTTGCATTATTTATGATGATCGCTGGTTATGATGCGCTTTCGATTAGAGGTGTCGTTATGTTTGTTGGATGTAATTCACATCTAAATATTTAAAGTAAAAAAAATTTAAATAAAATATCTAACAATATTTTCAGGGCCACTCGCTTTTCTCGCAATATTTTCGAGTGTTTTTAAATCTGTTTTCAAAGCAGAATCAAAACTCTTGTTGATTGATACTTTCCAGGAATTTGACGACATCTTGAAGGCTCACTTTTCGATTACCTTTGACACAAATAAATACAAAGGAAGATTGGAAAAATATTTTGTTTCTATCATTTCTGTTACTGTCATATCAATCGTTTATATGGCAATAAGTATCAGTTTGAAGAGATTATTATTCTACATTTGTGTCATGTTTTTATTCATGTCAATACTTTTGGAATCTTTTCATATTTTCATTCATTTGAAAGTCATTGAAGAGAGATTTAAGGTTTTGAGTAATATTAAACTTTCAGAGATCGTACAAGAAAATAGTACAAGCATAAAATTGCTGAATCTTTATAAGAAACTTGTATTGTCAATGCATGAAGCGACAAAGCTTACAAATGCTTATTTTAATCCATCATTACAATTCCTGCTATTTTTCCTCTATTATATGATTCTGAGAAGTTTCTTGTGGATTGGATTAGGTTTCTTTAAGTCTCAAGTTCTATCAATAGCACAATCGTTAATACACATTTTACCAAACACAATTCTAATTGGATTACTAGGTCAAGTTGATCATAACACTAAGCAACATATCGACAAGATTAAATCGAATTTGATATGTCTGAAGCATCCTCGCAATTATAATGAAGACATTTTATTATTCCTGTTAAAAAGAAAGTTTTCGATTACTTTAGTTGGATTTTCGTCAATCTCAAATGTAAGTTTTGGAATGTTTCTTAAGATGTTAATTTTCTTAATTTTCTGTCATGAATTTCAGATAACTGCAGCTCTCTGTAGCTTCATTGTGATTGTTTTTCAATTTCTTATCATCGAAGAAAACTAAAAAAAGTGAAATGCTTGAAATTCCTGTAAATTATTTAATTAACGATATTCAATTTCTTTTTGTATCTTTATTTTCATCTTCTAAATAATTAAAATTTATAAAACAAAAAAAATCTTACAATTACTAGTGATAGACTTAAAAAAATTGAAAAGGTAGTTTTGTGTCCTCAACAACGCAGAAAAATTGTAATTCTCGATTCTTAAGACTTTTCAACAAGTTATTTCAAATCGTTTACCGATCTGAATTGAAAATTTCTATTCAATGTTTCAAAAAGTTTACAAAAAATATTTTTTCTCTTCAGAAAAGTTTTTCTTTTGCCTTTTTAGATTTCCAATCAATTTCCATTTATTCATTTATAACTGAAGAATTAACTAACAATGTAAACAAAAATGAAATCAGTTTTTCTTTTATTTCTTGAGGATTAGTTATTTAGATATGCCTGAATGAAGAATTTTGATATTTAAATGTGAATTTAATGACAAAAAAAAAAGATGCTAAGTAAGGATTTTGGTGTTGTATGATTGAGGAAACAAGAATTTATTATCATATATCAAACATTCATACATACGTGAGTTTATTTCAACTCTTTCATCTTACAATGTATTTAATAGTCAATCAAACATATTTCTGGTCTCATTCACAAAAATATTTTTTATTATGTAAAAGAAGAGAAAAAAATTATTAAAGTTTTAGATGAAATTCTCAACAAAACTAAAACTCAGAACTTAACGTGAGTTTTCTTTTAAGGATTTAAAAGTCTTTTCATTTCTTTTCATATTATTGTGTGAAAATTTCAAAGGGTAAGAAAAAGAGAGTAATTCAATAATTAATAATTCGAAATTAAAAAGCTGTGAGTTTCTTCATTTGAAATAATAAAAAAGGAGAAAAGTTCAAGATTCGCGCATTTCATTCATTTCACTCACAACTTACTCGTGTTTACCAAAAAAAAAAAACTAATGAAAACAAATGGAAAAAGAAGAAATTGTGATTTAACTTAACTATCTTCACACAAATATTATTTTAAACTTCTGCTTTGTTTGTTATAAAATTTCTTTTCCATCATTTTTTTTTCTTTCTTTCTTCTTGTTTCTTCAAATATGATACTGAATTTTACCAATAGTTTAACATGAGAAATTGGACATCGACAATTATTCGTCTTGCATATCTTCGGGCATCTCGTGTGGATTCAACATTCCCGGAACAGTCAATTGATGACGACGTTTCTCTTCTTGAGCTTGTTTTAATTCTTGTTCACGTTCTTCCAAATACAAATCAGAATCATCATCACCAGTCACTTCCTGCAATGACAAGAATTATAAAAATAAACTTAACTAAATATTTATCACAAAATCTTACTCTTATCTGAATGATGAAATCTCTTAAATGTTCCTTAAATGCCGTCACATCGTGATCAAGATTAAATAAGCCCGTGACAAAAACTTTGATTTGATTATCATTCAAATGTCCAAAAGCTGATTTCAACAGTGATGCAACATATTCTTGAATGAAGACAACATTATTTGGAATCTGTCCCAAGTTCACAGTAATTTGATTTGCTTCGACTAATGTGAACATGTAGGCGAGAATTTGAGCGTGCATTTGAAGGCTTGCTGTATGCGATGTGTCTGTGACAACGCTGAAGATTTGCATGAGGATATCTGTGAAATATGTTTGATAAAAGCTTTGAGCAGCTTGCGGATGTTGTTCAAGATTCTGTAACATTTGCAATAGAATTGCGAGCCCTGTGTCAGCGACATTACGCATGGTATGTTTAAATGCCCAGACTATCGAGTCAAAGACTAACTTGAATTGAGCGGGTGGAATATTTAAGAATGCCTTAAAGCAATGCAGATTAACTGCTTGAAGAAGCTCGTAAAAGTTCGTTCGATGTTGCGGGTAATCTTCGAAATTCTTATTGATCATCTCAAGTGTACACTCGAAAACAGCATCAAAGATCTTTGGCACTTCCGTGGTTATGACGCCTTCCAATTTATTCACGATTGCAGCCATCGTGCTAAGCACACATGGCTCACGTGCTGATGCCACAGATGTTCGTTGATAATCAAGCAGAACAGCATCGAGAAGATGTGGAATAAAATTCTCCATGACCATTTGGGCATCATTTGACTTCACAATCCATTCACTTATCAATGTCAATGTTTCCTTCTTCACCACATGCATAGCTTTGATCAATGGCTGATTGTTGATGGCAATTCCATTTAATGCTATCGCTTGCGATATATTTTCGGACATAATCTTATAAACATTGAGCATGTCGAGGTAGATGCGGCCAAGTTGTGTCACAAAACTATGGCCAAGTGCTTTACAAGCTCTCACATTTGTTTTTAAGATGCTTCCAAGTTGCTTAACTGCTGCCATATCCTTCAATATATCAACATTTTTCGTTGCTTGTGAAATGATTTCATCCCAAACTTGATTTGGAAGCAGCATATATTTTTCAATTAATGCGTCTTGAGCGACTTGGTCCACTTGAGCGCTTATCATGTATCCAACAGCTTCGTAGAATGTGTGCACTTGTTGAGGTTGCAAATCACAAATGATTGAGCTCATTGTGGCGAGAATCTCTTCGATAAACGTGCAAGCTTCATTTGTTTGCAATGTCACAAAATGACGTTTACATTTCATTGCAATCTTTATGAATGTATCGCATGCCATGTCTTGAACACCGTCATGTGTTTCGTGCATGAATTCGAAGAGTTTATTGACAACGGTTTTAAGAAACTTCCAATGAGCTCGTAGGAATCGTGGATATTGACCAACAACATACATTATGTTACTGGCAATGATGGCTTTATTATCTTTACCCTTCTTTTGTTCACATAAACCCAACAGATCTTTAATGACAGTCACCAAAAAGCGCTTCTCATCATCTTCATAGAATGCACCAGAAATTGATCCTACAGCCCAACAGAGTGTGTTCAAATTCTTCCATGAAAATTCACTTCCATTCACCTGAAAAACAAATGAGAAATTAAATATTTGTTAAAAAGCATTTAGGGTAGTTGGCTAAAATCGAACCATCGTGGTGGTGCGAAATTAACCAACACCCTACTTTAACTTACTTGATTATTAAGCTTTTCTGTCATGATTCGTTCTGTATCAAAGTAATCCAAATGTGTCAAGTAAACAAGAGTTTCACGCATATTCTTGTACAAGTTGATGCTGTTTGTATCTTTCATAAATTCTCTAACAACTTCACCGTTCTCATTCTCAACGACTAAAACTTCTTCAGGCTTTGCCATTCGTGAAATCATAATGTGACGAACTTTCGAAAGAATATTTGAATAAAATTGACGTCGTGTACCAGTCGATCCATATGGACTTTCTTTGTAAAGATCAGCTGTCAGACAATTCCAATATTCGAGACAAATCTTAAACAATTCCACATCCTCAACTTCACTGATCATCACCAAATATGTCAAAGCTTTATTGACAGCTTCAGCTGTTTCACGCTTCTCCACCAATGTTGCATGAACCCTCAAGAATGTACACAAAAACATTGCCAAATTCTGCACAAAGCACTGCTCTTCATCATTACCATTTGCATAGATTTGATTCATGTTTGTGTTTGCTGGAATCATTTGATCAAATTGTTGCATCGTTTGAACGAAGAGTTGAACAAAAATATGATCGTAGGATTGAAGTTGAAGACCAGCAATTTCAGATAAACATTTTAACGTAACATTACGAAACATCGGAATCACCAGAAACTTTCCAACCAACATATTGATGAGCTTCGTTTCAAAAATATAACCGAGAGGAATCCAATTCAGAAATTTCAGAAGCGTTTCGAGTGTGGCATTGATGAGTGGTGCATTTAATGAATTTTCCAATACGAAAGAGCAAAGTTGAAAGACTTGAGAAAATTCCGAGCACATGGTATCCTTGAGATGTTTTGCTTTCGTTTGCGTGATTTGTCCACTGGAAAAATCAAAAACTTCCTCACTTAAAAGCTTAAGGATGATCATGTTGTTCTGACATAACGTCTCATTTGTTTTTGACGCCCCCACGATATCTCCAATAAAAGATTCCCAATTTTTCGGCCATTCACGCTTTAAAATTTGAACGAGGATGATGTTAAGCTTGTTCAGATAAACCTTGTTAGCTTCCATTGTCTTCTGATCGGATGATGTCTTGATAATAAGTCCCACGACATATTTTTTAATTCCCTCGCATTGATTGCGAGGCAAAACTTTCCAGCGTGTCTTGATGACCTCTTCGAGGATCTGCAATGCGTAATACTTTGTTTGTTGATTCTGACTGAACTCCAATATTGTATCAACTCTCGTCCATGCATCCGGATGCTCTTTCAAAGTCGTCAGAATTTCTTGAGCCAAACGCAACTGCTCACCCTGACTGTTGTACAAACATCCAACGATATTCTCCAGTAAAGAAATGTCAAGCTTTTGAGAGAAATCCAAAAGCTTTGATGCTTCTTCCGTTCGTAACATCGCCATTCTTCCTTCTTTTTCGCACACGCTGATTCACACACTTTCTTAAGATGAAATTTTCGTATTAATTCTTCAACTTTGCGTCGAGTGGTTTTCGGATCATTCACAAAAAAATGGCTTTCTGAAAAGAAAAAAACAACAAACGTAGATAAGCGATGGTGATTTAAACAGAATGATTGAAATTTTTTTAAAGTGTAAAACAAAAAATACACGAGGACGAGGAATTTAATTTTAAGTAAAATCAAAACAGAAAATAAAAAAAAAAGAAAACAACAAGCCGTTGCTCGCGACCCGTGACCCAATCTCTTCTTTTTTTGTTATTTTATGATCTTTTGCGTTGTTACGTTTGTGTATGTTATGACGTTAATCGAAGAAAACTTCTCTTCATGCCCTTTTTCCTCTCCTCACTCTTAGTATCACCACCAAGTATAATTGTTTTGTATTTTTTCTTTTTCTTCTCTTTTTTTTGACAATTTAAAACGTTTTACTGATTGTTTTAGAATAAATGTTTGTTCATGGATATCGTCATAAAAACCGAAGCGTGGGATGAAGTTTTAAGGTGATTGTTAAAAGTTCAGGATGAATTGAGCGCAAAAACTCGCATAGAAAACAAGACCTAACCTAAAGTCGTTGAATTAGCAAAGAACACAAAACATTTCCATAAAATTTTCTACAGTTCTCAAAATCTAGTTCACGAAATGGCATTAATTATGATTCCGCTTGTTTTTATTCTATTTCCGACTTTTTTTATTTTATTCGACGCTTAACGCGATTTTTACCAAAAGAAGAGTCCAACTTGTCTTAAAATTATTTTTTTCGTGATTTAATGAAATTTCAACAGTGAAATTTATGATTTTTATGTTTGTTAGTCACTTGAATTTATTAAAAAGATATTTAATTGATTTAAAAGCATTAATTACCACCAAAAATGAATAAAAAAACACCTTAAGAAATTTCTTTTTTGATAATGTCGACACTCACGACTGTTTTCGACTTCGAAATGACTTTTTGCTTGAGCATAGACAAATTTTAACCATCTAGATGAGGCGTTCTAATGTAAGGTTATTTAAATTCAATTTTAATTAAACAATTTTTACATTTATGATAAGGTGGCTGTCTGTCTGTCAAGCTATGATATTTCTCTATGAACCATATTAAACACTAAGATCCATTACTCTTAGAACAATTAACAATTTATTTATGATGACATCATTTCGCTCCAATTATCTTGCATCTGCATGATCTAGTTTTACTCTATGCTTGTTCAAAGAAAGAAAAAAAAAGTTAATACGAAATATTGTGAACTGAAAAAAGATAGAAAAAACTGCAAAAATCCCTTTCCTGATATAAATTTAAGTAATTGCTGCATGTGGAGCTCAAAAGACACACCAACAAATATGGAGGAAATCCTCAGCGACACGATAACACCACAAGAGCTGGAGGTGAGCTAATTTCATAATTTTCCCTTTATTTAAAAAACAATTCTGAGTCATGTTTATTTATTTCTCTCGTCATCGTCATTGCAACTGGATCAGAAATTTGAGAAAGTTTATATGAAAGAACTCCATGAAAAGAAATGTGTGACAGCAAAAACCCAATTTGAATATGCCTGGTGCTTGATTAGAAGTAAATACGGCGCTGATATAAATAATGGAATTAAAATTTTTGAGGGACTTTGCAAGGACAATCCTGATGATAAACGCGATTATATTTACTATTTGGCTATTGCTTACTGTCGTATTAAAGATTTACCAACATCGCAAAATTATGTCAAAGCCTTCCTCGAAATCGAACCAAATAATCAGCAAGTACTTTTACTTGATGTGAGTTAGATATCAATTTATTTTAATGCATTAAACGCAAGTTTAATATCTTATCTTTGTTTGCTATCTTACAGGAATATATTGAAAAAGAAATGAGCAAGGAATTCAAGAAAGATGCAGCCATAGCTGGAGGCGCTTTGCTAGTTTTTGGTGGTTTGCTCGGCTTAGGCTTCGCTCTTGCAAAGAAGTAAAGTTATCAATCGAACATATGCTTTTAATAGCTCATAAGACATTTTATGTTGAATTGTTTTACAAGTTCAGATTATTTTCCTTCTGCTTTTGTTATCGCCTATTTTCAATGTTTATTAAATTTTCTCAAATCATCCTAAATTAACCACACATCATACACATTTGCTTCATATTTCTGGACATGTGTTTTTTTAATGTTTATTCAATTAAAATCAGAGAATTCTTGCATTACAGTAAGGGATTTGTGATATGTTTTGATGAGCTCAAAGCTTATAAAACATTCTGGAAGTTCTCGATTTTAAACATAAAATTTGTACTTGAATTAATTGAAACAGTTTCTCCCTGCGAAAAAAACATTTCCGCTTCTCAATCGTAAAATAAATTGCTATGCAGTAATCTGTAAATATTTAATATAAAAAGAAGAAGAAAAATTATGTCGTAAGAGAAATTCCCTAGGAAGTAATAGAAAATTATTTTCATCATTTATTTGAGAAAGAAAAAACCAAAATTAAGATAAATAAATTATGAATGAAATTAAAGTTTAAAAATTAAAGAAAAATTTTTGTTTCTATCAGTTAGAATTTTATCTGTTTATTAATTTATGTACAGTAACACTTGGCTCATATATTTTGTTTGATTATTCTTTATGTTGGCGTGATTAGTAAAACTTTCCTGCCTTGAAAGATTAATGTTGCTACATGTGTTTTTAAAAAATTTATTGAAGATTAATCGATCAAAAGGTGGAATGAAATTTTAGTTGCGTGCACTAAAAATTGTTATGAAAATTCCAGAATTTAAATTTTTACTAACATTAAAACGAAGAGAAACATTAATTATCTGTTCTAAATCTTTTGCACAGATCATAAACATTAATTTCCAAATATCTAACATGAATATTTCATTTTATTCATTATGCAATTGAATTTAAAAGCTAATAACATATTTTATAACGCGAAATATTTAAAAAAATCACAAAACCCTGCTTAATTAACTACAATTAGGAGAAAATATAATTTTAATAAAATTACAAACAATAAATAATGTTTACAAAAGATCAACAACGAGAAGAGAATTGACGCAGCCGAATCAATCGAGCTTTGATGAATTTAATTTATTTTTATGAATATAACATTTTGCAAGTTGCAACATTTAAGACCATAAGTGTGGAAATGTTTACTCATTTTTATCTTGTTTTATTTCATCAAGAAGCGATAGTATAATTGTGCCGGCTGGTGAAGTAAACCTCATCTAATCACATCGACGTGAAACGTTCCATTATTTTTATAATAATAAGCAAATATTCCGATAACGATCGAAAATGCTGTGGTCACAATAATTGATTTGCGATTGAATAAAATAGCTTGAGGGAAGAGTCGATAGATGAACGACGGTGCGGGTGGTTGTGGGTTTCTTCTTCGTTGAATCATCTGTCGTCTCGTCTCAAATATTTTGTCTTCTTCTTCTCGTATTTTTTGTCTGAAATGATTTTAAATTTAATTATGAATGAATGAAGAAATTGGTAACTTTACTTACTCTCGCTCAATGATCTTCTCGATATCACGGTGCAAGTCATGTGGGGGATATTTTTCATAAAGCTTTTCACTTTTTATAAGAAGATACTCAAAAGGGAGATCGTCGGGAAGTTGCGATAACAGACAATGTAGATTAGCACGATCACAATCCTCACGAAAAACATCTTCATCACGATATAAAACAATCGATGCAGTGACATAAAGCGGCATTAGTGGTTCTGAAGCTAGGAAATAATCGTACAATCTAACGACTGATCGATATTGGTTCAAACTATGACCAAACCATGTCAAATACCAAGGCAGCGCAAATAACAAACCACATTGACTCCTGAAATTAACACAAACATTATTCTCTGTTTTCTTTTCCAGTTATCGAGCTAAAAAGAAGGCTGAAGAGGAACAGCAAAGCAAAGAATAAATTCAACAATTCTTTTTCTTCCATTTAAAATATTTTCAATCTAAACTTCCTTCATTACTTTTTTTGTAATAAATTTAAAGACTTAAATTAATTCAATCAAAACTTTTTACATACCTTTCCAAATATTCAAATAATTTTTGATTCTCTCGCCAAATAAGCGCGTAGATTATGAGTAATCTTTTTTGGACAATTTCAAATGTCTTCTGCATGCACTCAACAAGATGGTCTGTTGACAATATCTCCATAATATGAAATGCGATCTCCTCGCCAGCAACCAAAACTATTGTCAACAAAATTAAGAAAATAAAGCGCAATTAAGTATCTCAAAAGTCATTATTGATATACGAGAGTAATATTTACGAAATGTGACAGCAATGTCATGATAGCCCTAGAAAGATGAAAAGAAACAAGAATAATTTAGATGATTGTTAAAGTTCTATTTAAATTAATAATAAAAGAAAGAAAAAATTACCTGATAGTAGCTTAAATGTGGATATTTTGTAATAACTCGGAGAATTATCACAGTCAACTGATCTTGCAAGGCAAGACGTTGTTGAATTGGAATTCCAGGTGGAAATCTTTTCAAGCTTCTGTTGACGTCTAATACAACTTGATTGTACTCGGGATGATTACTTAATTCCTCCAATGTTGGTACTGGATCGCATTGTTCACGATCAACACCAAGAAGAAGAGGCCACACACTGCGTCGTAAATCATCTATAAATAAACAATGATAACTTTACCAATCTATTTATGATCCAGATTTGATCACAAACCATTAATTAGTCCATATTCTGATTTAGCGAATTCCCTCCATTTTTCAAGGGGTGTGGTGGGATCTTTAAGTGCGTTTTCAATTAGTTTTCTTTTTGCTTTTTCTTCCTGATTTTCTGGCGCTAAATCAAACACAAAAAAAATGATGAAATCATTGATTTATAAAACAACAACAAAGAATTTTTTTTCATTTTCTACCAGTTTCAAAGCTCAATTCTGAAGGTTCGTCATGACGCCTTATGCTGTTTCGTGCATTTTCCATGTTTGGATTAGCATTTTCCTTGTCAGTTGAGTGAATCACTTGGCCTCCATTTGAAACATTACATGTTTTAATTTCATCACTTTTTGTTTTGTTCATATCATTTTCGATTTCATTATAATCCTTGATATTTTGTTCAACTTCCATTGTTCATTTTATGATAAACACAAAGAGGACTTTAATCTGATATAATTTCAAATATCATCAATTTCACTGATAAACTAGTGCTTGACAATTAATGACATAAACTTCAATGTTTTTATTTCTATGTGGACTAAAGAAACTTTTTTTCAGAACTGATCAAAACTTTTCATGTCCGACTGGCAATTTAAATTTGTTCGTTGAACAAATTTAAGTTTCAAGTACAGTAAACTCTCGATTGATTGATATGGTATTTAGAAACCTTACAATGAGAAACTCATGACTTATTCGCTATTAATAATTTTTCACGACTCCTATCGAGAAGCAAATTTAATAGCACCTTATTAGCGTTATAACTAAATTATTCTCTATTATCCTTAAATTTATCGATATTTTGGTTTTATCATAAAATATTTTGACTTGCAATACGTTTTCAGTTAGAAGTTAACGGATATTTTTGATTCAAATAAATTTGTACGAGGGGAATGTAGAAGTAAACGTGAAAAAAGATCCAAAACACCCTTTTTCATTCTTTTCAATTTAAAATCTATATAATAAAAACTGGCCTAATATACCTAGTTGTTAGAAATGAAACCTAAGTGATGTTTAGTTGATCATCTATGTTTGTTGTGAATTAAATTTATATTTCGTCTTTGAATTCCCAGAGAAACAAAATTTCATCCATGAAAAAAAGTTTATTTCGTCGTTGTTGTGAAAAAATCTTTTTTCCCTCTTTAGAATGGGTTGCATTACAAGCAAAACTGTAATAAGCGAGAATCCCAATCGCTTTGATGTTATTTTTGCTGATACAGAGCAGACAATTTACTATAATGCCCAATTAGAAATTAATGGTAATTTAAACGTTTTTAAGGAATTAAAATTATTTTTAATGATTTCTTTTTTATTAATTTCTAGGAAGCGATATTATATTGTATCGTAAGAATAAGCCTCCTCTTTCATGGCCGCTTGGATCACTACGTAGATATGGGTTTGATGCTAATTTCTTCACATTCGAATCTGGAAGAAGATGTGAAACTGGAGAAGGAATCTTTAGTTTTAAATGCCAACGAGCCGATGTTCTTTTCAACACACTTCAATCCTATATCAATGGTCGCGCATATAATACAGATGACACTAATTTACACGATTTCGCTGTGCCTAATGCATTAAACAGAAATATTGCCCAGCTTAACAGTCTAAACATGGCGGGAACGCTTCACACATCTACCCAAGGAAGTTCTTATATCGTTAATGCACGACCGAACAGCTCCTTGAGTCCCGCAGGTACGAACTCGCTACAAAGTCGAAGTACAGACACGTTAACTGCTGATTATCTTGAACCAAATCCTAATCGTGCCATAAATACTCACGTCGCACGACTTTCAGCTAATATGCGATTGAATTCATTTGGTTCAGGTGGACCGATTTCTCCATCTTCTCCCGGTTCACCAAATAGTTACACAAATATTCTCGAAATAACAAATTTAAATCCTATACCTCAACAACAGTCGCATGGAAATATTTATCAAGATTACCCAACATCGACAATGAATTTACAGAAACCTACAAAGTTCTCTTTGGATGTGGCTCCTCAAGAGTTGGCACCTGTTATGAATCAACTCAAAGTGACGAAGAAAGATCCCAGTAAAAATGTTTATATGAATGCAGAAATAGGAAAGAAAATCAAGGACTCAGAAGTGAAGCCGACATTAAGAGCAACATTGGCAGAAATGGAAAGTCTTGAAGTCGATCCTGACGTACCATCACCTGACTCAGTAAAAGGTGCAGCTGCTGTTTACATGAATGTCGAGATTGGTGATGAGAAATCGGTTGGAACACCTCCAGGCTTTGTCGAAGGAGTTAAAGATAATCAACCACCAATTGTAACAACACCACCAGTTCTGACGAACAATTTAAATTCAAAAATGAATGACATAAAGAAAGATTACACAAAGAACGTTGGAAATGGAAATATCTTTGGATTCTCTCGTGCAAGCTCATTTTCTCAAGATCCATCTCGATGCTATGAAAACTTAGACATCAGCCTTTCTGAAATGAAAACTTTAATGATTCGAAATCGATATTCCCGACCTGAAATCTTTTCTAAAGTAGATTTACCATTAATTGATCGGACCGATAAATCTGAACCGTGTACACCTACTCAAAGAAAAGTCAACTACATAGTATTAGATCTCGATCAGCCACAATCAACAATAATGAATAATAACAATAATAACTTCAATGACATCAATTTAAGCTCGAGTGGAAACAACAATGGAAGTGAAAACAATTTTAATGACACGCAAAGTCATATGGTGACGTCAACATCCATACAAAATAGTTTATTGGCTCCTGAAAGTCCTAAGAAGCTTGGGTATGCAACAATTGACTTCAATCGATCAACAGCTTTAAGTAACATTCTCTCGAATAATCCAATCCTTGATTTCGATCAAAGCAGCAGAAAAACACGTCACGATTCGAACGTGATACCAGTTGTACTGACAATGAAGCACAGCAACTCAATCAGTGACTAAATTGTGAGTAAATTTGAAAGCATAAGATTATTTTTAGCTTTAGAAATGGTGGCGATGCTTTGAATTGAAGAATTGTTAAGAAATTTCTTTCTTTAAAGTCTTAAAAGATTGTGAACTTTTTAATAAATCTTCACAATAGCACAACCTTCTAGATATATTAAATAAATAATAATATCCTTGTAATTCATAGCCAGAGGAATACTAAGTTAAAGATTTTATATTAGAAAACATCCAAAGTAGCTCAATATTGCCCAATCATAAAAAGAAATAACAAAAATGAAAACATAACACTTTAAAGACATCGAAATACAAAACAAATAACAAATCGGAAATTTTTCCAGTTACAAACCAGTGAAGCTTTTTTTTTTGATAAATCTAATAAATTAGAGAAATAGAATGAAATTGAAATAAATAAATAAATCTTATAAAGAAACAAAAACGTGAAATTGCCAAAAAAATTCATGATACATATAAAAATACTTGTAAAAATATATAACAAAGAAGTGAAAAGAAAAGAATTGTGATTTGTTAAATGTATAAAGATAGAGTCAATGTTGATTAATTGATACCAAAGTGAATGTTTATCTCAAAAAGAAATAAGAAAAACAGTGAAAAGAGGAATTAAAGGAAATATTTTAAGTCCCTTATTCCCTCGCAAAAAAAGGGAAATTGAAGAAGGAAAGATATAAACAAAATAGCTTTATGATGGTTTCTCGAACATGAGAAGCCATGTCATTAATTTTGTTGCCACAAACCACAGATAAATTAAATTTATAAGAGAAAGTAATTTATACTGCATGAGATCTAACTAACTAGCGAAATTGAATGACAATTGAACTAGAACAAAATGATTTTCATGAGAAAGTGTCAAATTATCAAGCGTAGTGCATACATTAATCGGTACAGCCAAAGCTATTATCGTTAAAATTTAAGTCAAATAAATAAAAGAAAGAAAGAAAGTAATGTAAAAGATTAAAGATTATATTGTCGTCAAACTTCGTAAAAAAGATTTTATAAAATATTTTATTTTAAGATAATGAAAAATAAAATACATTTCAAATAAATAATTTCGTGCTTTAACTTCTTTTGCTATATACTTGAATGCTTCGGTTGTCTTTGATAGTTTCCCATGTTGCTTTGATAGCAAGACTGGTTAGTATGGTGGCAAGTATCAGTGGAATTAAACATTTTGATGTTGCCAGAAACATAAATTGTGGAGCAAGTAAAAATGGATACACAGCATGTGAAAACTTTTCTTGAAAAATTGGTAAAACTTTATCAGAATTCAAAACTTCGAGAAGACTTAAAGCTTCTGAGAAATTGGATAGAATTTTAATATAATCCGAGAAATAAACAACTGTTGCCGCAATATCAAGTATCACACCAAGAAGACTCATAACAAGCCATGGCACGCAAAGGACAAGGTAATTGAAGCTTCTTGTTCCACTTTTACGAATGATGCCATCTGCAACATAACAATATCTCTTTCAAAAAAGGAAAATTATTCCTCCTGGAGTTAACAAACTTACAAGCTGCCATGAACGCTGTCACAATTAAAATAAAATTCACAACAAAATATATAATTGCGATGACAAAAGTTTTCTGTGATGCAAAGCTATCAGATTTTGTTATTACTTCAGTCACACTATCACCCTCGTTGATTGTAATATTTATGTAATGCCATTGAAACTTCATTTGACAATGTGATGATCGGAAGTAGAGAAACTTTGTTATGTCGTGAATAGCGATTTTTAAAGTCTGTGCGAAACAAAAGTGCCACAAAATTGCAACGATTGAAATAAAAAAGCTGGGTATGCTAAGTAACTGAAGTAAATTAATAATGAAACAATGAATAATTAAAATTTTAAACACTTTAAATTTGGCAAATTTACCAGTGAAAATCCAATTGCTGCATAACTAAAAATGTGAAAATCTCTCATTTTATTCAGCGAGTTTAATGTTTTGCCATCTGTGTCACTTAAAGTATTTAATACAATTAAATGGAAGTCGATTATTTATGTGGATGGAAATGATACGATAAAAGCTGTTATCAAATGTTATGCTTAAAGCTTAATCATTCGAAAGGCTAGAAATTGACTCTTCAATAAACTGACAATATCGATTACTTGTTCAATTCTGGAAAGTTTATTCATGCGTTGTTGTGATAAGAATGTTGTAAAGTGATCAACATAAACAGCTTTAATGTCATATGTTAGCATTTCAATTCTATGAACATAAATCAGCTAATTAAATTTAAAAGATTTAATTCCAAAGGCCCTGATTAAGCAATAATAAACACACATGAAAAACAAACAACAGAAGTCACTCGATGCATTTAATCAGAAATAGGTAAGATGTCAAATTTACATAGCAACTTAATTTTAAATTCGAGTCATGTTAGCGACACCAAAGTATAACGAGTGTCGAGAGTTTAACGATCGTGTGATTGCAAAATCCCGTAAAACATTTTAATTTAATTTAATCTTCAATTTTACAATTCTGACACCCTCGATGAGTTACTTTTTGCTTTCCGCTTTATAATATTATTTGCTGGCAGCATTTGGTGCACAAACATCAACAATATGAGAGATTTCATTTATTGCTTTACGACGAGAGGGATGTTGAGCCGTCTTGATTCTTGATAAGGTTTAAGATAATTTTTGTTTTCTAGCTTTGAGGTTTTGGTTGATATTTATGTACACTTTTCAAAACGACTACAAGCAATCGTAGTGACAGCAAAAACCTAAATAATAATAAAAAGGAATACAACAGCGACGACCTACATTGGAATCGTAAAAATAAAAGAAAAAGTACGAAGGAAACTCATCTATCGTGATTTCTGCGTGCGCCAAAAACACAACACTCACGTTTTCTGTACATGCCATCATCATGTAACAAGAGCAAATTAAAGATGACATGAAACACAACCATGGGAATTGAAGTGTTGAGTTGTTTAGCAGAGAGGGAGAAGGCATACATAAGACATTCCTTTATGAAAAACTTTCCATGATAATAATGGAATTACAAATTATTCATAAAGTTCTTTTCATTTTTTTCTGTGTTCTTATATTCCACGTTAACGTTATCATTCGTAAAACACGAGGATGAAAATGATACAGTAACACAAAATTAATGTTTTCTTCTTCTGTTATTGTTCACGCCTTCAACAGAAACTGCTGTGGCGTTGATTAAAAGATTGCTTTTATGTTCTTTTCCTTGCTGATAACTTCAACGTTTGTAGAAACTATCAGAATAGTTTTTTCATTTAATTCTTTAAGTTTCATTAACACCGTCATTCCTTCCGACCTAGAAAACTTTCGATTCACTTCAATTTCTGATGGAAATTCCTAATCGATCTATAAATAATAAATATTCAATAAAACGTTGAAACTTGTACATTTCTTCATTCACTAAATAATAGAATAATCTTGATGAGCTGATGAAGTTTTGATGGAAATATTTCGTTCATTGAACATAATAATAGAACAGAAAAAAATTAAATTGAATTTACGATTGTGAAAAGTTTTAATCTACTTTCCCACGTTGACTGCTTCAAACTTTTTTTCTTATTCTATGAGACTTAAATATGTCAAAGTTGATATTGAATAAAATGAATCTCATCCAATTATTAATTTCTTTTTTTTGTTTGAATTAGAAATGGAACATTCGCCTCATAACACGGGTCAGAGTGTCAACAACATGAAAATGAGAAATTCAGAGAAAACGCTATGAAAAGTGTTTTCATGTCAATCGCGTTCGTTCTTCACTCCCCATTGACGTACATTTTATGATTCAATTTATAGATTGTACATACATCTTTCTTGCTAAACGTGAATTTATTTTTGTTTTGCTATCAGTATTTCTGATTTAAAGCTAAAAGTGATAAGGTTTAGGAAACGTCTTGCGCAGTGGATGAAATTGTCATCATGAAATGAAGTTTCTTTCCTGCTTTTTATTCTCCCTTTCTTATGCCGGTATATTTGATACTTTTTATTATTTTCGATGGATATATAATAAAAAAGGAAAATAAAATGAACAAGAATCATATGGAAATCAAATCAACGTTGATAAATATTTCGGAAATGAAAGAAAAAAATTGTGAAGAAGGAAATTAAATCTGCAGTCGAATGAAAAAGCCAGAAATCTGAAAAGAATTGTTTGAATACTTTATGCTTGCTAACAAACTTTCAAGCAAAAGACCTTCGAACAGGATTTACAACACATTCTTTTGTAAACGAGATGACAATGAGAGAACGTCTGCAAAATTTTTCCTTTATGTCTAGATGACTCTGAAAACAATGAAAATGCTTGCAGCAAAACTTCCATTTAGAATTTCTCATCTTGAGACTATTTAAAAACTCTTGTGATTACATTAAGTTGTTGCTTTTACTTTCGAAGGATTTCAAAGTGTGATAAAGCTTTTCTTTATTCCAAACTGTTAGTTACAGTTGTTGATCTCGTAACAATCCTTTAACCACATCATTATCGAGACATTATTTTTTATTTATTAAAGTTTTCATTCAAATTCAACTGGTTTTAATCCCTCGGTTGAAATTGTATATTTTTTTGTAATTCTCCTTTTCACTATATAGCAAAGCAAACAACATGCCTCATTTAAAAGTAATCCCTTGAAATAATATGAATGAACTCCAAAGTCAATGTTTGTTATTGTTTTCCATTGTTTGGTTGTTGATACACTTTTGATGATGCTTAATGCATTCTCTCTCTCCCTCCTATGCTATCCTTCTCACTCTAATATTTATGTTTATGCGTCTATCTACTCATTTCGAACTCGTCTTGTAAACATTAAAACGTTCGCTTTATGTCTTTTGCTAAATGTTAACGACAAATGTTGACATCAAATTTCCAATTTGCAATAAAAATTTCGAAAAGAAAAAGATTTTGTTTCAGTTCATTAATGCCATTTGAAGTTTTATTTATGATCAAAACAAGCAATGTTCAAGAACATTGTTTTTATTCAGCTGTGAATGTCGAGAGAATTTCGAAACCAAGAGAGAGAGATTTTCGAAAAACAAGCAGAAAGAAAATCATTCTGAATTGTTTGCTTCATAACGTTGTAGGTTTAGTCTCTCGGAAACAGTGGAACAGTCAATATCTGGAAGAAGTTTAGTCTCGCAAAAGAAGGCTCTTCATCACAAAATAGAGCCTAATATAGTTGTGATTTTATTTCAGTTTATTATTACTGTCTAAGCTGCAGTAGGATTATGAAAAACCATAAGTGGATTAATTCAACTTCTCTCTAAAGCAGATAGTAAAGTTTGCATTTCAACGAATGTTACTCCAGTATTTCGTGGAAAAAGAAAGAAAGAAAGAAAAAAAATTCAAGGCGTAGAACAATTTTTCATTACGAGAGATCGTGTTTAGTGGTATGTGTTCGAGTGTGCTGAAATATATGAGACCTTTTGGTGCAGAATTTAAATTGAACAATCTCGCTTAAAAATGAAATGTAAAAAATTATAAAAAAAAACATATCAAAGTGGTTTTCGGGGTCTATAAAGCCTTATATGAGAGTTGAAATTTATCTCGAATTGCAGCCCACACGAGCCACAAATTAAAGCATTAAATCGCTCTTGAAGACATTTTATGATATCTACAGATAATTCTTAACACATGTGTGTGGTGTTTTGCGGAAAGCAAAACAAAAGGGCAAACATTGCGATACGAATATAATTTCCTTTCAGCCTTTTCTCTATGTCATTATGAGTGAGAGTGTTAAACATGTTTAAATAGAATCATTTCTGGGCAGATAATTTGGTGAAGTTCGTTTGAACTTCAACCGGAAGAAACAGGAATCTTACTTGAGAAGAAAGGCAAGAAATGTGGGGGTGTTTTGAGTTAAAATGTATTAAAATTGTGGAATTTAAAAGCGTGAATGAGAAGCAAGTGTAAGAAATAACGAAAAAGAAAAAAAAGGGATACCAAAACTTGTTATCCATGCACCCGAAGATATTGAAGCACAAAAAAAAGTTGAATGAAAAGTTTTTATTTTATTTCTTAAGAATTCAGATCCGAACAGAAAATAAGAACATAAATAATTTATTTATCAGTGATTTTTATTCGCAAAGACCGAAAGCAAAATAAAAAAAGTTTTAAAGGATATTTTTATTTTCCATCTCTTTTTCACATGAACGAAGGATTAAACAGAAGAAAGCAGCGGACAGCATTTAGGCAGTAAAAAATATTTTCATTTATTTTCGAAACGAACGAAGAAGAGTGAAAGAGAGAGAGAGAGAGAGATATTCAGACGGCCTAGAGCAAAGTGGAATCCTAAAAAAGATTATATGTGAGTAGTTTGTGCATAATTTATGAGTGCCGGGTCGTGTTTTTGTAATTTTTCATCTGTTTTTCTTTGGATGGAAATTGAAGATGATCTGGTCTTTCGGGGCTTCATTTTATGCGCTTCTGATTGGGTTTTTGTTATCACTTTATGACATGAACGAAATGATTGGTTAAAAAGCACTTAACTTGCTTTTATTATCATCATGAGAATTCTCATTAAAATCACCAAAAATACTTCAAGTTTTCATCTTTTGAAACACAAATATTTATTGAAGTAGTAAAATAATTTTACGACTGATATTCGTTTAGGACTACATGCGAAACTATTTGTCAGACAACTTAAAAGTGTCACAGACGAAACAAGTTTCAAAACAACTCATTTTACTATCAAATGGCACGCGAAAATACTTTTCACACATAAATTATTGTGTTGTCATCGCGAAAAACTTTGCTGCGATGATAATTTACATTCGTACGTGAATTCATTTCACGCATTTACGTTAAGCACAATTTATACAAATGTGTTTATTTTTCAAAGCTTCTGTTAATTGTCACAGAAAAACAAAGCATTTAATCGTATGGTTTCACTTTATACGAGTTTATTTGACCACATGGCAGCTTTCTCAACTTATCGTCATCCATTTGACTTTGATTCAGTTTTTATTTGATTTTCCTTATTTAGAAATCATTTATCAGAGCAAAAGTTTTCTATTTAAAGCTTTTTGTCAACAAAAGATCGCCGCTCATGACTTTGGATAGATCGGTGGATGAATAGCGAAAGAAGATAAGGAAAAGAAAAATAAAATAATAATAGATAAATGGAGAAAAGCAAGTCTGATGTAGGTCATTTTAACAATTCAGAACATCAGTATGATGACATTAATGCGGGCTGCCATTAACGAAGAAACAGCCAAAGCAAGTCAAATGAGATGACGATGAAAGGCTAAAACAAATTAGAAAAGGAAAGCGAAACACGCGATATCTTAGATTGAAGGCGAAAGGAAAATTCGAGTTTTCCGGCAAGGGAAATGAAAAATTGCTGAAATCATTTGACACCGTCAAGCTGTTGTGTTGCTATAAAATTCCATCAGAATCATTTCGTTCTCGCTTTCTCCACAGTTTTTTTCTCTTTCTATTCGTTAAGATATTAAATCATCCAATTGTTTCAATTTCCATTAACTTGATCTGATTCAAGCGACGTATAGTTGTTGAAGAAGACAAAAAAAAAGATTTGTGACCGTTTTATTTATCACATTTAATTCATCTTCTTTAGAAACTTATTCTTATTCTTTTTCTTGTTGTTTGATTTTCATGCCTCGATGGCTCACAAGATTAAATTTTTCTTCTTGACTTGAGTCAGAGAATCACATTCACAACAAAACGCCGCTTTTATCGTCTACCAACTAAATGCCTTTCAGTTTAACAGCTTTCCACTAAGTGGTTTAAGAATGTTCGCATGAGATTGAAATTAAAGACTTTGTCTCAATCATGCTCGACCATAAATTGTGATATAATGCGTCTTATTAGTTTCAATTAATTTGAGAAATAAAAAAAGCAATTTCAATTTCATAGATTCTGTCACAAGTCATTGCAGATCGATATTTGAGCTATTAATAACGACTATAAAAAATCGTGATTTATCGTAAATTGTGGTTTCATTTGGCACACGAATTTGCCTTTTTTTATAGCTAAAGTTTCAAATTTTCTTTCTTCATCACTCATCAGTATCTGAGGTAATAAAGCAATTTAAATTTTCCAAAGTGCCAAGCTTATGCAATTCTCTTAATGAGCTTTTTCTGCTTGAAACTCTGTCAACATTCATTCATTCAAATGCAGTCACAAAAATAAAAGTAATCAACAAATTTCAAAAGACAAACTTTTGCATTCGTGATGATACAAAATGATTTTTCTAGACACAGGGCTACGATAGATATTTGTAACAAAGGAATGATATTATTCAATACTTTCTACAATCAGAACAAATGTGCAATGTCATTGTGGCATAATTTTCTAAGCTGTCTAAACTGCCACAAAACCAAGAACTGGGGAAAGAAATTATTGTAGCTTTGATGTTTGAATTTGAAACTAATAGGAAAACGTGTTGTTTAATGTTTTAGGGCGAACGATATTATGAGTTTGAGAAATAATTATGTCATATGGTGTGTGAAAAGAGAAGAAAATAATTTTTTTGTTTACGTTGCGTCGTTTAAATGATTTTTTTTTCCTCATTTTCATTTCTTTTGTGGATATTTTCTAGTGAATGATTCGGCAATTATTATGATAGAAAAAGAGTTGCTGAAATTATGATTTTCACTCTTCTTCGTCTTTAGTGTTAATGACAGCAGTAAATAAATGTCTTTACTTGACAAACAACTGCAAAATTCAAGATCATTCAATCAATCACTTATAAACTTCATTTTCAAGTAGCATTTGCGCACATCTCTGATTTATCATCATCATTAGTGCAATCGTAATGCACATGAATGAAATGACTTTACGATTATTTACTGAACTATAAAAAGGCAAGGAAGATTAAAAAAATGGTCTGGCGAAAATCAGCACTGAAAAGAGTAATGACGGCTTCGAACTTAATTAAAATGTCGACTAAATATAAACAGCTTTGTAGATATTTAATTCCTGTAATGAAAAATTCCAACTTTTGCAACATTAAAATGTCTCATGTGCAGATGATTCAAGCTAAAAGGAATATTAAAAAAAAGGTTTGCGATGAGATGAGTTATGAGAACGTCGCCGTAGCATGAACAAAAATCATATAAAATTATAAACACATTGCCGCATGTTTTAATAGCTGCCACATGAAAATCATCGGCCGTATACATAACATAAAAGTAACTCGTAAAATGACGTCGAATATGATGACTTTTCGTGGCTATAAAAGTCGAAGGTGTTTTCATTCGGATTTGTTTATGACGGCTGGTTTGCTTTTACTTCCTTCCAGGTTTATTTACTTTGATAACGGTGAAAATTAAATTGACATAAATGTTGCTGTGAATGAAGGAAATGTGAAAAATAAATCTCAATGAAATTTATATCTAGGACTCGTTTTATTTCTCCCACGCAGTGAAAGTTGTTTCTTTCTCTTAAGACAATCACAAACTTTCTTTCCTTCTCAACACCAACACTTCAAATTTTTTATTTTTTGGTCAGAAGCAGAGATAAAAGAACCAACAAAAATAATGACGACTTTAACATATTTACTCATTCCGATCATCATAAATACGTTTCAAACTGAGCGGTTTATTTTAATAAGCTATTAACAAACAATCGAAAAAGAGTTTGGCAGCAGCAGCAATTGAACGCCACTGACGAGTGAGATGTGCTGTTGAAATGAGAAAGGAAAAACCTTTCAAGAAAACAAAACAAAAAATAAAATCACAATTTTACGAGTTTTTTTGGTGCGATAGAAATTACGACACCGCTGAGTGTATTTTTCAATAACAACGATGTGCAATAACTTTTAAGTAATAATGAAGAAACAGAACAATGAATGAAGTTTGAAATAACAAAAGAAAAGTCGAAACAATGGGAAGCGAGTAGAAAGAAAGCTTAATGTATGAAGAAAATTTATTCATAAACAAAACGAATCGTTTAACAATAAAACATTTATGCGAGTTACAATAATCTTCGCGGTTTACTTCATTCGTTTATTTCTACTTCGTCGGATGACCTTTCTAAACGTAATAATAGTAATAACAATTTAGAATAATTCCCAACATACTTAGATTTGTATATCTAGGTCTTCCAATCTTCTCGCAAACCTCGATTTACTTGTGAGATAGGAAAAAAGTTTTCAAAGAAACTTTGGCAAATAATTGCATCAAGAGTTAGCTTTAGTTACTTCATGGCAATGAAGCGAACCCATCCTCGCTTTGGTTTGTTGGAACACTCGCAAAGAATCACGAGAAAACTTTATTGAAGCTTGTCAGTGCAACTTCAATTTAATTTGAGGTTCAGACCTTCATTACGAACGGTAAATTTTCTATTCAATTCAAGACACTTTGAGTTCACTTCCCTTTCACGTTTGGCTCCAAGGCAAAGACACACAAGAATTATCTTGATATCTACTTAAATAGCAACATACAAACTTTGTCAGAAACACGTCATGGCTAATTGCCTTCAATCGAGAAATGAACAATTCTTCATGTTCGTCGGTTCTTTCCGGGACGAGCCGAAACGTGTTGTGATTTTATCCACCATTAATGGAAATTTCATCAGTCCAATCGTCTTCTCTCATGTAGCGGTCAAATTGATTTTCTTTAGTTAACAAAAAATAAATATTTGGGACACTCGTCCGTTGCCGTTCGTTCCTCCCATCCTATGAAAATTTCATTAAGTCGCCCATCAATATTCCGGGTCGAGAGAATGTTGATTAGGATTTCGTTAGGAAAACAGTCGCGTTGTCACTTGGGAGATAATCCGATTTGGTTTTTTAAGAAAACTTTCTCTCTTTCTATCTATCTTCGTTGGTTGCTTGCTTCCATCTTCAGCAACCACATTGATTTGAGAGTGCGGGCGATTTATTCAGTGAATTTATTATGGAAATTTTTCTTATTCAGTTAGCTACCTTCACATGTAGCTATACTTATACTTAGCGAGATTTTTAGATGGCACTACAGGTGATAATAACGATATTTGTTGAGTGTGTGATGTCATTGTAATGTAAATTTATGGCTTTTCTCACTTTCATTAATCGCAAGTAGGTATCTGAATGGAACCGTGGAGATAATAATTTTGAATTTACCATGCTGTTCAAATATTGTTAGCATGAGAAGTGTTCATGTGTCAGTTTATAAGACGAACGAATCGTGCATTAACCTACATTCAACAACTAAGAAAAGTTACTTTACTTAATAGCAAATTAGAATTTGATTGGAATTTAATCGCATTTCCTTCTCGATCATTTGATTCACTCGGTTAAATGCGCAACCAAATCAATTTGATTTTAATGACTTTTGCGTACATCGCACTGTAAAATTGCTTCAAAAATTAGGCGCGAATTCGAATTACAACGCAAATGTATCGCGTAATTAAATCAGAAATCATTACCGTCTAATCTCGTTAGTGTGCTAGAAGCAAGCAATTGAACAATTTTGATTTGAAGAATATGAAATGCTTCGATTTCGTCTTATTTATTCATTTTATGGACCTGTCATAGATATCATAACGGCATTGAATGGCATCGTGTTCTATAAATAAATATCAAACGAAATCAGAAATAAACTTGAATAGGAGTAAAAGAGAAACAAAGATAGAGAAAAAAAGCAAATGACAACACCCAGCAATGACTAATAGCAAGATATGTCACGTTGTAGGCAACGCAAGAGCCTTAAAGTTTTTGTTTTTGTTTTCAGCAAAACCACAACCAACGCTGAGTGTGTCGACAAAGAATTAAAATAAAAGTCACAGCTTATCACACCTTTAGACTTCACTTTTGAATGTTTAAGGAATTTTAAATTGCAAAATGTTTTTGTTTTTATAAAAAGCAACGCAGGTTGAACGTTTAAAATCTGACAAAGTACCAGAAAGTTATTAAAACTTCAACAATTGTAATTATTATGAGAGCACCACAAAACATTCTCTAACATCAAATTCATCAACCAAAATTATGAAAACTTTTGTAGCATGACAAAAACGAAACACGGAAAAAGATTTTTTTCATTCAATTGATTGGATTGTTTTGCTCATGTCATTCATTTAATGTAACACCAGCCCAAATTGAAGTTAATGTATGCAAATTCATTTGAATTCTCACGATCATCATAGAAGTGAACAGCATTCCGTGCATGCATTAAAAGACAAAGAATCTGTGAAGTTGTTTAGAGGGAATTAGCAGCAAGTATTTAGATTTGACGTTCATCATTTTGTTCTGTAATGTAAACTGATATTGACACGAGTAAAAAACACAAAGTTGTTTACAAATTATCGCTGCCTGTTAAAGGCCTCACTGACAAAGCTGGAACTCAATCATCAATACACTTCGCTTTTTTTTTTTCTTCTTTTTGAAGAGCAGCAAGTCAGTTTTGTTATTTTTTCAATGACATCAATACTTAAACGAATGAAATTTTTGGATTGTTCGATTTTCTATTTTTGGGATGTGTGGAATCTCCGCGGTGTAGTAGAATGCGAAGGAGAGAAAGACTCGTTCCAACCTGCTGTGATTGCCTCATTGCAACGTTGCCAAATTTACGCCAACATTCTCATCAACTCACGAATTTCATTTCAAACTCGAAAAAAGAAAGAATTAATTTTGTTTTTGCATCATCATCTTGTTTCATCGTCGATGCTTCAAAAGGTTTGATGAATTAGTGCCCATTTATATTAATTTCTCGTCTTTTTTTTATGGAAATTCGACTGATGAATCAACGTCAAGAAGGTTCATGATACCCGTAAAAGTCAGATCAAAAAAGAAAAAGAGAAAAAAGTTCAAAAGTCGTTTTCAAACCCTGTGCAATCAAATATTAAAATGAATTTTTCGTTTACTTAAAGTTTGTCTCGTTTCATAACATAAATTTTGATTCTTTTACAGACACCAGAACAGAAAGAAGCAACATCAGCCAGTCTACTAAATATTGAAGCGGTTCTCCATGGCGAAAGCGGAATCCAGACATAACAACAATGAACTTCAAACTAACGAGTGAGTATCATAGTTCCTTGTGTTATTCAATATTTCCCTTCCTTGTCTTTGTCTCATCTTCCACCTTCACCATTGTATAAATTCGCTCTCTCTCAGCGAAACTGCCACTGATGTTGTCTCTGTTTCAGCAAGTGTGCGCACTTAAAAGTCTCACAAATGTTAAACTTTTAATTGAACATTTCTCATGAATTTAATACGATAAAACTTTTCAACTCGAAGGCCATTGTTTCAGTTTTAATATTGTTTCAATTCCTAAAGCGAATGAAAACTTTCATCTACTTAAAATCTTCCCAAATGTGAAATTAAATTAATTGAAAGTGAAATAAATCGATTTTTCATTTCGGGAACATCATCAGCGTTGATAATTTGAACATTTTTCATTTCCTATGAAAAGTTGTAATAAGTTGACACAATCGATACGACGACGCAACGTTTTACAAACAATTCGATGTGGTGCGAGAAAGCGGGGGTGGTTTGAAATAAAGTCGTAAAGGGAAGGCATAGCAGGAGGGTGGATTTATAGTTTATTAGATAAGATTTGGTTCGATGAAAGTCTCGTTTATACTTTATACCAGAAAACTGGCCGCATCAAGGGAAGATTAATCAAAAATTCTTCCCTACAAACTTCCTTTTCGACTTATCTCAAGCTCGAGAACAAATATTAATAAAATCACTGTCTATGTTCTTCTTTCTTCTTTCTGGGTTAATCTTTTGAGTTGATAAAAGCTTCAATTAAGTAAAGCAACGAATTATGAAAGAAAAAAAAAGATCAAATAACTCATTGTCTTTATTTAGACGTTTTAATTGCATAATTTTTATCTTCATTTTCACTTTCATGTCGCCAAGAATATTTCTTTTTGTTTCCTCTGTTTCTGATCAACACGAAATCTGAAATCAAGACACGATTTGAAATATTGCCAACAATAAAAATGAAAATTAGTTAATTGACGTCAATTATGAAAGTGTAATTGATGATGGAAGATTATTATTGTCACGAATGAGATTCACAGAAGGCAGAAGTAATCAAATTTATGTCATAATATAGTCGAACCATGCTTTATCATTAGATAAATATATTTAAGTCGATAGGCGCTTTACTTGTCTCGCTGCTGCTTTCTTGACTTCTTTATGTTGATCGACATTTTTAAAGCCATTTTCTAAACATAGGAAGCGATTTTATTAGCATTATCTTGAATTTATTCTTATTGTGCGGAAGAATATTTACAATCTTTGGAGCGAGGGTTTCGCTTCTTATTTCTTTCTTTCTTTTATTTTATATTTTGGGAAAAAAAGTTCTCCGCTTCACATAAAAGTCTGTAAAGTTCACGAGTCGTGGTATGAGTGAAAGAATAATAAGAAATCTTTTTTTCATTCCCGACTACTGTCGCTTGTCGCTTATGAGAATGAGAAGAACTTGGCATACCTCTTAAAAGTGTACATCGTTTCGGTAAAATATGCTAATTAGAAATGTAAAATTTCAACGACATGTTCAACTTTAAAGGACTTTAGAGAACATCCGCAAAACTGCTAACTCAACTGTAAAGTGAAACTTCCTGCATAATGTCAGCGATTCATGCAAATGAATTGTTGAAACTTTCCTACACTTTCTCATTGAAAAGTCGTCTGTTGTTAAGCTAAATCAAGCAAAATTTTACATGATAAGGAAAAGCTGTTTGTGTACATTGTACGAGAACAAAAGTCATGAAAATATTTGATTTGTAGACTTGCGCATTGCAGTGCTGATGGATCTTCGAAAAATTAAAGATCCGCTCTCCAGTTTAACTTCTCTCTTGCTTTTTCACTCGTGTCTGCATTTTATTACCATAAACAACCGTAAAAAACATTTTCTCAATTTTCGTTTTGTCCCTTTTTTCATCGGAATCTTGTTCCCTCTCGTAATTCATTCGTGCCGGTATCTCATTCTCAATTCATTGCTCCCCTGCTTTCTATTACATGTGTAACAAAAATCGATGGCAAAAAAAAACACAACAACCTTCTTCTCTACGGCCTGCTCTCATTTCATTTAATAGTAGCAAAATGAGGAAGTGGTTTAAAGAGATGAAATGTTTAAAACATGTTCTATCGATCTTTAAGACAAAAAAGAATCGATGCTCGCCTTAATGGAAGATATTCTCAATGAATTGACTTCGTTTATGACTGGAATGAAAGTGCAGTCATAAAATGCATGAACAGCTTTCATAATCGTTTAAATTAACGAGTGATGGGGAAATGTCTGCAAGATTAGCTGAAATGTTGAAATGTTGATGTTGTTGATGATGACAGGGATGCAACCGCAAAAAAAGATTTGCTGTTTAATAATCAATTATGCAAATATGTGAGCGGTTATAATTGCTTTCTTCTACCACCTTTGTTTTCATTAAACCACTAATCACATTACACGCATAATTGCACTTTTTCTCACTCAACGAATTAGTGCAAGTTAATTGCATATTCATCCAATTACTGAATTGATCAATTAATTTTCCAAGCTCCTATCATGGTGCATCATACGAAAGAACTTCAACAGAACGCTATGAGACAATTCAATATAATGATGGGAAAATGTTCAGTAAACAGCAGCTATTATATGCTCATAACGTACTCTGATGGGAATGTCTTCAGTTTTAGATACTTTTAAAGAAGTTAGTCGCTTCATTCAAACTTTCCTTGACGTTGTCTGCATCGTAAGGAATTTTTCTGCACGATTTCATCATCAGATACAAAACATTCAGAAGGAAAAAATCGTGTGCAGTGCAATTTCCATGAGCTTATAAAACAAAAAGTTAAATCTGTTTCGCCTTTAAGCTGTTTATAGTTACGCCAACACATGAGAGGATTTTTAACACATTCGTGTATGCATTACGAAGGTTTCTGACATCACTTCAAGCATGTTTCGTTGAGATTGAGTCTAGTTTTTAAAACAATAACATTACAGCATTAAACAGTTCAAATTGAATGAAAGAAAGAAACATAAATTCGTTAAATTCTGAGACGAATTGTTGTTTGTATGTACATTGCTCGAGAGTTTCCCATTTGAATATATAATTTTAATTTATTCTGTGGCAATTGAAGCAAATGAACAAAGAAACTTAAGCTACACCCTAAATATTGCATAACTTTCCGATGTGCATTAAAAAAGTTCTTTTTATCGTTTCAATGGGAACAGAATCAGAAACGGAAGTGAAATGAGAATTTTTTATATTTTTTGAAACGGTTTAGTGGCTTTCTCGCTTTCGAGTCAATTGTGGGTTTATTTGCTATTTATATGCATTTGATGGGATTAATTGAGATATAAATTCCCAATGACATTGACAATCAAATAAATTATTACACTGTTGCAATATTTTTGCAATTAAAAGTCCATGTCGGTCGATTGAAAAGTAATTAATTGATTTATCCATGAACTAATTTAATTAATTCAGCATTTCCAACAACTTTCAAAGTTTTCATTTAATTGGCATTACAAAATAACTTCGAGTCTTAAAATTATAATTCTTCAAGCTTCACCTCTTACTTAAATGGGAAGAGCACTTAAATGAGCTTGAATAAGTAATGAAAAGAAGTTTAAATTGAGATTTGGAGAGACTTTTCTGCAAGATATTTATTATTTCTATTCATCTCGTTGGTGGTTTTTTAAACTAAGAAGTTGAAAAACTCTCCTGATTTAGCAAGACTTGAAAACTTTTCCCCTTACGAACTGTTGAATTATAAAATTAATTTTCTAATTTATCATTTATTAATCATATTTTCTAGAAGTGGAACAGACGAAGTGGAAAAGTCACTGGAACTGCTCGATAAAGTCTTATCGGAGTTTGAGGAAGAGCAAGAGAATTCGCCAGCTGGTGAGCCGGAGAGTCCGTCGCAAGGCCATCAATCAGAAGACGATGGTTACATGAGTATGAATGGTAGAAGGTAAATAATCCGAGAAATCCAATTAAACGCTTAAAGACCAGTCGCGGGGATTATTCAAATAATAATCTCATTAATCATCGCATATTCGCTTCTTTGAAGCGCATTCAAATATGGAAGAATTCTTGAGGGAAAAGCCTTGAGATGACAGCAAAAAACAAAAACAGACATTTAATGTGTTTGAATATTTAATTTTGTAATTTTTCACTGAATTATATTCGCGCGATGAAAGTCTCTCGAGCATAAAAGTTTACATAGCGAAAGTTTTCATTTCCGTTAGAATATTTTCTACCTAGAGTAAACTCCCCCGCAGTTTGACTTGATGGCTTCTCAACTTTCTCATCAACCGCTCCATAAATGCTCTTTCCCCTTTATTGTTCTTTACTTTCGCTGTTGTTTATTTAGCATTTCTTCTATTTTTATATTTTTCACCTCGATCAAGACTCGGAAATTTCATTTGTTTGTGCTCGACATCGCTGTCAACAAACTCAAGCAATGATTTAATTAGGGGACGATGCGAGTAAAGCTTTAAAATTTTATGATGATGATGATGATGGGAAATGCTGTGGAATTTTCATGACAAAAAGCAAAGACTATGTATAGTCGTTACGCGGAAATGACCGGTCGTTAGATAAAGAAGTGGAGATTTAACTTATCGAAATTAATCAACGAATTAAAGCGAACGCGCTTCGCCCATGTTTTATTTTTTGCTTTGTTCAGTATTCTCATTGTTATTGCACTCATCCAGTGGCTTTGAATTTTCTAGCACCCCCTGAAAAAAATGTTAAAATGTAAATTAATTTCTTCCACCACCAGAAACGGCACAAAAAAAAGAGCGCAAAAGGAGATCATAAATTATCGCGCATTCTCCTTCAACCTTCACTTTTCCTACGGCTTCGGACGAGGGCAGGAAAATAAATAAACGTTTTTCCCTCTTTTCTCATCATCTATCTAGTCGTAGATATATTTTCGCATGTTGAATTTTCACGAATATTTATCTAAATACATTTGTTGAATGCTCATGTACACATCACGGTTGCTTCTCATAAATCAGTAAATTTCCGAATAAATAAATATTCAGGAACTCCACCCTTTCTCACTGCTAGTGAATGCAGGAATCTTTAGATAACTCTGATTATTTATGGGAGAAATCTTTATTCAATTAACACTTTGACCATCGCAATTCTTTTCTACCCTAGCTTCAAATTTCCCTACAAATTCGAACAATTTTTATCCCTTTCAATTTTTTTTCTCTCACCACTTTAGAGCGAAATTTGTACCTGACTTTCAGCCGACTGAGGAGGTTGCACAACCTGCCCTTTCTACACAGCCTAACGTGCCGCCTGATGAGAAACTTTCACCTCCCACGCCTGAAGAAGCTGAACGAATAATTTCACATTTACTACCACGGTAAGTTTCCTTCCTTACTCTGTAAATTATTTCTTGTCACAAATGAAAAATCATTCCAATTTTCTCGCTCGTTTCTTAACTTTGAAATTCTTTTTAATCAGCAGACGACACTGTCTGACTGACTTTTTCCCTGTTTTCCGCTTCTTTTGATTCATCAACAACATAACGATATGAAAAATATTTTCCATTCTGTTGTTGGCGGTGCTGCTGCTGCTGCTGCATGATGATGGAACTTGATGAAGGAAATTGCGGAAATTGTAATTGTGACTTGTTCGTTCATTTTCTACAATCCAGGATTTTGATAAGAAGAAAGATTGAAGAGTTTCATTCAATTTCATCTGAAGTCGATTGTAAAATTACCATTCAAAATATAATTCATCTTACATTCTTCGAGATGCTGATGCTGTAGAGAAAGATAAGAATCATCATTGAGATGAAGAGACGAGTTTAAAAGAAAATGTAAACATACACTCGTGACAAGTTCATTGACACGATTCACTCACTTAGCTTAGATATTTATTCGTCGTCGACACCACACACAAAGTTCTTTAATGGCATTTGGTATCATAAGTCTTTCCCCTTTCTTTTCGTCTTTTTTTATTTAAGCTCTTTCTCGACTTTCTTTTCTTTCCCATTCACCAAACGCCGTTGTCAGAAATTCCTATCAGCAGCCAAAAAACAACATCGAAGTCAAATATGTTCTCCATCTAATTTCAAATGGAATCGTGCTTTTCGCGTATCGTTTCCGCCTCAAACCGATCTTTATCCTATTTTATTTAGGTTTCAATATCGACTAAGATAATATAAAGTGTTGAACTTTGGAATGGGAAAAGTGTAGACGATAGAAAATGATGGGAATTTTATTTTATTTTTCTAGCATTTCACCATCAACGACTCAAGGGGAGCTCAATAATTCAGCGATGCCTTGTATTGAATTCAAATTTATCAACAATAACAATAGCATACGATCATCAAATATATCATTTGGCACAAAATATCCGATGAACGTTGAGTCTGAAGCATCATCAGCTTTAAATTCCATAGTTTCAACAAATGCTCCACTTCAAACGACATTGGTGAGTGTTGAAGAATCAACAAGAATGAGATTGTTTCCGTTCTTTTATTTTATTTTCCTTTTATCATTGCTACAAACTCTTATTAAGTGTATTTGAATGTGAAAGACGCTTTATAAGATAGACAATCGTTTATTAAAGTAGCAGCATAAATAAACACGAAAGAGTATGATAATGATGATAGCTGTTTGAGTAAATAACAAGAGGCAAGCGCCTTCTTCTGATGATCCTAGAAATGAGCTTTAGTCTTGTTCAAATACTTAAAAGCGAGAATCATTTTTTTTATTCCATTGTTGGTTTGACGTAGACAAAGAGAGAAAGATCAGAACAGAAATAAAAGCTCAATAAAGCGAAATTTTTCAACTTTCTTATCTCAGATTTCTGCGATATTTTTTTATTCTTCTACTCGATTTTCATCGTGCTTGTTGTTTTGAAATGAGAGAAGTTAAATATTTTCTGCTGGTCTTAAGCAATTTCATTTGTCGTCTTATTATGAATGCACAAGATGTTTGTTCTGGGTGAAATATTATGATTTTATGGATATTTGCTCTCGCTCATATGACTTCATTTACGTACGAATGAAACTAGAGAAATTGTTATCGTTCCTCCTATGCCTAGAAATAAACATCTTTTGTGCAAACAAAGTCGTGAAAATGTTCCTTTTTCTCTTTATCATTGAATGATACATTTCCGACGAGATAAACTCGTAAGTCGTCGAGTGAGTAATTTCCTATTATTTTATTTATTTCTGGGAAGTGAAGCGCATTTTTGGGCATTCAAAGTACACATCCACATAGTTTTTCCGGCTACAAATAAACTCGTTTGCTTTTATTATTCTTTCGTTTTTTTTTTGTTCATTTTCTTAGAACAATTCTGGGTTCAATGAACTGCAAAATTTTCCATTCTCCATATGCTTTTCTTCCCTTTTATATGTTTCAACAACATGAAAAATTAGAAATTTATGTACTTGAAAGCTTGGGAAATGTGGCGCATGATGAATTTCATTTTAATTCTAGACTTTCAACAAAAGAATTTGTTATTTTTATTTGAAAAGAAGAAAGAGTGACGAGCACTCACTTAAAAATGCATCTTTGAAATTGATTTTCAATTTGCTTAAGCTTTGAGGATGAAAGAAAATGAGAAATTTTTCGCTTCCTTCACACAAAATAAATCGTAATAAATCGCATTTATTTATAAGAAGAAGAAAACTTCAACTCATGTAAGGAAGGCAAGAAACATGCATAGAACATTAGTAAGTGTGGGGGGAGTTGAAAAAGAAACTTGGAGAAAATCCAGGCCATGATGGATAACACTCAATATTTGCATAAATATCGCATTTATGCTCAAAATGCTTCCACTTCAACTCCAAGGCTTCCTTCCACTTGAATCAAATCTGTAATTTTCCTTCATTCAAATGCCACTTTCAAAGTTCGTCTATCTCTATTCAAATTAAGAATTTTCATCGTCGTCTTTCAACTTCCATAACGAAAAATTAAAATTGAATTCATAGACTGCAAAATGTGCAAACGATAGCGAGAAGGAAGACGAGAAACTAAAAAGAATTTTAAACGAAATTCTCATTCTGATTAAAACCAAAAAATTATTATTATGCTGACTTATAAATCAATCGAGAAAGATGAATGAGGATTTATTACAACTATAAAATGCAAATGTTGCGCAATTTCTTAAGATTCTTTTTTATTAGTTTAATGAAAATCTTTCTCAATAAAAGCTTTTTGAAAAGCTCCCAAAGCGAAGCTTCCAAGAAGAAAAGTTTAATTAAAGCTCACAAAACATATCAATGCGATTCTTCTTTTTTATGACTTTCTTTTGTTTCCCTGGGATATTTTCCTTTTGTTTTTCCTCTTTCTTCGTGAAGAAGAAAACATTTTTCTCGTTTTTCTTTAAGTTTGTGTGTGTTTGTGTGCGTTTTTGTATTTAGGGATGAATCGTTGCTCAAAGAAACGTTGCCATAAATTACCGTTTTACGAATTCTAAGCTCACCGGAGAAATATAAAACAATAAGTTGAGTAAAAAGCTTAAATAAACAATAAATTTTTCGTTTTATAATAAAATTGTTATTTATGGCACTTCGCATGAGTTTCGTCGTTTGTTGGCCTTCGCGTTTTTAATTTTGTCACTTAATTGAACGCAATAAATATTTTATGTTGGAGAAAGAAAGGAAATTAAGTAAGAAAGAACAAATTGAAGCAGTGAATAAAGATTTTCTAAGTGGGGGTAGTCGTCATTATGCTTTGTCGTTAAACGAATTGCTATAAAGTCTCATCTGTTAAGTTTGAATGCTTTTGTCTCATCAACAGAATGTTAATACTCAACCTGATTACGATATTACCGTCTTAAGTATGCCTTGAGGCAACAAATTTTTCACTCACACTTTACATTATTTCCACAAGCTTAAATTTGAATCGCGTTACAGCAAAGCAAAGTCGAAAGCTTTTCCAAGATCCGAAATTGGGTTTGCGAAGCGTCTCCAAACAACTGGAAAAGTTTTCCTGATCCAAAATCTCTTGGCAATAAAAAATATAAAAAATATTTCGTTGTTGTGTCATAAAGCATATCAAATTAAACGATTTTTCTTGTTCCTTATGGCGATGTAAAAAATGACATAATTTGAAATCTTATATCGTGCAAATCACGTGAAATTGTTAGGGGAAAAATATGGAAAAGTTTTCATTTTTTGTTGAAAAATGAAGGAAATTTAATTTAAAGTTGAGGAACGAAACATGACGATGTCTTCTTATGTTCTCTCTCTACCGTGACAGATGACACGAGAAACCGCTCAAAAATATTGTTGAAAGCATTTAAAATGTCATCTATATTGTGTTATCAACACCATCAATTGCTCTCGTGGTATGCATGTCTAGGATTTATGATGACGTGCTGTGTGAATGATTCAAGAATTTAATCGTGTTTATTATTGCTTATCTTTGGCACTCTTGATTCATTTGTGATGTTTATTTATAGCCGAAAACACGTCCAGCGACTGTTGTTCCATCACGTTATGCCAGTCTTCCATCATCAAATACACCGAGAAATCTCGAGCATGAACATCATCCCGGTGGGAACGTTTATATTGGACGAAATTTTATTGGCATCGGAATAAACGACGTTCACAATGCCGTGCTGAAAAGTGGAGCACGAATGCCTGGTAAGTTTCTTATTTAAACATGCAACCTTCCTTTTCTCATTAATTTAAGTTCATAAGCGAAATTTAATGGGTCGAGTACTTGATTTAAACTCAAATTAAAGTGATTTCTTTCATTTATTTTCTGTTGATTGAAGATTTCTTTGAACTCCACCTTAAGGTGAAATCTCTTTTTAATAAACATCAACAAAGTCTTTTGAAGAAGTAAAAAAGAAATCCTTGGCAAACGGAATTAGATTAGGGTTGGGATTCGAAGGAAAAGAAGAGAAAAATTGCAATGGCACATAAATAAATTGAAAGCTTTAATGGAATGAAAAGAAATCGTAAGAGATTATCATCAAAGTATCCATAACTGAGTGTCTGACATCTTCATAACTTTCCAAGTATCTCATATCAAATTCTTTGAAGTTTTACAAGTTATCCTGAAAAAGATATTGAAAAGTATAAAAATCTTTTGATTTTCTTTTCTTCATTTATTGAACGATGAAAAGAAATGTAAACCATCAGAAATTCTGACGGATGTAGAATCTCAAATGTCGTCTAAGATTTCATTTTCTTTTTATTAAACAATTATTATTAATTAAACACTTTCAAAGCTTTAAAGCCTATAACACTTTTATAATGCTAATAAATTGTTACAAGTGCTAATTATGAAAGCTAAAACTTTACTCAACAAAGTGAAAGCTCTCATTTTCAAATGTTTCATCAACCCTTCGCGTCGTCCCACTTCAGATTTGAGATTCAGCAACACTTCTTTTGAGAAGTATTTCTTTTCTACCCATCGCAACATTCATAGAATTCCCTGATGTTGTTTAAGAAGCAACACCAAGAAAAAAAGGTCAAAATAAATTAAAGAAAGTCTCTCAAGTTAAATATATCGCTGAAATGGTGGCTGACAGGAAAAGTTCGTCCTTTCCTTGTGACTCGCATAACTGAACTGTCAAAATACCTTAAAATGGGTCTTATGTCAAAAGGAATGAATGAAGGACAACAGCAAAAATGTGTCGAAGTAAAGCTTTCTTCTTAAACACAACCATTCTTCCCGTTCGTTCTTCGTACTAATTGCTAAATTAATTCCATTAACACTCGACATCCTTCGAGCTTAAAAATTCCTTGTCTCGAAAAGCAAACCTTTTTATCGTTCATTCATTTTCATCATCATGTGTAGGAGGATATATTTGAAACAACAAGCTTTTGCAGTACCCTCACGCATATACACACACACACACACAATTTTGTTGTTCATGACGACAGAAAATTTCACCCCAATTCGTAAGAAGTAAGCGTGGTAAAAGTCTTCTTAAAATAAAAACTGAAATTTTTAATGAGAAGTGATGGATGGGTTTGGTTTGTTATTCGTCTTTAAAAGGACGTTGATAAAGGAATGAGAATCATTTGTTTGGTAAACGATTTTAAAAGTATTAAAATCATTTAATTGATGCTTTCTTATGTGGTTTAAGTAACTTCTCCGACCACCCAGCAATCGTTTTACGCTGTTAAATTAATTAAAATTGATTATGGTTTCCATGATGATGGATCCATAAGTATCTGCTTTTCGTGAAGGCAGTGAGCTGAGAGACCGGAAGAGCTCTCCATAATCCAAAATTAGTTTTCTCCCCATTCCAAGTATTTTATCTTTATCATAACAGCCGCAAGGGGAAAAAAGGTGAAATTTAATAATGGAAAACTCAACCATAAAAGTACCTTTATCACGATGTATTACCCAAAAGCCACGAAATTTGTTCGAGAGAAAAAGAAAGCTTCTTCAATTTCTACAAGAATAATTCTGAAAAGCCAATAAGTGTCCTTAGCAAATCCGCTCCGCAAATAGTCTCAGCAGCGGTTTCATTCTTAAAGTAATCGAATCGACCATAGCTGCAAACACGAATGAGAGAAATAAATCCCTTCAATGGCAATTAAATGGATGCTCAATCTAGGTTGCTATTATATCGAATGGGAATTCTTAACATACAAGCAACAATAATGAAATTCCTCCTACAACCGATAAAATAAAATATTGAATTATCATCTTCCTGGATAAAAACCGAACAATAACAGAGTTGTTAAGCAGAAGTGCTATTTTTTTTTTGACAAATCCCCTTGAATATTCCAAAAGTAAATCTCGAGAAAAGAATTGAAGGAAATGTAAAAAGCTTAAAGACTCTCTTAAAGTTCTATAATCGGCTTTGTTGTTGTCTTTCTTGAATCTTGAATTGATGTACATTTATGTATGTTTGTTGAATGTTTCTTTGGTATCCATTTTCCTTCTTATATGATGTCGAACATGTAAGTTGGTTGTGGAGGGGTTAAAGAAAAGCGAGTCATGCAATAAATGATGTCCTAATCTTGCCACACATATCTCATTATTTATGATCTCTAGCAAGGTATTTCGCTACCATTTCCTTCATGTTTCTCACAGAAAGCTTCTCGTAGAAATTGCTGAAATGAACGACGTTTTCTTGCTCGTATCTTTTAATGGTTGATGAAGTGAAGGAAGTGCGGAAGGAAAATTAATGAAAATGAACGGCAAAAAATCAATAATTGATATTTTTACGGCTCAACGAGCACACTGATTTCATTTCATTTAGCTTCTACTGAAACATATATAATTTCGTTAACGATGCTTTCTCAGCACTCTCGTCGCTGCTGTTTCTCTCACATACTCGAAATATTCGAATTTTCAAGCCCTTGAAAGACAAACACAAACTTGATACTCGAGAATATTGAAGAATTATAATTTAATTTATGTTCGTTGCTGTCAGCAAAGCAGCTTGATTCGAGAGAAAATTGCTTTTGGCGTTCAATTAATTATTACCATCCTTCAAATGTGACAAACATATGTTGAAAGATCGTGAGCAAAGTCGGACGATGCTGAATTTAATTTTCCCCAAATATTTATTTACAAGTGAGAAGAGAAAAGCTTCAAGCTAACAAAAATGATTTTCTGCTTTCTTGCTAAACTTTTCAAAAAGTTACTTGTTTTATTTCTTTCTCTTAAACTTCAACAAGAAATCATCGTCGTATCTAAATTGCTTGTTCACTTTTAAACATGCTTAAAGCAATGTATATCACGTTTCATTTTTAAACTGCAACATAAACTTTTTGAAAGAATAAAATGAAAGGAAAAACGTCTTAAAAATAAAAATCTGAAGAATATAAAGAAGCACAACACTATTTATTGATTGCTGTCTGAGTTTCTAGACAAACTTTTTATTGCTTGCTTATCCAACAGACAGACGAACCCCAAAACAAATTTAACAAGGAAAAATATTCTTTGCATTGCATTCTTTTATGAAAAATTTTCATTTTTTCTTGCTTACCATAAATCTGATAGAGATTGGAAAGAAAACATGAATCTTAAAGGATAATTGCGCAAACATTAAAATCCGTTTCTGGAATTGTCAGAATTTATTTTTGTCGAGACCAGAAGCAAATTTCTTTCCATCTTTCTCTCTCTTACTCTTTTGTGACGGTGACAGAGTGAACGAGGGATTAATGTAATAATTTACTGAGCTCTAAAAGTGTTTTCGAACATTGCACAACACATTTGTGACCCTCGTAAAATAGGAAAAATATGCGCTCTATTCAGAAGAGAAAAGGCCAAATATTACGTAATTAATCGCAAGTTTTATGGCCCTGATCGTTACTACGTAAATGGTCATTCGTTTTGCTGTAATGCAAAGCGGGTTCGGTCAAAGTACAATTAAACAGAATCAATTTACGGGCATGCTTTTCATCCTTTCTTTATTTCTGTATGCTTAATTAACAGTCAAGTTAACAATTTCAAAGAGATTCTGTGTTAGCGAGATAGTAAGCAGACCCTCCAATCTCAATTAAATGTAAATTGCAGAACATCATAACTGGAAAGCAAGCAATTTAACTTTCGCCATAAGGGAATTAACGTGCTACACATCCAACGTAACATGATGGTAGATAAATGAATGACAACATGAAGAAAAATTATTGATTGGTATCGTGTGAAATGAAGAATCAAACACGTTAAAAAGTTTCCCATCGAAGGTTACGGGAAAGCGCTCGGAAAAAGGAAAATTCTGTATGAAGAGAGGATAAATTGTAACATATTGAATTCATTCAATCAATATACTGCTGATGCTACTATTGGTTGATGCTATAACAATTTTCACATGAATATCATTTTCCTTGTGATCCCTTAAAGACAACAAAGAACGAGGAATTTTTTTCCCAGGGATATTTACAGATAATCGAGAATTGGGCGGAAAAAGGTTATTTTCTTTCCTATTTCTTGACATGTGGAGAAAAAGTTTTTGTTTTTAAGTTTTTTTATTCTCTTCTGATTTTTCCATTGTTTTTGGATGCTTCCGCACATTAATCATAAGTTAAGGAAAAAGAGAAACAAAAGTTTCGCTTCCATCTTCTTGACAGTTTCATTTGTGCTTTGTGGCTTAGAAAATTTATTTTTTTCGTTCGTTCTCTTCCTAATAGCAGGGCTCAAAGTTAAAAAAAAAGTGAAACTTTGCAAAGCTCTTTCAGAACGAAAATCTTTTGTGTAAAAATGAAAATAAAAAATCCAAAAGTCACTGATTATGTTTGCTTATGTTGTGTACTCATCAACGTTAAACCAACAGATTTTTTATGACAACTTCTGTGAGTTCATCTCTGTGGCTTTTCGGTAAACACTGACACAAACTTACTGAAATTCACAACAATAAATTCCTGAACATGACAAAGTTCTCATCTAACAAACCATCAGCTTTTCACTTTGAGAAAATTCCGCTCATTTGTTATCACATTCTTCGTTCTTTTTTTATTTCTTGCTTTTGGAGGGATGACGAATAGAAAGCAATCAAGAATTAAGAACGAAAAGTTGATGACGGGAGACGTTGCAAGAGTGTAATGCGCTTGAATCTTGTCGTCTTAAACAATGAGAAACGACATTAATCAAAATGAAAGTGAGAGTTTTGATGTTGCACAAGAAATAACCGTTGGACAAGTCATAAAAGCAGATACAGAAGTGACTTGAAAAAGTCTAATAAAAATAAAACTCATGAATTTTTATTCACCATTTGCAAACATCAAACAGGAAAATGAAAATTGGAAGGAGAAAGCTTGATCATAAATCATCATTATTCCATGACAATAAAGTAAGGATTCTCGTTGTCGCAGTGTTTTTGACACGACAGATCCATAAAAAGGAAAAAAGTTTAACATAAAAACTGTTGGAAGCCGATAAATATCGGATTTCAACCCTCAGTTTGTATTGTGCCAGCTCACATTTCGATACGATGCGAGTTTTTAAAAATCCACCACTTCTCGGCTCGTTGTCAAATAATACGAACACCGTCGATGGCATTCCTTGAACACAAATGCATGCTTCATGTGCGGTCTTTACAGTGTCTCTCTCTCTTCTTTCCTTCAGCCACACTCCTGCCTGATAAAAGCGAACTCGAACTGCTATAAATAGTCTGGCTTTTTAAAACCTCATAAAATGAACATAAAAAAAATAAATCGATACAAAGACATCGAGGGCGAAGATCGATTTTCACATAAATGCGAATTGGTAATAGATTTTCATATTGAAACAATTGAATGAATGTTTTCGTCTATTATTTAGTTGACATCACACGATGTTCAAAACTATCAAAACATTTGTTTTCAATTTAAAATAAATTCGATTTTATCGTCAACAAAAGTAGTGGAAAAAGTTTCTTTTACTTTTATGTTTTCGTTTGTTTATGGAAAATGAATTAAATATAAAAAATGTTTCAATTTGTGAAATGTGGAAGTGTTGTAAATTTTGTTAAAAGCTGCCAGTTCATTGTTATCATTGTTGGAAGAGCTTCGAACTTTTCTAGTGGAAATTTAACGAGCAAACGACCCTTTAAAATAAAGTTTATTTGCAGTCCGCTTTAAAATATTTTCACAAAGCTTTCTCATCCATTAAATCGCTCTTGATTGAGTTGAGCATCATAATTCAATTAACTTGAAGCTTCATTGCAATATTTACTTGAACTAATGACTTTAAATGAGTGTCGAGGGAATTAAAAATGTAATTTTATTTCTTTTCTTTTTTATTAATTACAGAAACTATCGTTAACGAGCACCCTGTGACAATCTACCCAGGACCATTACCCCAGAAACGTGTTCCACCTCGTACGCTCCCTGGTTCAATAGAGCGACATCGCGAGGTTTGTCGAAAAAATCCATCATCTGACCACTCGTCGTCATCAACATCATCATCATCATCGCAGGAACTTAAGTCACCAATCAAAGAGCTTACCACACCACCAATCCAACCTAACAATGGATTTATATTGAAAAACGATGACTTTATAAAGCGACCAAAATCACCAATGTCAACAGCACATTCACCATCAAATGCTCCACCATTTGGAATTAAAATCAGCATTCAATCGATGGACAATCTCATGAATAACCGCAATATCATTCACAATGCTAAAATGGAACAGAAAATGAATATGAAGAATAGCAAGAGAAATAGTCGATTGAGTAATAATGAAGACGACGACGATGATAAATTTTCGGATGATTCTCTTGAGGATATTTCGTTGCCACCTCCAGCACCTCCACCTGTGATTCCACCACCGCCTTCGTTATCAGCTCCAGTTACGCCAAGTAAACGTCACAGCATCGCATGGGAAGTGAATCTTGATGATTTATGTTCAAGTGGTAATGGAATCAGCACGAAGGTAAGATAAAAACTTTTATCTCAGAAATCACATTGCTGGAATGAAAAACGAAATGGCGAGAAATGAGAATGAGAAAGGATTGAAGATCTTTTCAGTTTCGCTTCCTTTACTTCCTAACTTGATGCTGAATTTTGTTTATTGACACGAGGAACTTTTCTTACTTTTTCAATTTCGTGCCTGCCACAAATATTTCTGCGTTTAAATTATCCATCCAGAGTTGTTGCCTTGAAATTGACAAACAAATCTCATCCAACAAATGAAATTCACTTGAAAGTTAACAAATCTGTCATATAATCATAAAATATTCAAAGAAGCTTTTCGGTGAAAACTTTCGCTGCTATAAAACTTTCCAGAGACACTTTCATATCGCTGCAATCTGTTTTAAGCCTCGGTTTTCTCGTTCGCTTCAATGTTTACACCTGTCAGCTGAATTAAATATTAAAGAATTCCTAACGTTGCTTTTCCCCACAGCAAATATATGCTTCGCTTCGTGATTATCCTAATGCATAAATCTTGTCGCTTCGCAATGTCACAACATTATGGAAATAGTCGCGAAATTGAAATCACTTGCGGGCAAATGTTTTCAATGCGAAAATTATTTTTCTTCTCACTTCATTTTCAATTTCCACAAACATGAATATCCCCAATATGCTCATACTTAATGCTATAAAGTTAACATCTCATAAACATGCTTATAATTTGATATTTATATAAGTACGTGCGTCAGCTTTCTATTACGCGTTCTTTTCCCTCGAACGCTAACAGCAGAACCCTAAAATGGAATGAAGCGAAAAAGTCTTTCTTCTCTCATAATTCACAAAACAAACAATAATAATTGCCTTGAGTCGTTCGCGTATACATTTTTATATAAATATTATGTACACATACATTGCTGCCGTCATATTTAACCAACATCATCACCGCACATGATGCTACTGATAATGATGATGAATAAAATGTGTCTTGTGTAGAGTCTGGACGGGAAGAAGCAAAAAAATTCTGCCTGAAAGTGATTTACCTTAATACAAACAACTTTTCCCCTTTTTATTCTTGCCTTGTCTTGTTTCTTGTGGAAGTTGCAAAAATGAGAAACATAAATTAAACATTACTATCTCTTCGACGCCATTAAATATCATCACAACATTCTTCTAAAGAGAAACAATTTAAAGTTTGCTATTCGGGGTTTGTTGTTGCCGTTTTTGTATCATTTCCTGACTTTTTTTTTGTTCTTCTGTCCCTTCTTCCGTTGTTACAAATTTCTATTTAGAGAGAATTTTTTTTGTTCTTTCGGCGGTTGATGGCGCGATTGTAACAAATAAGAAGCTGCTGTTCATGCAAAACATTGCAACATAAGTAGCTACATGAATGAAAAAGGGAAAAGACAATAAACTCCTTTTATTTTTATCGTAAGATGCTGCAGGGAACGAACGAAATGAATTGAAACTCAATCGAGTTCAAACCATTAAATTCGTAAATCGTTATAAATCATCATTTGTTTCCCTCTTTTTTCCAATTCCATTGCAGACATGTGGAGCGATTCCATAAAGCATGAACATGGAAATTTGTTGCATATATTTATGTAGACATTTCTTAAAACGAAAATGGGAAAAAGAAAAAGTGTTTTAGTGATGTTTGCAAGCGTAGCAGATTTTCTGTTACTTATTGCTTGATTTATGAATTTTTCACATACCTAACTCGAAAATTCATTCGGCAACAAACGATAACGATTACATCACGAGAAAATTTTAAAATTGCTTTCGATTCATTTTATTTTATGCTGCGCAATGTTAACGCGGCTTTATTCTAAAATCGTCATGTTTGGATAAAGGAAACAATCAAAAATGGATTTACAATCTTTTGTGTTACTTCATGGAAGCTTATTTTGGGAGTCAATATGAGAGTTCCTTTCATTCCTTCACTTTATAAACCTTTTCGCTTCAACTAATATCAATGGAGATGTTGTTGTTGTTTTTATATTCTCGGTTTATGTTATTTTTCATAGTAAATTGAAACAAAAATTCCTCACAGTTATTCTTAGAAGAAATGGCTTCCAACGAAATCCTTTCAGTAGCAAGCGGAGCCCAACTTTACCGCAAAAGGCTAAATTGTTAGGTCGGCAAAATGAAATTCCGCTTTCAATCTAAAAGAATATTTTATTATTTTTTCATCCATTCTTCGCCTTTTTGAATGAGTCGAAAATGTATTCAACAACGAAAATTAAATAAGAGGAAAGGAAGAAAAAAAAGAAGTGAAAAGTTTTTTTAATTTTCCTGTGAGTGAAAATTCTCAAGCAATTTTACGCCTGAAATTTTGGGAAGTATCGAAGTTGAGTGGATAAAGAGGCAAAGTTTAAAGCTATGCATAGACACAGTAGAGTTAGGTTTAACGAGTTTCATGCTTCCGTTGGGGATTTGTGACACGATTCTTGATATTATTTACGATACAGAATTTTACTGAATTTAATGCTTTTTTATTGTCATTGCTTTTAAAAAAGCTTCCTGAGAAAGCTTTTGGTAAACAAACTTTTCATGTGAAAATTCTTCTTTCTTTATCGTCAAGGCTTGAACGCTTCTGAAGTTTTTGAAATGTTTAACAAGAAGTTTTATTTTCCATTTATTTTACACGATAAAAATGTCAGGAAATGAAATGAAGAGTTAAATATTCTTCATGTCAACTTTCAAAGAAACATTTTTATAAAATTATTAAAAGAATCTCTTGGGAAAGAAAGCCGTCATTCTCTCCTTGAGTTTAAAAAAATAGATGGACAGGAAGATAACATAAATCGAAATTGAAAAACTGTCTCGTTCATTCCTTTTCTGCTGAGAAAGCATTCTCATCTCTCTTAAACACGTCTGACACTCTTCAAAGTCAAAAGTGCTTTCGAAAAGTTTTAAAATTCAATAAATGTAAATTTATTTCTTTTCAGGTAATTGGACGTCGACAGCATGGAAAAATTGTCGCTGGATGTGAATCACAGTCGCAGTCAAGTATTTGTTCGACGCCAGGTCAAAGTTCAGCGAGTAACAAGATTTCAAGTGATTGGCCTGATCCACCTGACATCCCCATCTGCAGTACTGAAGATGAAGCAGCAAGCATATATTCTGATTCAGGTGAATATTTAATTCTTCTTATTAAATATGAAGATTTTAAATTCATTCGTTTTGCTGCAATGCAGATGACGTAGTTCCACCCGGAGTTGACATTTCAGACGGTCGAGGTACGTATGTAATAAAGAAAGGTCGAAGACGTCAACGAATCGACGACTTTGCTGGTTCAGCTTCAATGTCATCAATTAATTCGAAACTAAGCAATGAGGGATTGTGCAACGATAGTAATTCAGCTCTTAATGTGCCAAGTCCCGTGTATCCACCATCAATGATGATGCCAAATTCACGTCACAGCATTGACTTAGGTGGTTCGCCACGTCATCACAAGCATCAACATTCTTATCATCCACCAAATGTTGTTAATACACCAAGGTAAGAAAACAATCATCAAAATCATCATCATGATCATCATCATTTATGTTCATCCCCCGACAGATCACGTTTATCATTAGATTTAAGTTCACCAACTGTCACAAACACCGGCTCTTTTGACAAGGCCAAGACAAATACGCCAACGTCATCATCCACACCAACAGCAACCAAATCACCCTCAGTCACTAAACTTAATACACCCACATCACCTCTTGTGGCTAATTCTGCTCCATTTCCATCCAGATATACTGAATTTAAGACATACAGTTCAACATTCGATGGATTGCAAGCACTTGAGAGTCACAATGGAAGTGCAAATATCACTGTCAATGGAATAAGTGGCAATCGTGTAGCACCACAAGTTAGTTCATCACCAGATAATCCATTGATGCGAGTCTCATCATTGCCTGCTATTCCACCACAAAATCAGTTATCAGGTAATTATTTATGCAGCTTGCAGATCTCACTTGAGTTCTTCAAGTTGTCGTCATTATCTTCGACTAATTGAAACATCAGTTGATGGTTCTTCAAACAACTCTTTCAACTTGTCGTCGTTATCTTTCCGGAAACATAAATAATTTTAAACTTTTAAGGGCCACGGTATTATGTTGGAAAGGTTTTTGAATTCAACTCATTCCAATTTATGAAAAGTTTAACTCGAGAGACTTTTTGAGACAGTTTTGATGATGATTGATAAGAAGTTTAAGCAGAGTTACTAACCCCTTAAATCATCCACCCTCGCATAACAGGCACATCTTTAATGAATCCCCAAAACGATTTGAAACATGTTATACGAATGGAAAATGTGTCTAAACACGCAACCCTTGAGGCATTCAATCTTTGAATGCCGTGTTTCAACTATTTGAACGAACCTGAAAAGAACTTTTGAAGCTATTCTCTTATAAACAACATAATACAAGCGAAGAAAGCATAAAAATCATGACATTTCAAGCACTTTAATAAATTGCTTCATATCCATCGCTATTCGTTGCTGTAAAATTACTGTGGGTGACTCTGAAAGAATAAAAAGGGGAAACATTGACTTAATGATGCCGATGAAGATATTAAGACTTTCTTCCCTTATGTATCGTTTGTCTGGCTTCGTTTTTTTACAATTCCATGGTGACGTAATCGGCCAACGATCTTTCAACCAAAGGAAAAAAATTTGAAAGAAAAACTTAAATTATATGATGGAAAATGCGCTCACATTTGAAGATTTCCTCTCGACAATTGTTTCCTTTTATAGAATGAGAAGGGTTGAACTGAAGGGGCGTCAAGGGGAAAATTCGTTTCCTTTACTTGCTTTCTTTGGTCGTTCCATCTTGCGCTTTAATGGTGAAGAAATTTTCGTTTATAGCAAAGTTACTGTTTAACATGAGAGTTGATGATTTCTGTGAACATCAGCAATTTTTTTTTCTTTTTGACGATATTTCGAAAAGTGTTTGTAACATTCCGATGGTTTAGCTGATGCTTCACAAACCCTTTTTTCTCAATCATCAATTTTTCATTCCTTTCGATTTACATGAAAAGCTTTTCTTATTCATATTTGTTTCATCAATCAAATGCTTTACTACGGTGGATGATTTTTCTCATCATACGACTAAGTGTAAGAGTTTCTGTTTGCACCACAGATGAAATAGATTGCAAACAGAAAAGAGATAAAAAAAAGGTGGATCAGCACATTACGAGAAGCTTTCCTTCCTTCTTTCAAAAAAAAAGCTGTGAAAAAAATATAAGGAAGCAAAGTTAGTCGTGAGAAAAAACGAAGATTCTCCTGGGAAAGGTGCACAAGTGATTTGCTTGCTTGCTTTGCTGAATGAAGAGAAAGGGAAATGAAACGAGGGATTAAATTCTAATTTATTTTTTTAAACCATTTCCATGATATGTGTCTGTTAAGGGTGACTAGAAGATCTATAAAGGAATCTCTTTTAACGGTTTAAATTACTTCACAGTACACTTTTAATTAACTATTTTCCCTTAACACAATGCATGAAAATCATTTCTAAACTAACAATTTCTTTCAATTCATTTTAAGGCGAGTCGGCATCGACACCACGTCGAGAGTTGGCGCCACCAATCGAAGAAGATGAAGAAGACAGTGATGGAACAAGAGCTGCGCCATTAAGGCAAATTGAGAATAATATAAGTGCGTTGTTACGTGGGGAAATTCAAGTTGCTCAAGTCCCAGCGGCAAGGCCAACAAGACCGATGGGCTTTCGTCCTGGAGTTCATAAATCTGAAAGTGCCAAGGAGATGCTTTTATCGCAGCAATATTTCGGTCCATTGCCTGCATCGCCCCCATCATCAAGTCCTGAAATGGATAGTGATGAATTTCCACCATTGCCACCATCTCCATCACCAGAAGAGCCGATTTTATCACATGGAATTCAAAATATTGGAATTTCATCACGTGGCCGAATAAAGTCTGATCATAGTTATCGAAAAGAGCATCGAGCACCAGCAATACCGGCACATGCACCTTCTTTGAACACTCTTAAAACACGATCAATGGATGCTGGTTTTAGTAAATCTTATAGAAATGGTTCAGTGCCAGCTTCATCGCCAAGATCACCTGGTCGGACACTTCCACCAGATCTTCCATCAAGTACATCGTCAAGAAGACGTCTTATGAGTAGTGGATTCCCGAAAAGATCAGCTCAAAGTCCACGTGAAGAACGTCGCTTGCAAACATCATGCAGTTTACCAGAAACACCAATCTTTGCTCGAGGGTAAACGAAATAATTAAATAATCATTTTTCAACGTCATTCATTAACATTTCAATCTGTAAATTTGATATTTTAGATGTGATATACCTCGAACACCGCATCGTCGTGCCCCGGATCCACCTAACTCATGTGGTTCAAGAACGAATCCTCGTCAAAGTGGCTTGAACTCTTCATCAATCGTTGGAATTGGTGAGTAAATGTCAATTAAGTATTCTCGTTACGTTCACGTTACGGTTACGTAAATGTTAAACATTTTCAAATGTGTCACATTTGAAAATGACAACTTTTCGGTCTAAATATCTCCATACACCGTATTTGTATTTATGTTTGGCTCCAATCATTAATTTTTAATAAGCTTCTAAATGTCAAAAACAGAGACATGAACAAAAAACAGAAAAAGGTTGGGAGGTGTTACATCTTTATTGGTTGGGGACTAATTTTTAGGCTTCTTTTTTATCCTTCATGGTGCTTGGAGCTTCCCTTTTATTTTAAATTATAGATTGAGGGCTTTGGTTACTTTGCCTTACTTCTAAATCCTTAAAAAAATGCTTTCAGGCTGCACGACGATTGGAAGCAGCGCACGACATCGAAGTATAAATCATGCCTTACAGGCAAATGGAGAAATGTTGAGACTTTCAGGATTACCGGCACGTGGATGGTATCCTAAGCAACGTCACGCGAGGTCAACGGCATCGACTGAACATTTAGACCGGTTACATCAAGGATCAATGAGAGCATGGGATTCAAGTGCGTGTAGAAAGCCAACAACACTTCCACCTAATATGACACCGCCAAAGTTCTTTAATAAATCACCACGAGAAGCATTGCGTCGTGTCACAAGCTTATTAATTAACCGGAAAGGTATCACATTATCATGTTTGTACATTAATTGCATTTTATCATTTCACTTACTGAGCGTTAGTCGAGACACAATACATTAATAAGCGCCATCTATGAATGAGATGAGGAATGTTGACGAAAAACATTGAAAATTTATTTTGTGTAGTTTTTCCGTGGACTGGAAAACACGATTTCATGCAAACCAAGTTTTTGTTTTTTCCGTGCGTGAAAAATTCTCCGTGCGTGAAAAATCAGAGGGGCAAGCACTTGTTCAAAGCTTCTACGGAACACCGCAAAAGTTTAAAACAAGTTTTTTTTTGAGCATTAAAACATTTTGAATTCAAAATTCTTCTTGTTTGTAAATAACGTCACAAGTCTTTATTATACGAAAATTTGATGCCAATAATTGCTATTCTTAGCTGAATTCCTCAATCCAATTCATTTCAAGAGATATCAAAACGAACCGGAGATATATTCATCACTGACATTTCTCATTTTTCATATTTTAAATGCCTAATTTTCCGTGAAAAATCTTAATCCTTCCACACATTTCCATGAATGAAAGTATACATATTTCGATGAAGAATAATATGCATGGTATGAAAAGACAGAGGATGCCACATTTTAAACATATTGTTGAAACTCCCATGTGTGCTTTAATGTAAACAACAACCATGTAGAAAAAAGCAGATAAATGACACAAACATAACAAAGCAGAAGAAATTTCGGCTCAACCGCACTGAAACAAAAGAACTAATGAAGTTTTAGATGAGCCATGATAAATCACTTACATGTTTTGCACGAGCTTACAGATGTGTTGTAAGAAGCTGACGGGTTTTAAAGCTAGTTGCACATAAAAACATGACGTCATGCTCAACAGCCTTTTTCCTATCAATTCTTTATCACGCCCGGTTTGTTATGTCATTCTCTGTGTTTAAACATTGAATTCAGACTTCTTTTTATCGAAGCAAGAGTCGAGAATTTCCGTTGTTGGAGATGACAAGCTGCGTCTACATGTGACCCTGAATTTAGTCTTTTCATTTATTAAAATTCAACATTGCTAGTTTAAGCGTTGTGCAAATACCGAATTAAGAAGACATTGGTTGGTAATTTTTGCATAAATATAAAAAAATAACCAGTTGGATTTGACAAATGTTCATCAAGGGGTTAAATGTAAATGAAGAACTTCGACCGTCTCATCATCAGTTGATGCGGGTAAAACGTAACAAATATTTCCGTCCATAATTCACTGTTAGGGTTGCATGAACTCTTTAATACTTTAAATGAAAATAAAATTCGCGAATAATTCTTTTTATATGTAGTATTTCCAATAAAAACAATTTATCTAATCAGAAAAGAAAATTTTGGGAACAGTCGCAACTTCAAACTTACTGAAGAAATATTTTTTGATAAGAAATAAGAAAATCAGAATGAGTCGCATTCGATCGAATAAAATTATCTTCGTACACCAATATTAAGATTCGTCGAAGTCTTCGTCATAAGAATATCAAATTAAAAGTGTGTTGGTCGAATCTGATGGTTTCTTTCATTGCGCAAACGGAAAAAGACAAGAAAGAAAGAGTGAAGAAAAAAAATCATATAAAATTGTTTTGGAGTTGAAAATTTCGCGATGTGAATATTGAATAAAAATTGCGATTCTCTTTGAATTAAATTCAGCAAAGAATTCTTAATGAAAAAAGATTTTATCAATTAATTAGTTGAAGTTTCATACACGAAAATATTTTTCTTGTTCATTAAGAATTCTTTGGCTAAAGACTTTTTGATGATGTTCGAGTGTGACTGAGAATGATGATCAGCATAAAATAATCGACTTAAAATTAACACAAATTACTGCCCAATGCATGATACCTAACTCGACAGAAATTAATTACACAATTGTTTCCTTTCCTTTCTTTCGATTATCAAATGATTACGTAATGAACATTGACGAATATCAATCAATTAATATTATAATCTTTCAACAGGAAATTCAACTCCGAAAGAAAAGGAAAGCAACAAACGCGAGAAGCTTAAAGAGCGGGACACTGACAATGTTTTTGTTCAGCCAACAACGGCAGTTCAACGTTCGCCGCGATCACTTGGTGAGTTTAAAACATTTTCTCATTTCCTTTCCAACTTAAGCTTTGTATTTACGTAATGAACGAAAGAGACAGAAAACACGAGGAAAATTTATCAATCGACTGAAAATAGCTTTTGGAACAGAAAAAAAGGGAAAAAAATCCATTCGAGAGTAAACGAAATAAAATTTTCCGACCGTCCTTTGAGAGTTTTCTTATGTTGGAAGAATTCAACAGTGACATCGCAACTTAGTGCCTTAAATAAACTTTACCCTCTCATAAATTCATCACTGTTGAAACGAAAATCATGATTTATGGCTGTGTTGAACAGAAAAACAATTTTCTATGATTATTTTTTATTCATTTCCCTCACAAACGTGCGTTCATGTCCGCAATGAAGATGAGAATTCATATGAAAATCGGACTGTGTTGCTGATACGGTTTGTTGAATTTCCTTCAGTTACATCTGAGATTTTCCTGGCTTTACTTTGTATATTTTTATGTGAATTTTTATAGAAATGACACCATCAAGGAAAAGTTCGCAAATCTCTTTTTTTATTCCCTTAACTTGTATCTAATACGACATTGATGCAATCTCAGCTTCTTTCTTCGTCTCTGAATCTCAGTGACAAAGGTCGTTGGCCATTTTCCATATTTTCCATTCAACGCACATGTTCAAAAATGGAATCACAAAAGCAATGATGATGATGATGATGATGATTATCCACAATTCTCATACTCATCGTCTAATCGCATTATATACGACAATGAATTTTCCATCATCACTAAAGTAACAACAGTTTCAATCGAGAGGAAACAAAAAATTCGCATTTGCCGACAAAGATTTGCAATTTGTTTACCCTCAATGAACTCAAATTTCTCATTGCATTGTTGAATGTAATTGAAGTGTTGGGGGGTTGTGTAATGTAATCATTTTATTACATTATTTCCTGATAGATGAATAATAGTTTTCTTCCCTTCTTCTCGGTGATCCATGGGAAAATTTTCTCTCTTTTTTATGACTAGATAAATTATCGATAATTCAGTTCATGCGGAATGTGAAGAAATTGAGTGTAAACCTCCCCAATGATTCATTTGTTTTGGTTTCTATCGCAAAAAAATCTTTCTTTGTGAATATTTTCACGTTCAAATTTCTTTTGAATTTAATAAAATTTTTCTTTGAATTCCTTCAACGCCCTTTTAAGACGAGAAAAACAAAATTATTTTTAATTGAAAGTGAATTTTAAGAAGAAAATCTCCAAGGAAATATTTCAAAAGCACTAGAATTATTTCTCGCTTGTGTTATCGATTTTTTTCTTCCTGACAAGCACATCAGCAGCATCAACAGCAGAGAAAAAAATGTTGCAGGGTGGATTAATCCAAACATGGAGTTGGAAAGTGAGAGAGAAATATTTTGTTATGTTTCTGATTTAATCTTTTTGCATAATTATACAAAAACAAAATGCCACAGATGCAAATCTTAATTTTTTATCTCTAATGTAATTTTATGTTTGCAAAGTCGAATCAAATTCAGTTTCCTTCATCTTGTTTCTCTCTCACTCTCTAAGTATGCTTTATGCTATGTGTTTAATGAACTTTTACTCGACGCCACCACCCCCACGATAATTTCTCCAAATCATTTTACGCTCACAATGATGAGAGAGGAAAGAAAACAATGATGAAAGTCATTTTTCACTTTTGTTAGTGATTGTATGATAGAATGAAGCTCGAACTGAATATCACGAGAGGGTGCGTGCTGTGAAGTAACAGCAAAAAAAAAAGAGAGAAGAAGATGAAAACGTGCTTTGGGTTTTCAAAGTTTGAAGAGAGAATTTTATTTTTCACTTGACTCATTCCCCAGGCAACTCCCTGAGTTGAGTTCAATGAATTTTCCATCTTGACTAAAGCAACAACAAGACAAAAAGTCAAAGCAATGAGGGATTTTGTGCTCTTTTTAAAATGTGCTTTGAAGCATCATAAAAATACCCGAAAAGCTTCGTCCTTAAGCATCGAGTGAAGCAGAAATATCACAAACAAGCTCAAAAATTTATTTATGTCACTTTGAGATAGGTTGGATACTTGAAAAGGTTTCCACAGCTTTATGTTAACATTTGAGTGATTAAAATGTTTTTCCTTATTAATGTGACACTTTAAAGAATAAAATTTAGCACATCAATTGTTAATAGCGAACGAAATTGCTTCAAGTTGACTTCCGATTGTTTTAAATTGGAAATCTTAACTCACGTTTGAACTCTTCTTTTGAACCTTTTTCTGAGTTTCTTCCATCTTTTTGAAATCTCTATAAATATCGACAATGATATGACAACATCCTTTTTTATCTCATAAAAGTGAAAAAGAAACTTGAGCGGAAAACATTCAGAGGAAATTTTCATTCTTAAACATGATAAAAGTTTTCCATTCTACTTCAACAACAAAGTGATTCATCTTTCTACGATAATTTTATTGATTGTTCAATGACATCATTTAATAAGCTGGCAACATTTTGGTTGTTGTCAACACTTGATGGATAAATAAAACTTTCTTGTCATGGGACTTTCTGAAGATGTTTCGAAATTTTTGATACTTTTCGTAGACGGTTTTTAATATTTCCTTCAATTTCTAGACTCAACGTTAAGTGGATACTTAAGAGCATCTTAAAAAGGAGATAAGCGATGAGTCCTTGGAGTAATTCCATTTTATTAGTTCATTGCACCGTTTAAACAACCTTGTAGAAAGCCAGACAGTTTGCCCATGAATTTCGTTCTTTCTTTTCTTTGTCTGTTTAACATTGTGGGTGGAAAATGGGAAAGAATATGAAAAGAAACTTTTTGTATTTCCTTTTCTTTCCTTTTTTGAATGACTCACTAAATGAAATCGTTGCATTTTCAATTTAGCCAATTAAATTTCTCCAATTCATCCAATTTTCCTTGTCATGTAACGAGCGTTTGTTTGTGGGGCACAAAACGACAAATCGATAAAATTTTGCGCTCTCTATTCATACACGCAGGATTCTTTTCCATATTCACCCACACAAATGTTCATCGACGAACACAATTGTGAGAAAAGTGGGAATAAAAACTTCAAACACAGTCGCCGGAAGGGAGAAAAATCTTTTCAGTATCATGAAAAGTGGAAAATGTTTTTCTTCTTTCGTTGGTAAACTGCAAAAGGTTCAACATGATTTGTATTGAAATCATTTCTCATTTTTTCACGATTTTGATGAAAGATTTTGTGTTGAATAATTCAAGATTGTTTAGTGACACTTTAGGGCTAATGTCAAGTATTTTTAACGAAATAATTTATCACATCTTTTTTTCTGGCAATCCCACAACTTCCTTAAAAGAGAATATTTGCATATTTTTATGATTACTAAATGAACTGATAAAATTACCATTCAAACCCTTTTCTCCCTCTCAGAAAAGTTAAGCTTATGAATCATTATATGAACAACATTCACCCCCAACAAGTTATTTGCCCGTGTTTCAGATAAAAGCAATTGCAATTACATTTTTCCTTTCAGTCATGAAAAACCGCCACGTTGAGTGCGATTTTTATTGAATTTCTTCATCAAAAAAAATGCTTTTTATGTTGCAAAATGTTGGGCGTATTTTGACAAGGAAAATTTATGAGAAAACGTGAATTGGAGCTGGAACGCAAAGTGAAACACCGGAAATGATTCATTTTCATTAGAAGTAATTTCGTTATGAGAAACTTGACTTGTTTTTGGGGTAGAAAAGTTATGTTTCAACATAAAAGTTTCCATCAAGCGTGAATAGATATTTATGTAAATATAATCTACGTACAAAGAATAGAAGATGTTACAAAATGGACGAATCATCATCATTGTTTGCAGAATGGTTGAAGCCTGCACCGTTTATATTCCTTTCCAAACATTTATTTGAATTGTTATGCACAGATGGAGATGACGAAAGCGAAAAAGTGAAGAGAATTCGCTTAAAGTAAGAAATTGAATCAAAATAGTTATTTTTGGAAGAATGAAAGTCATTGTGTGTGGGAAAAGTTGAAATTAGTTGGCGATATGTGAAAGAACGAAGATTAGTTTCTGAAACTTCTCTTCATTCACTATCAGACGAGAACTTTGGCAGCACAAAAACCTTCAACAAATCTCTAATGCCACTCAACCAATCGACATGTAATCTTCACTTTCACGCACTTCATCATAAAGCAGCATGTTAAAATAATTAACAGTTAGCTCATGTGAAATGTAGTACAAAGTGATGATCATTTAATCGCTTTCTGGTTCTAAAGTCCACTCATTCAAAAGCTTTTTTTATGAGCCGTGGAAGACTTTTATTTTATATTCATCTGAGAAACTAAATACACAGATTCGCACTGTTTCTCAAGTGCGTGTTGAGTTTTCAATTGAAAACATTTCTTCAAACTTCTTTGAACTTAATGTTGAAAGTTTATACTCTGAAAGTACTTGACATTGATCTTTTTAAATTGTTTTTGTCTCAACAATTTCATTCATTTGTTGTTGGATGTTTATTTTATCGTAACATCATGTAAGCTTATTTAACAATGAATATCCGAACGTAGAAAGATGAAATTAAACTCGTGTTCATAAGACTGTGAAATTTATTCACTAAAAAAGAGTTTTTTGGGTCTTTCCATCACCAGTTTTAAACGTTCATAGAAATGTTTGAGCAGAAGTACGCTTCAATTTCTACGATTGTTCGTTTCGATGGTTAATCACCCTTGAATCGTACACGAGCTTGTTATGACTGACTTATATTTAATTAAAATACATTTCATGACGCTCATCGTTCACCAAGCTTTTTTATTTTTACCAACTTTTTCATATTAACGCTCATTTTAATTGTTATGCCTTCGGTGGACTTTATGGCGTTAACATTTTTATACGCATCAAATAGAAAGCAAATTTCACGTTATTTAATGTGTTTTGATGTTTTCATTTTCTTCTCGACGCTTTTCTGTTGCATTTCTTTGTTTGCTTTGAGTGAGTAAAGTAATTTATTCAAAACCCGCAATTGCCTTTCAATTCATGCAGAAAGTGAAAATGATCTTTTATTATTATTATTCAAAAATGGAATTGTTGATACGAGAGACGATGAAAACTTCAATTTAAAAAACAATTTTTTACAGCATCTCAAGTTGATGTTTTTAATGTTGTCGGGGCAATTTATTGTTCAGTTTTGCTGATCCCTTTCGGATGAAAAACCCCATTTAAGCCCTTGCTGAAACAACATGAGACTGGAAGGAAAATTATAAATTCTAGTCAAGAAATATTTCACGGAAAAGTCGAATAAAGACATTAAAAGTTGGTCGGAAAATCCCTTTGCGGAGGCGGAAGTTAAATTTGGTATTTAGGTCAAATGTTCTGTCTTATTTTTGATTTCAATTTCTGAATGAATGGCCGTTTAAATTGCTTTTGCCCACTTCTGGGTTCGAAATTGTCACGAATTTTTATTTCTATGACATATTTTCATCCAAAAGAAGAATTAAATTAGAAGAACATCCGATATCGTTTTTTTTTAATCCTATCGTCGTCTATCGACAAAATAAATCCATCGGTCAGTTTCATTTGTCACGTTCTGGAAATGAAATTTTTGTGATGATTCTAATATTGATTTACGATAAACAATTCAAGTTCTAAAAAGCAGATTAGTTTTGACAGAGAAAGCTTAACGACGGTTATTAATCATGATTATTCTTTCTTCTTTTATTTTCAGGAGACATTGAGCCACCCCCACAACAGAAGAAAAAAGGATTCTTCAAGAGCTTCTGGAAGAAATCACGCCATTATTCATTAGAACAAAACTAAGAAACGACAGGCTATGGCGGAAGCAGGAAAGCTTTTCTCGGTGTTTGTCTTCCGTAAAACTCCGATGAAAAAGCTTAAAAAAATTTAATTAGAGTAGAACGAAAGAAAAGTTTCTGTTTTTGTTCTTTTCGTAGGCTGTTGATGTAAATTTTAGTTGAATGTGTTTAAAAATGAATCAGAAAAATTTCTATAAAGCAGTGAGGGAAATCAAATAATGATTTGAATTTAATGCTGATGACGAATATTCTGATTCACAATATTTTCTTTTTCTTGATATTTTATTTTTTTGCCATGAGATTGAATCTTGACTTGCAAAAATATTCAACGACAATTGCGCCTGATTTCGGGCCTAAGACGATGATAAAGAAAATGTTTTATTTAATCAATTGTTTTTACCTACCGTGACTGGGAATCTTTTGTAAATAATCTCAATGATGATAATATTTCCACTGTACTCCTAACTAATCATAAAAATATTTATTATCGATTCAAGGAAGTTTACTTTTCTTATTGAATGAATCATTTAATTTTTTTATTATTTTTTGACTTAACAAGCATAACATGAATGCTTAATAAATTTATTCAGAAAGTTTACTGATTATTCATTAACATTAATTGAAAGAAAAACTTTTTTTTCTAATGAGAAATGAAAAACAAAAATCTTCAAAAAAATAAAATAAATTTAGAAAAGAATATTTCAAGTGAGACTTATCCAGTTCAGTATTAGAATTTCTACTCTAAAAAGCAGCAGGTTGGTCTTGCCCAGTAATTTACACATTTAATTAATGATCTTGTTCACCTCAACCCTCCCAAAATTCACACATCACCTCATTCACAATTCATCTCGAATCAATTTAATTAAATTGCTTTCGAGAAGCAAACACGAAACGATAAATAATAAAAGTATATTGCAAATCACCATGTTTGTTGCACAATCTCAAACACAAATTAATAGTTGAAGCGAGAAATATTCATGCGACATTGAAAGCTAATTACTTTTTCAATTGTAAAAAATATTTCTCGCCCGTCCAAATGTTGCGACATCAACTCCTAATAAAGTCACATAGAAAACAGAAATAAAAGTTCATTTCGATATCAGTCAGCAATGAAAATCTATTGAAGGCACAAACAAAGAATAACAACAACTTTTATCACCAATTAGACTAGACAACTTTTTAAAAATAGGAATCAACGGGCTTAATTAGACTTTAAATCACATACAAGGCAACATACATGCATAAGTAAATAATTTTCCTCCAGATTACTTGAAACAATGGCAAATGGTTCTATATTGTAATACGAAACTAACATGAAATTTAAATCCACATACAGCAATTAACGATATGCTTTTTGATACCAAAATCCAATAAATAAAATCTTGAAAACATGAAAAACGATCTAGTTAAGGCTAATAGGCAAAGTAACTAATCCTGATAAACATTTTCTACCCAAAACAAAAAAAAAAGTTTTTCCTTCTTCTTAAATATCTTTCGATCATCAATCATTCGATTTATCTAAATAGAGAACGAAACATTTGAATCTTCAGTCGAGAAAAAAGGGAGAGAAAGTTTTTAGTGAATCTTTATAAGAATATCTAAATATTTTATAACTATCAGCAACTTTCTTTAGATTAACCACAAATATTTACAAATAGATTGAGTTCATAAGAAATAGATACGAGGGATTTATTTAATCGAAAACCTTAGTTAACAGATTTTCCATTGATGTCTGCTGATACGAACGTAGTCTTAGAAACTCCCCTTTGTTGAATAAAGAATATCGAAAGAGACATTCAACAGATTGTAATCGAAGTCGATTTCTATTTCCCTTCAATTAACGTTATGTTTTGTTCTACTATGACATTCACTAATAACAACCCTGAAAAGATTTGATATTTGTATAGAAATGGACAAAAGGAAAAACTAATAAATGAAAAATGGTATAAAAAATAAAGGGAAAATAAGAATTTGATGAAAGTGAAAGTTTTCTTTGTTGAGTTTTTTATTAACATTGAATTTCAGGTGTTCTTCAAATCGACATCGCTAAATCATCCAAAAGAATCTTTAATAAAACCAAAAAGTTTTTCCTTCTTTATCATGTAAAGTTTTTCATTTTATTTCTTGTTTCTTTTTATTTTCCTTCGCCTTTATCAATTCATCGGATAGCAAATGTTTATGTTTCTTTCCAAAATGATCATCATCGGAGAAAGTTTTCGTGATTTAAGATGAAGACTAATCACAGTGATTTTCTTCCGGTAATATTTTCCATGCAAAACAATTAAAAAGTTTTTAAATGAAACCTCACAGTTTGTTTACTTTATTTCTTCATTTTCCTTTCCTTAATGTTGCGATAAAAAATTGAAAAGAGTTTATTAACTTTACATCTCATCATTCTCTTACGAAAATTAATTAAGGAAATTTTGTATCTTACTTAGCGGATTCTTCTTCTTCTTCGGAATTCATAATTTCATCCCAAGATAAATCATTACAAAATTTAGCATTTTTTTACTCAAAAATCCATCAAAAGCTTTATTTTAATATAAATTGCCAGCTTCATTTCTTGTTTATAATAATTAATTTTAGTTTAGTTCGTTAAGAAAGTTTTATCGTCATAGGAAATAATCACGAAAGTGTAATCAAGAAGTGAATTCAATGAGAGAAATTAAAGAATGACATTGATAGGAAAAGTTTTAAATATTATTTTCAAATCGAATAGATATTTCAATGATGTCACAACTACTTAAATATTTCACTTCCATTTAAATCACTCAATGCTTATCTATGTTGGCATTCATAAAAAACTTCTTAAACGTCAATCAATGATCTCAAATGCTTGCTTTCAATTCTAATATTCAATTATTTTTTTTTAATCTTTCACTGCTTCATGTTATAAAAAATTACAATATACAACATTTTATGCTTTTATTTTCCTTAGTTATGTTTGTTGTCCAATGATGTAAAAGAAAATTAGGAGAAATCTTACATAAAAAGTGTCTCATTACCTGAATTCATCTTTTATATTTATTGATTAGTAAATTTATGCAGTCAGCGTTGTGGAGAGTGAAAGGAGATGTTGACAGTGTCAGACGAATGACGAAACATTCAGTAATTGATAAGAAGCTTAAAAAATTCCTGAAATTTATTTTCCTTTAATTTCGATGATGATTTTTCTCCTTAAATTTTAATTTTTTTATTGTTAATTTTATTGGTGAAGTTTTACAAACGCTGCACGCGAAAAAAAAGAGATTTTTCTAAGAAGAAGACGATGAATGACCCTTGATATTGATGAGAACATGAATTAATGTTGTTATGTTGATGTAGGGAAGAGAAAGCAATTAAATATTTACGGGGATTAAGCCTGAAATAAGAAAAAGAGAAAATTTTTCATGACTCATTCTGTTAATCATCGGAAAAACTACAATTTTTCCTTAGAAATTTAAAAAGACATCAGCGAGAAAGTTTTGTTAGGAATTGGCACGAAATTCAAGGAAAAATCCAATTATAAGAAGTGAGTCACTAAAAGGTGATGAATGAAATAGAATTGGGACGCACCTTCAAAGCGAACAGCATGTCTAGTTAATTAAACAACTGTGACGACCTTCATTAGAAATTTTTTCAATTTGACCCCGGTTTATCGCCCTATTAATTAATTAATCAAATTAAATCTATGCTTAGCTCTGCTGACAGTGACCTCTCCGTTTTTTGATCTATTTTTACATTCATTAAAACTGAAAGTTATGAACTACGATAATTATCGTTTACAACTTAATTTTGTTCAGACAGCAATCACAATGAAGGTCAACTGCGCTCGGATATCGCGTGCTTGTTTAGTAGTTGAGGAAGTTATTAAATGTCGACTGGTATGGTTCATCGTACTCTCGTCGAGACGAACAAACAAACACAAAATATAAATAAATGATAACAACCTAAATTTGAGGAACATAAAAATATTCATAATCATAATGTAAAAATGCATCTCGCAGTCTTCTCCAGCATTTCTTTCATCCGGCACGTGGCTTGTTATCTTATCAGTGAAAGAATGAAATACAAATATCAAGGGAAACAGAAAACCAGCAACTTTTGCTGGAAAGAGCCTCATGAATAAAAAATAAGATAAGCAGAAACAGAAACCAACCAAATTATTCATGACCTGAAATAAAAAAAGAATAAAATTCAAAATAATGTGTGCAACTCAAAACAATTTTGACACACGATGAGACCATCGCAAATTTTTAAGTTTTCTTGTTTATATTTACTTAGAAAAACCTTTTATTTCTCACATTTTATTTTTCTTATGCAAAATCAAATGTTTTCTTTCAATTGCTAATCGATTTTTCATGAATATTTAAAAGAAAAAAGATCCATCAGCGAAATGGATCCAAAAAATAAACAAAAGTTTGACAAAAAGGGGGAAAAACAAATTAAACGAGTCTCGTTTTCTATTCAACTTAATTGTAATTAAAATGCGCGCAAGGGATGAATTTTATTTAAAAAATTTATGAAATATTTCACCAGATATTCAAAAATATGTTCAAAGCTCCAAAAAGTGTTGTAGAAATAAATTAATAAAAGAAAAAAGTGCGTGGGTGTGTTTTGTGTTTAAACTTTTCAATTCTTTCCTTTCACTTTTATTGTAATTAATTTTTTTAAATCATTTATATGTATAAAGAATCTAAAGAAAAATGAAGAATTTAAATACTATAATAATTTCTTTCTTCAATTACTTATTATGAAAGCAAGAAATTGAGGGTGGAAATGAAATTTTCCTATCTTCCTTCTGTAACTTTTACAAAGTTCTTTTCTTTATTGAATGATAAATATCAATTCATCAGTTGAGTGCTGACAATTATGATAATTAATCAAAAAATAAGCACATCTAACGATTGATGTTCGTCACAACAAGTTGAGAACAAAATTAATTTTCATTGACGGTCACTTTAAAGTTCCCGCTGAATAAAACTTACACCAAAAAGAAATTATAAAATTATAATAAGAAAAATTATAATGAAATCGCGGGATTTTTAATTTCTTTTTTATTCTTATTCAAGTCACTTTTATCTTTGTCCCAACCCCGCAGCAAGATTAGAGAGAAACATTTGTTTTTCCTTTTTATATAATTTCCAAAAATGTACAAATAAAAAAAATGAAATTAATTCAAATTTTGATGCTAAAAAATCATGATTAAATTTAGATGTAGATGTGTGCTTGTTGGTTTTTTGTGTGTGTGTAAAGATGTTCGAAGCGCAGTGGATGAGTGTTGAGTCGAAAGATATCCAATGTTTCTCTGCATCACATGATGGCGATAAGTAAAACTCTTATCAAACAAAAGAGAGAAACTTCTAAAGATGCGTGGGCGGATGAATAATTTTTTGCTTTTCTTTTAAATCTTGTAAAAATTTCTTTTTTATGTTTGTTTTCTTGCAATTCTTCTGATTTGGAAACGGGATGGGGGGGGAGTGCGCGCGCTTACGCCTTACCTCTAATAACCACATGTAATCAAATAGTCTCCAAGTTTCTCAACTATGGAAGCAGCTTGTTGAGGTTGAACGGGTTCTTCGTAGATTGCGACAATGACAGCTGATTAAAAAAAGACAAAAATAAATTTCAAGTAAGAAATTGATAAGAAGATGTCAGAAAAAAATTTAATCTTACCCTGTTGCGTCTTCATACAATGAACACCAACTTTGCCTAACTTCGCACGAACAACGCGATCTGTTCCAGAGAGGTAAATGTACCGTTGGCCAGCGAGGGTCACACCGCCTGATGTAAGAATCTCTTGTTTCTCGAATCCTTGTACTAATTTGGCAAGTTCTTCTTTTGAAACCTAAATATGTGAAAAGAAAATATGAAATTAATGAGAAACCTTGATATGAAACCTTGCGAGTTTTTTTTAAGTGTGACTCAAAGTCGATTACGATGACTCATCGGCGATGAAAGAAATAAAAAAAAATATTCCATTGAACATGCAGTCGTCATCGCTATTTTTAATATTTGCAATCAACATTTGAACTTCACAGAATGCATTCAATCATGAGAACATTTTAATTTGTCATAATCAAATGTTTTACCACAAATTGATCAATTCAATGAATGTAAACAATTGAAAAACGATAGCAAACAAATCCCTTTTGACTGATGCGCTAACATACATTGTCGACGACGACGATGTTAAAAGTAGAAGCAATTTTCTCCACGATTACACAAATCCCAAACATTCCACATGTCAATGTGCGCGGCAGGATAAAAATAGAACCAACAACGTGATCGCGATGTGTGAAAATTAAGTGTGAAAAACATTTTCGTTTCATTGAGCATCGTTAAGGAAAATTCTTTAAACTGCACACGGTTCCTTTTCATGTGAAACATAAATTAGAAGCTAAACGAAAGATTGCGCAAGTGATTACTTATATCTCTCTCATTGTATCCAACAGTGACATCCAAATATTCTGAATGTGAATTTCATCGCTCCCAGTTGGGAGCCGAGATCGCGAGAAGAAATGAGATGAAAACGATAAAAAACTTTTCTTTTTATTTCGGCATAAAAGATTAATTTGCATTAGCAGTGAGAGATGGAAAGAATATCCGATGAATTATTCCCAGTGTGGCACAAATTATCGTGTTGTTTAAGCGTTTGATATATGGAGCATATGTCTCGGGGTTTGAAAATGGAATATGAGTAATTTATTATTAAAAAAAATTTATGGTCAGTAAGTTGAAGAAGCGAAAGAAATCATCTGCAAATGGAAAGCGTTTCTTGGTTAATTGAATCCACCGACTCGTGACGACTTTCAATCATTGCTGAAGTTTATGTGCTTTCAACTCTTTCGCGTAAACAGACATAAAAAAAACTAATTTTCTTCTATCATAATTCCCCATGAATTCTACTGACGACTACGATAAAAATCTTAAATGTTCAAGAAAATTATTTTCTAATGCTTCAATTTCTCTTAAAACTTGTTCTGACTTTGAAAATTGCCTTCACTTTTCTGGAGCAAACGAGTAGAAAGAAAGAGTTACAATTTCTACTTTTTTTTTAACTAACGGCACAAATATGTAGAAAAATTGCGAAGTATCAAGTCGCCAATTGTTTAGCTTTAAAGAAAGCGAAGTGAGTTGGAAACAAAACAAATGCAATTTCAATTCCACAATCTTATCGCAGACATGTCGAGTCGACTTACCAAAAAAAAAAAACACGACAGAAAAATAAATTTTACAGCCGATAACTCTTTCATCAAATGCCTTTACGATTGTGTGTGAACATATGAAAGTAACGAGCCATATGGCGTCCAGAAGTTATTTAGTAGAAATTCAAATACAACATGAAACTAAATTAATTCGTTTGCGTCTCGAAGCAAAGCGAAACTAAAAGTTTGGTGGAGAATCGTGGAGGCAGTTAAACTGGCAGAGAATTAATTTCGTAATAATTGAGTGAAACTCGCACGACGACGTAGATATGTATTTAGATTGATCAGAACTCCCCAACAACAACTCTTTCAATAATCATCGTCACAATTTAAGTGAGTACTTTTTACATTTCAGTTCCAGTTCATTGAACTTTCGAGTCGACGACAAGCAACAAAAAAAAAATGAAAAAGCTTATTCATTAATCAAATTATTTTACGAGTTGAGTGGAACGGCTGTGAATTGTGTGATCCAGTCCACGATTAAGTATTTCAATTGACATCTACGAGCCGTGAAGTTGTACAGTGTTGCCGGCTTTAATAAGAAGGTTGTTAGTTAATTGAAGTGCATGCTGGCCTTGACATTCTCTCCATTCTCTTTTTATCGAAGATGGTATGGCAACATCGTGAACAAAAAGAAACTCATGGACGAGAGACAGATTATCATCCAAAGACGAGATGAATTATTAACTTAAAAACAAATAAGGAGAAGTGCATTCAAGGCCAGAAGCATATTTATTTATCGACATTTAAATGTTTCTTTCATGTTTTCTTAGAGATCTAACAGAATGAAACGTCACGACATGGGAAATTGTCACAAGAGCAGACAACAAGACAAGCTTAATCAGCACTTTTAAAAATACATTTTTCCCTTGAAACTCGACACTTGACATAAACAACATTCAAACAAGAGTTAAAGTTGAAGTGGAAATGAAAGCGAACCCTCGAAAATTCTTCTTTTTTATGACATCATTTAACATCAAAATTGAAATAAAAAATATTATTTATTGACCTCAATTCACTTTACTCAGCCCGGCTGATAATCCCACGAATTTTGTTTGTGCAACAATGAATAAAAACATTGCAATATAAAATTTATTTATGGGTTAAAACTTTCTCGTAATTATTTTTTTATAATTTTCCATTTTCCTTCATTTTCACACATATCGAAGTTTTCATTTCTTTCTCACTGATTTTTCTTTCACTTTCGAACTTTGAGAGCGGCTTTATTTTGTGTAATGTTACACCGTATGTAAATGAAAGGTAGGAATTTTTATAGGTCGTTTAATTCATGCGTGAATGAACGGATAAGCGCCACTGATTCGAAGGTAAAAGGGACACAAAGTAAAAGAGAGAAGATTCGAATTTAATGACACAAAAAAAGATGAAGATATGTTGTGAAATCGTGAGATGAATGGAGCTATCAGGATGTAAAGATTGAAGAATCATCATTCGATGAGCACATGAATATTTCAACGATGACTCATCATCGTGTGCTGAAAATACTTTTATTCATCACGCTACAAGCTTGGAGTAAGTTCGAGAAGCATCGCGTGATCAAGGAAATCCCTTCGTTAGTTAATGCAGAGGTGAAAAATTATGTTCTGCAGTAAAATTTTGAAGGTAATTTAATGTCACAACCAGAAGGTGATTCTACCGGTTTTCCTGCTTTAAAAAACTTTGATTTAGTTTTATAAAGAAAAAATGAGAATATTTTCGGTGATTTCATAAAATGGAACTTTACAATGATCCGAATAGGAAAAGAAGAAAAAAAAGAGAAGGAATCGGTGTCTTGAAATGTCTTTCTTGTCTGCACATGTGTGTAGGTTTTCTTTGCTTTTCTGTTGGATGCAATCCAGATTTTAACCGAAAGTGATGCCAATGAACTTTCTCTACTTTTCAATTTTGCACAAGAAACGCTTCATTCAGAGGATAATTGCATCTTTTATGCAGAGATCGTTGCATAAGACAATTTTAGAATCATCAACAATTGGCTCCAATAAATTATTCCAATCGAAATGAATTTTTCTTAAGCATGGAACATTTTCAAGATTACACATAAAATTTTTTTTGCAAGATTTTTCTCACTCTCTCCAACTATTTATTCGCTCAATTCTCTCAATTTCAACGAATTCTTTTTATCCAACGCAAGCATTCGCGCACACATTTATATTCGGACACACACACTATAAAAAGATCGAACTTCGTCATGAGGACGCCATCTTGGCCCGGCAGATTTCCAAATTTGCTCAGCTTTGTGACATATCTCAAGCGATTACCATTAATCCAGATCAGCCAATATATGACTAAAAGCCACAGCTAATGATTCATCACATCTCACATACATCCGGTGAGTCATTGAAGCAAGTTTGTTTACGAAATCTACGTGCCCATGAAAGAAGACGTGAAGTAAATTAACTAATGCTGGTACTATGAATTAGCAGCTTTAAAATCAGATGTTGGTGAGATCACAAGTCATTCAATGGAACCAATTCTTGAAATTCTTCTTTATCATAGCAAATTTGACACACCCAATCAGCGAACGGGACATGAGGAAAAACGTGGTGACAAATACGATCCAAAGTGCTTTTTCTTTGCGGGAGTCCTAACATTCACTTTCTATATTACTCTAAGAATATTCTGAACAGCAAGTAATGACACAATAAAAGGTCTAAGAACATAACCGGCAACAATGTCTCCAATGAAAAAATAGAATTTTCTCGATGAAATTTTTTCGGCTTGCGTCAGCTTGTGAAATAACTCACCTCAAAGCCATCCGACTTGGCCCAAACACCACCATCATGTCCAGCAATGCACGCTTTGGAAACGCACTGTGATGCTAATAATTGGTTATCTACATAATCTTGCCAACTCATTTTTGCTTCTTTTTTTTTTGCTTTAATTCCTTGTTTACTTTGTAATTTGTGAGGTAATAATCCTTTCCTCTTTGAAATTCCTTGTAATTATTCGCACTGCGTGTTTCACTCGCGTTAACCCGATTGGGGGGCTTAAAAATGGCACAATCCAACTATGATTGGAGATAAACGAAGGAAGTTTTTTCAACGAACAACAGCGTGTAATCGTCGGGAGCAAACTGAGAGAGAAAATTTTTTCTACTCGTTTTTACGTCTTCACAAACGGTTCGATTTTTACGACTGGTCGGTTTCATGCAAACATTCTCAGTTGACTTTCTTTCGTCAGACTGTCAAAATTTTTAAAATTTTACCGTTAAATTTACGATTAACATTCACAATTAAATGAAAAAGTGAAACATTCAGATTGAAAGAGAATTTTTCTTTTATTTTAACAAAAAATTTAAACAAGATACCTAAAAAATTTTAGGCTTTGAAAATTCTAATACAAGCAATCTTTTACTAGGTATAAAAGAAATCATAGAGAATATCGATTCAAACAAGAATTTAAAAAGTCGCAGTACTTAACAACTCCTTTTCTTTTTAAGATCTTTAGAATCAGTCTTCATAATATTGTAAATGTTGAATAAATTACAATTAAAAAACATAAGAATTTTTTCAAGAGTGATGAATTAATAAATATTTAATATCTACTGCTTAACAAGAATGACTTCGCTTTCAGCTGTTATCGGCAAGCAATTCATAATATTTGAAAAGCATTTCTCATCGCTTATATCTGACGGTGACTTTTTCGGTGACATAAGCATTGCTTCAGAGGTAAAATTCGAAGTATCTCTGTTTTCATTAGCATTTATTTCTATCTCGAGACTTCCAAGAGATGACTGCGATGTTGGTTCATCAGACCCTGCGGTTTCGACTATTTTCTCCAAATCTTTACTTTCGCAATCCTAAATGTAAATATAAAATAAATAACATTAGTATTCTAGTTAATATTCATTAGAAAGCATCTATCAACATCTATGAAAATAGCAATAAGAAGAAAAATCCTAAATTGTTTTTGAAAAGCTACTCAAAGTTTAAAATGTAGAAACGTTTAAAAAGTCAATTCTTTGATCTCATAACTGAATCATGCTAAGCATTTTCTGTGAAAGCTCATCATCTTTAAAGTGAAATGAAAACAGAATGTTTTCCAGCTTTCAAAGAATTCTTTAAATTGTACTTATCAATCAACATCTCCACACCGAAATTTTCTTTATCGATATTGTGTTTCTAGAAAGTTTTATTTTAAATAATTAAATAAATATTCAACCAGAAAATCTTTAGGAAAATGTTGATGAAAATGAGTAAGAAGAATGTGAAAATATGTCGATCAAAGTTGAAACATCTACGACGAAATAACAAAATTCAAAAGAATTTTTTCATTAAAATGTTTTTCTATTTTTAACTAATCAATAATAAAAATGAACTTCACTAATTAACTCTTCTAAGTAAAAATATTTTGAATTTCAATAATTACACATAATTTCTTAAGTGTCTTGACTTTCTATTCGAGCATAAAATTTTCGATAGGCGAAGAAAATATTTCATAAGACTTGAATTTATTTATTGGCAGTTTGGAGATAGCAAAATCGGGATAATCTGCAAACATCTAGCCTAGAATTGACAGATTTAAAGAAAAATATTTTTTGTTTTTATGGAAAGGGAAATAGCAGAAATAAAAAGTGGGAAGAAAGCGAAAGAAATAAAAAGAAATTAAGTTTAGTAATTTAAAATCCACCACTCGTTGCTTGCTTCTAAAGCAAAAAGAAAAAAAAAAATTTCTCCACTAAACAACAATTTACATTTAGAGATTTCTTTCATCTGTACGTCAAACTAGCCTGCAGCTAAGAACACTTCCTAGGGATTAGATATTTGTTCTTTATATTATTTAATTTAATGTTTGTCAGCAATAATTCTTTGCTTCTTAGCTCATCCAGCGACTTACGAAAACGTGCTGCTCGCATTTGCCAATAGGCTAGTTTGAAAACGCGGCAAACATCCTCAATTATGAGAAAGTGAAATGGAATAAAATTATTTTCGTAACACATTTAGCAGTGACGAAAATGAAAATACGAGAAGGAAAAGTTTCATGTTACAAAATTTAATAAATTAAAAGGAAAATCGCTCTTTGCATCGTTCACGACATCAAAATGAAAGTGAAAAATTTTATCATTCGATTACCTTTTGAATAGTTGTTGGTGGAACTTTAAGATGAATTCTCTTCCAGCAGAGTGTTCGAAGTAATGCAATTCCAACATCTCGTTTTTTACTGTATCGATGCTCCCAAGCATCAAGAAGGCTGTTGTAGTATCGCGTTTGATCAGTGAAATTCAAATATTTATGACTATTTGGAGCTGGAAAAATTCTCTCCAATGGTTGACATCGTGACAATTCATCCTCGCTCACAATCAAACAACGAACATCGTCTGGTGTGAGGTTTTCAAGTATAACATTTAAGTACTAAAAGAAAGCAATCTTAATAATCTTAACATTTCTCGCATTTCTTTACTCACATCCTCCCTGAGTATTGTTTTCTGTGTAAATTGCTGGTGCTTTTGGCGCTCTTCCTTCGATAATGTTGTCACATAAATTCGCTTATCATAGCAAAGTGGCGTATTTAAATTTAATTCACGAGCGAGATCAGATTGTTGAGCAATGGGAATCTTTGGCGGAATCTACGAAAAATTAATTTTTAAATTAAATATTTCTTAAGAAACTTTTGAGGATTTTACCTGATACAAAGCAGTGTTTAAAAGAGCTGTAACTAGCGGACCCTTTACAGCCATATCAAGACCTGACGCTGAATGAAGTGAAGGTGAAATGTTGACTTCCAACAACCATGGAATCAACTCTGAATCCAACAGCACATCAATTCCAAACAGTTCAAAGCAATTGTATTTATTTTGTAAGTTTGTCTTCATCATGCCGTTGATTGGACCTTCGCCAGCAATAATTGTTCTCAACACAAGATTGCGCATTGCACCCCAAAGTCGCTCAGTGTTAACGCCACGTCCATTGAGAAAACTCCAAAGTGATTTTATTGTCCATTTCATTCCTTTGCAAGCATTTGCATCGTCGTTCTTATCGTAACTGTTGCTCATTTTATTGATTGAATAATTTGTTAAGTGCATGTAACGATCATTCAACGTATCATTACGTTCACTATATTTAACTGATGCAAATCTCGCCAATCCATCTGTGTGAAGGTAGCAACGTAGCGGATTCATTGACGTCACGAGAACATACAATCGAAGATCAAATTTACTTCCATTAATCAAAAGTGGACGTTCAATGTATCTGTGAAAAAAAAAGTTTAAGTTGCAATCTCAGATTTAATGAAATTAATAAACTTACCGTTGAACAATGAGCGGTTTTCTCTTTGGAATTTGCGACCAGCTATTTACGACCCGTATTCCCGTTCCTCTTGCGGATGCCGGTGGTTTAATAATCCATTTTGTGTTCTTCTGACTATATTTATGCCATGTTTGTCTCAACAAGTTGAGATCTTGTGGAATGATAAACGTTCGTGGCATGAAGCCAAACTCTTTCTTTCCATGCTTCGACATGAGCGTTTGAAGATTCCGCCAACAGCGATCTTTCCTTCCAATTTGAAAACTACCAGGCAAGTGATTGAACTTTTGATACGAATGGAGTGTCTTGAAGCATGGCGACTTCATATGCTTTCCCCACGTTCCCACCCAATCATTTGGTTCTGAAAGAGATTCGCATTTGGATTTTGTATCTTCCGGCACTGTTTTTGTTTCATTTTAATGAAATTTTATAATTTTGATTCCAAATTAAATTAAAATTTAATAATTTATAATTCAAGATCAAAGGGAAAAGAAAGAAAAATAAAATAAAAGTTTGGAATAAGAAATTAAATTAAATTGAGACATTGAATTGACAACATAAAGTTTGGATTTGTTAATTTGGAATCATCATGCAAACATTAATGTTATTAATTTTATTCCACTCACTTTTCATTAAACGAAATCCAGTATTGAGCAAAACTTTTCGCACTAAAAGTGGCGTTATTGTCGTAAGTTTCCATTTAAGTTGCTTGTGAATGATCGCTGGCACTTCGGGACCTTTTTGTTCAAATGTTGCAAAACTAATGTAAGGTGGAACAAATGGAAAGAGTGATGGAGCAAATGGTGCACTAAGAACATGTCCACCTTGAACACAATTGGTGTTGATTGTTGACAATGGCTGAGTTAATAAATTCCGTTGATCTAAACTACAATTTTCGTAATTATCTTCAGGATCTGTCATATCATCATCTATCACTTCATTTCCCGGTCCATACATTATTGGATCATCATTATCGTCATCATCATCATCAACAACTTCATCATCATCATCGTCATCGTATTCATCAACTTGCGGTGTTTCCGGAGTTGAATTCGATTCTATTGATGGAATTGACGAATTTGTTGTTGATCCACTTGATTGACTCTTCCAAATTTGAGCTCGTGCTTTATGCAATGGCGATGAGACACGAACAACTCCAATTTTATGGCCTAAATAATGCGAACGAACTTTAGATTTGGGTGAGTAACGATAATGCGTGGTGTTGTTATTCACTAAGACACTGAAATTATTTTTCGAGTTAGTCACATGACGTTGTTGCGATGGAACTGCACGAGGCTCTTTAACAGGCGATATCACAGCATCACGTGTTCGTTTAGCACGATTTTCATTGACATTATGATAATTTTCAGGATAAAAGTAATCATTTGAAGCTGATTCACTTCGTGCACGAAATCTTCGTCGTTGATGCCATGATGTGTAATCTGTTTGGTCTAATTCGGAATCAAAATCTTCAAATTGCACACTTTTCCCATCAATTTGAAGGTTGTGAAAACGTTGCTTGTAAGTTTCATCGCCATGAGGTTGATAATCACGACGATAACCAGTTGCTAATATCTCATCACGTCTATGAATCTGCCAGAGTTCCGGTTCCTTCGTCACGTATCCATTTTGATGTGAAGTTTTTGAATAAAATCGTTCGTGATATTGTTGTGACTGTTGGTGATTTTGATGAATGCTTTTTGGACTTCGCGTTGGTGATAAACATTCACTTCTCGCACGTCTTCGTATGTGTCGTGCTTTCGGTGAATGATAATGATTTTTCACATAAATGTTTTGTTGCTTTTGATGATTTTCGTATTCATAAACATCCATATGATGCTTATTGTTACTTGCTGACGTGTTAATGTGGTGTAGCAATGACTGATTTGTGGATAATTCATTGTAAGGTGATCGATGGTGATATTTTTGTTGTTGTTCGTAGTAACTTTTACCATTTCTAGGTGGTGATTTTTGCTTAAAGTCCATTCGCGAAAACTGATTTGTAATCTAAAATAGAAATGAGAAATTTTATTAGCTTAAATGTTTATAACTGAAAGAATTTATCAGCACTTCATTCAGTTTCACCATATCTTCAATAAAATGATTAAAATCAACTCGATTTCTTTCAAATCTTTTCAAACTTAAAGCCACATGGCGACTAAAAGAAATGAGAGAATTTCTCTGTAAATTATTTGAGTTCTACGCAACGAATAACTTTTTTTTGCTTCGTATTTTATTCTCCCCCATATCAACAGCAAAGTGAATAATAAAATATAAAGAACAAAAAATAATTGTTTCCATTCCGAAGTTGATCATTTTATCGGCCTTTTTTTAACAGCGAATCTCTGAATCTCTTCTCACACTCGTAAAATGATTTTTTATTGCGTAGAAATTTTTCCTATGAGATTTTTCCTCTCAAACTTCTCTCTTCGCTTATTTTAAGTAGTTTGAATCGTCATCATTGACGAAGATTAATTCATTTACGAGTTGAAGGTGCGAGAAATGTCTTCCTTCTCATCATTTGTTTTACGATGTCTCTCGTACAACTTCTCGCTATTATTATCGTAATAATTTCTTTACTTGGAAATATTTTCAAACTGTAAATGTTACGTAGAAACTTTTGATGAATCTTCTTTGATTCTTTCTTTAGAATTATTTTTTGCAAGCTATCGAAAGGTCATTGGAATGAAATCATCAACGGAGTCAGCGATTTCGCAGTTTTCATCATACTTTTACAATTACGTCATTAACTACATAAGAAAATTCACTTGAAATTTTCCAGATGTTTAAATTCTTGTTTGCGAGAAGGAAAACATAAGAAAATGTGTAATGAATGGAATGTCGGAATTCAAAGAATTTTCCACTTGAACTCTAAAGAAAATCATCCGGGGCTAGATGAGAGTAAATTATTTATAATTATTTCTCATTTTTCAGCTATTTAGATATGCGAAGACAAATATGAAGATGATCGTCAATTATTTCTGACATCTCGTCGATTTATTTAAAGCGCACCGCGGCAAGTCACAGCACGACATGAATAAACAAATCTAGACATTTAAATCAATAAATATGTTTTGATGTGAAATAAACACTATTTAACTTGAAAACTTTTCATTGCTTATCATAAATCGTGTCATGGCAAAGCGAGAATTAAATTTATTTACGAATTGCACGAAATGAAATTTAAAATTTTTAAAAGTTTCATTCCAACAACAAAAAAGTTGAAATTCACAATTAATTTATAACTTTCGTGTTTTAAATGTCTACTCATGAATATATTCACCCTCTTAAAGTGTTGCACAACATAAACCACAACGTCATAAGCACAAATAAAACTAAAATTATTAAAAGGCAAACAAGTCTGGAAGGAGTTTCGAGTTCCTTTCGTATCAGGGTGAAGTTTGACTTTTTTCAATAAAGAATTTTATGCGCTTTTGCCTCGCTGTATGATTTCCTCGTGAAAAATGTGGAGCAGGGACGTCATGTGATAATTTATGGTTTCTTCATGACTGTCGAAGTCAAAAGGAATAAAAGTCAGAAATTCGAATCGGATTTCAATTCACTCAAATTTTCAATTGAAATGATTTAACAGATATCATTTCCCTGATATTTAATATCATCCAATAATAGTGACGCAATCAAATAATTTGAAAATCAATGTCAGAGTAAACGACACTGAAAAATCGATTGATTCTTACATGATCCCAATGACACAACAGCAACGATTGATTTTCATGACAATCCATCATAAAATGGATTTTCTTTTTCTTATGCACAAATCAATTTTTTTATTTTTCCTTCTTTTTATTTTCTTCAGCACCAGAAAAACTTTTTTCACATCATTTAAAAAAACGATTTTGGTGTTTTTATAGCTTTAGAATTGAAATTTTCACTTGATTAATTTTAATTACACAACATGAGGAGACGTGAATTGATTTGAAATGCTATTGAAAAAAGAAATCAAATTAAACTTAGCGCATTAAGAGAGGAAAAGTCAGTTGAGAAAGGAAAGTAAGAAGCACTTCTTGTTCTACTGAACCAATTTCTGATACTAAAAGAGAAAAACAAAAACATCGAAAAGAAAGAAAAATAAAAGAAGCGTCTTAGGAATCACGAAAAGCGGGGATTGGTGAAAATGAAGTTTGTAAGTGAAACTATTTTGAAGTTTTTTCCTACAGTTGAATCCTTCAATCGTCACTTGAAGCCTTAAACGTGATCTTATCGATCGTTAACGAAGCAATTACTGTACAATGAAACTTTTACGGCTTTCAAGAGTGAAAATCATGAATGAGAACTTAGTACGACCAAATCAATGAATTCAGTAAAGCGAGAATATGATTTCAGAGGATATTTAGTCAAGAAAAACGAACAAACTTCATTCTTTACACTTCATTGACCTAAAGAACATTTGTGACAATTGAACTCGCAATGCAAGTTTTTTCTTGAATGTTTTCGTGTCCTACTTGTGCATTTCGAATGCATTCTGTCTCATTTTATTATGCAATAATATTTTCCTTTACAACCCAGAAATATTTTAACGCTCAAAGATTATCCTCGAAGTTTTATGTCATGAGCATGGCGATGACAGCTGTGAATGTTGTTTATGAGTGATATAAAAACATTCTTTTCATTCGTTTGTTTTAATTTATGATGGAAAATAAAGAAAACTTCGCTTCCTTCATCGAGCTTTTTTTAAAAATTTATTTTTTGTTCCTTTTAAGCTTACGAGTCTTACTTGATATTCATGCTCACTATCCAGCACAATGTCGACAATGTGGCACTTCTTATATCGTTTCATCTTTCTCAATACACTTTTTTATAAATTCTTTATCCTCACAATATCCTCAAGAGTTGTTTCAGTGTCTTTTGTCTTTCACTTTCGAAAACACCCTCATTGAGTTTATCTTTCACAAGATGAGAGCTTTTGTTCTTTTTGTTTTTCTCATCTCTGTATGGATAAGCGAGTTCAGAGAAAATAAGAAGAATCAAATCACCAGCGAAAGCTCTTGATTTAGCTCCGCTCTATTCGGTGCTTTAATGAAAACTAACGAAGGGGGAAAGTGAAGAAGCTCGAACGATTTTTATTTTTCTTCCTCGGCAGAATTCGAGTGGGTGAAAACAATTTTTTTTGTTGTTTCTTGCCGGTGGATTGTGCGGGTGGATGAAACATGTTCACATATGAAATCTTCTATTTGGATAGTTTAAGTAGGTATGAAGTAGATTTCGCCTTCTCATTTTTCATGCGATGTTGAGACTTTCTAGGATTAATTTAATTTCTTTTACATTTACCGCACCTTTACAATAATTTGTTTTTTCACCCTCAAATAATTATGACGTGAAAATGAAAAATTATCAAATACTTTTACTAATTTCTTGTTGTTTATGGAACGAGGAAATTATGTATAGGGAAAATCATAAAAGGGGAGCAAATGGTAGAAAAATAGAAACTTTATTGGAACGATAGAGGGAAAATTGAATTTAATTATCGCCATGACACAGATGCATACTTAAAACAAGAAATAAATGAGGAAATGTTGTTATAAAAGTATGAGTGTCACGGAATGGCATGCTTCTTGAAGAACGGAAGTGCCTAGTTATGAGCATCAAACTAAAAGCACTTAAACATCGAGTGTGATAATTGTCAAGAAATTGACACTCAAAAAAACACAATAATGTCCTTCACTTTGATGCAATCATAAGCTAATATTCACTTAATCAGCTTGAGACAAATGTTCACTTCCCGAACGAAGAGCGTTGGGTTTACAATAATTCAGGTTCGTTCGTGTTTACACATTCTTCATGGAGTGAGTGAGAGAAAAATAGGTCAATGCATTGATGATTCTTTGATTCACGGTTAAGGAACGAATTATCATGGCGACTTTCAAAAAAAATTATTTCGGACTTTGACTTTCCTCAAATCATTTTCACTTTCATTCATAAATTAACTAACTCATTGATAAAATTGTCTCGACATCAACCTTGAAAATTCGCTATTGCTTTCTCTCTCCTTCTCATCATCACTTGTATCCATGACGGATTTTTTTTATCATAAATTCTTTCTAATTTGACATGGTAAGTAGTCATCATAGAAAATAATAAGAAAATGGTTTCAATGATTACTATCAAAAAAATATTAGTGGAATCAGATCGATTGTTGAGTTCAACCAAATACACTCTCGACAGGCAATCACGAAAGAAAAGAAGAAAAAAAAACTTAAACGGCGAGCAACCATGAAACTTAAAAATAAAAATCCATGCACTCACCAATTATATGAAATTAGATAATTTTGCACCAAATCTAACTATCTGGATAAGGCGCCTTGATACCTTAACACAATAAAAATAATTTAGAATGATTTTCGGCACACTTATGAGCCTCACATAAGCTGAAATTTATGTCAAACTTGAAATGTGTCTTTTTAAAAATAAAACGAAGTGAAGACCTCTTGCTTAGTAACTAAAACTTCAGCACCATAATTATAAATCAAAAACAAACAATTTTTTCGAAACGTTGAAGAAATTTATGATTCTTACTTTGTAGAAAATTATGATAATTCAGGATCAATCAATTTTTAATAGTAAAACTATCTTAAAAGACCCATTTAACAAAATAGAATTTTATAAATTTCCATTGGAATGTGCAGAAGTCAAAAAGGGGTTTTTAACAAAAAAATTGAATTTTTCGCGGGAAATTTTCTAACGAAGTACAAATTTATCAAAACGTGGTCAGTTTTCATGTTGAGTAAACGAAGTTTATACCTAATAAACTGAAACTTATTTTTGATATTTAGCGAAAATATTAAGTAAAAAATTTTAAACATAAGCAATTGATGATTTGTGAAAATTAAAATGATTAAAACTTAATTGTAGCAATAAAAAATGAAAATTTCAAATCATTATCAAAGTGTTGAATGACACTAATAAGGAACCAAATTGTTATCACAAAACGTCAAATAAAAGAAACATGTTAGATCAAGAAAAAACATGTTTTTCAATAAGATGCTCTCAAAAAATTAAGACTGTTGTAATTATCGTGAAAGAAACAAACATGTTCAATGATTAGGATTTTCATAAATATTCTGCATAATTTTAACGGCTTTTTAAATTTTATATTTCCAGAGGCATAGAAATTGTTTGGTTCTCAAGCATGTTGAATTTAAAATGTCGGTTAATTTTATGGAGCTAAGAATAAGAAGTTAATTAACGTTATAAAAAATATGAATTTGTTTATATGGAGACACATGTAATAAATAATCATCAAAATACAATAGATATTTATTAAACTCAATAATCAAATAATTTTCAAACCCATCAATCTAGAAATATTTTTATCTACTTACTTAGGATTAGTTTTCTATTGTGATCTTCGCCATTTTTGCGATGTAATGAAATTGCATTAGTATTTTATTGCAAACCATAATATTTAATAAATGCCTTCGGCAAGGTGAGAAATTTATGTTAGAGAGGCAAACACAAAGCTAACAGAAGGAGAAGAAGATATACGACAGATGTAAGAATATAAAATTGTTTAAAAACTTTTTTATATTCTAAATCTTTATGTACTTCGATGGAAAAATCATGGCTGCATTTAGTTTCTGCTCCTTGGTTTCGTCTATCTTCTTGATCACATTATGTGACTATAAATTTAAAAGTAATAACAATATTTATTTATGAAATATTATTTTACGATGGTACGAAACAGATTTAAAATTTTTAAACATTGAATATTAACAGGGGCTCAATTGAGCTGGTTAGGTTGCGATTACACATTATTTCTGAACAATAAAACTCACCCTAGGCATCACGGAAGAGCGACGACATAATGGGTTAGTTTAAACTTTTTTTGCAACTCACTTACAAAACACATGAATGGTTTTCCAAGCACGAATAAAGAAATTAAATTAATTTTATAAATAAAACTTTAAAAAGATTATACAATTTGACGTTGAGGAAAACAAAATTTCCAAATCTCATTCGAAAAATTATTTCTATGAGGAAGAGAAATGTTTCAAAACATTTGACTGAAATAAACTTTCGCGTGGATTAAAACCATCTCAAAATTTATTGCCCGAGGAAAAGAACACAAAAAAACGGTGGGTTGAAAATAGAGATCGTGATCATAAATTGATCCAATAGTAGACTGTGACAAAAGCCGCAAACAAATCCCAGCTGTATAATAACTTTTAATCTTTTGTGTAAATCACGGCGTGCTGTTTCCATTTTGATTTCAGTTGGTTTCCCTTCCCTCACCCAATGCAACTATTCTTTGTATATTTTTTTCTCATTTTTGAAAGACTCTAATTTTGTTGCCAAAATAAAACATTGTAATTAAATTTTCTCTCTTGCTTCTATTTTGAAACTTTTTCCATCTTTCATTTAATTTTGTATAGTAACGATAGAAACTGTGTCATGGTTGATGTTTCCCTATTGGGTATATGCCTTTAGTCTCGATATATGTTAGTTGGTAATTGCAACCCATAATTTTAACGCCAATTTGGCTTTATCCATTTTTCTTTGTTTGATTGAATAAAGTACTAAGTGCGAAAACATAACTACATGAAATGAAACGTTCAAAAGAGAATGCTGATCGTTGGTTGCGGCTTTTTGTGTTGTCTTATTTGTATCTGTATATATTTTATCGCCATCATACGACGTGTTATTATTTGATTTAGTGGTCAGTGGACGGGTCTTTCATTTTGTGTTTT